AAATACAGCAGTGTATTCTGGGTAATTTTTGACCAAGGCTAGACTACAAGACACCTCGCATGTATCCTCGCTCAGCTAGCTAAACGGCTAACAAACGGAGAACACACGCCTCAGTAGAACATGAACATTGGAACATGTCTTGGCAGCTCCTGATGACGTATCTCCTAGGCAATCGGGGCGAGGGCAAGACATTGAGGCAAGGTTCCTTGACATTGAGAAACACCCCCTAAGTCTCTGGGCGATGCCATATTAGATGCCATGTTTCTTTCTACGGGAGCACGTGAGGACACAATGCATTTACTGATTTGTAACAAACTGTTACAAAACTTTCATAATTCTTAAACTTTGTTTTACACATTTACCTTTTCACTTGTTGCCACTAATGAAAGGGAGTCTGATGTGCTTGTTATTTTTCTGAAGTTTGCACTCTTCAGGGCTTTCTGACCCCAATGAGCTAGTGGTCTAAACAGTTAATAAAAGGGCAGATTAGCCAGTAAATTGTGCATTTTTTTAATCAATATCAGGAAACTCATAAATATTTAAAGAATGAAGTATGTTTTTGTTTCAGTCATTTGAGACTTTGGAAACTAAGACTATTCATGCGTTTAAAGTTTTTCTAATATTTAGGAAAATCTAGAAATAAATTATCTGAGATGTAAAAGATAGAAATGAGAAGACTTTTATGTTTCTCAGGTGGCCAAGACTGATCCTGTTACTTCAGACCGTAAGATTATCTGGGGGACTGTTGGCGAGCCAGACGAGGGTCAGGGACTGCACCAAGGGCTGCAGGCTGAATTATAATAGTTTTAGATAAAATACAAGTTTAAGGTTAAGGCCACAGAACTGCCTGGTGGGAAAACTGATGGGAAAGGTTAACTGCTCATCTCTGATCCCCAGATATGAAACTACAACATTCAGTCATGGGAGGTGAACAAAAGGGCTAAAATATCTGTCTTTTTCATTTTGCCCCAAGATGTGAGAGAAAACAGCTTTAAAAGGGTGAAAATGCACAAAAACACATCAGATTTTTGTGACACTTACTGGGGATGCTGGGAAGATGTTGATAATGTAAAAAAACACCAGAAGCACATGGAGGACAATTAAAAAAACACATTTACTAAATTGTGCAAATACCTCAAACAACAACAGCTTTAGCCTTTGTTAAGACTGGAAATGGTATAATATCCAACAGTTTGAAGACAAGGGCAAAAATTGACTAATTGAAAGGATGTGACATCAAAATTAGATTATATTTTTCTATTTAAAAAATGTTTTAGATTTTTTTGTATCCTCAGTCAACAATTCAATGAATGAAACCATTTATAGGGTTTTTGTGGAAAAGAGTAAAACTTTATAGACGGAAGATAAAAAGGCTCTGGTACTTTATTTAGGGTTAGGTTTTGTTGGTGTAAAAATAAAATGTAGTCCTTTATCAGCAACAAGACCAGGATCTGGGTCACTTGTTGTGTGGTTAGATTCAAATGAGATTACAATAAAAAAAATATTTCAAAGCAGGTTAACAAGACTAACATGGACTTAACTTTTCCAATTTATAAAAAGATCTTCATTATGAGGTTTTTCTATCTGCAGCAGCCTGCGAGACACAGTTCTATTCTTGACACGCAGTTGAGGGCTGCACAGAACAAGAGTGGTCTCCAGGCTGCACTTTGGACATGCCTGGCATGGTGTAAGGAGAGAATGTGTTTAGAGACAGAGATGGTTTTTCAGGCCCAACATGAGGCAGGGTTATCAGCTTGTTTGAGCGCAATGCAGCAAGAAGCCCGTACACACAGCTGCTGACCACATAGGGGTTACTAACAGTAGATGCACTTCAGATGGAGCTGCTAGACCAATCTGGACTTCACCAGTTGACCCAGAGCCAAAGTGTGTCAACTATGTATATGAAAGACAGTATATCCAATGCCCATTCAACACAGTAAAACGTTATATCTAAACAGCAGAAAAAGTTGATTTCCCTGATGTAACTTTAGCTACACATATTACTATCAAAGCCTAATTCCACGATAAATATGTCAACACGAAGCATATTCATTCATTTAATGTACAAATAACATGTGACACACAAATATACACCTAACCAGCATTGCATTGAGAGATAACTCAGTTTAATGGGCAGTGTGGGATGGGATGTTTTATTGTCCTAATATTAACATTTTACACATTACAAATAAAAAAAAAGCTTCTTATCAGAGCTGGATCTCGACTCCAACCACGTTCCAAAGCAATAAAAGGAGATTCAACAGCATACCTGCTCAGAGAAAAGGTGTAAACAACTTATAGGTCGCAACAAAACCATGCCAAGTAAATTATCATTCTGTAGGAAATAAAACCAAATTAACTTTAAGATCTCAAGGTACCACTCCGATTGGTTTATTTTTTCTGTTATAATTAAAACCCATACTGGCTGATGTGCTTTCTGATCTCATTTTCACAAAATAACACACAATTAAAAGCTTTAAATATAAATGCAGCAGCAACCTACTACCATTGCACCAACATTTATTTCTTTATTTGTTTAGAGACTTTATTACAAAGGTACATCTTTTACTGAACACCAGCTTGATATAAAACAGGCCAACAATTAAAAAAAAGCACAACAAATCCCAATCCCTGGAGCCGGAGAACTTGACATGAAACTTCCACTGGGAACTGAGATTCTCCCGTAGGCTATTTGAATTGTAGGAAGATGAGAAATGGAAAAGCAATCTTGCACAGCTGCACTGAAATATAACTGCAGCAGAAACAGTAACTTACAGGCCATCAGCCAGCTTGTAAAACTAAGGACCACAGGCAATTCAAGCAGGCACTGCTTAACAAGCTCCTATTGAAAAAAAAACACTATTGTCTCTGGGCAATTAGTGCATGGTAGCTGTGTGAAAACACCAACAGATGAGCGCCTGCTGCTGTGTGCAACTCCAGGGTTAAATGGTTGTCCCCTTAACCTTCTTCCAGCAAAGCAGGGAGACTTCATTCAACTGTCACTGTGACAATAGATGGGTTATCAGAACAAGTTTGGAATTTCCAGAAGGGAAATCAATAATTCAGATTTTGTTTTAAATTATTAAAACTTTAGCAAAGTAGGATACCAGGGAGTGTAGAACTGTAGGGCTTAGTTCACAGCAGGAGGTAAATGATTCCAATAAATGCGTTTTTCTCCACCGTTCCTGTCCCTTTTGAAGGATTTAGAACTTTCAAACAAAACAAGTTTGCTACCAAACTCTGACACTCATCTTACCTGAGCCTACACAGGGAAAGCAAATAACAAAAAGCTGAATCAGTCATGTCCTTCGACTTCAAATTTAAAGACATCACTTTGAAAGGTCTTTTTTCTTTTGTTTTTTCAAAGATTTATTCTTGCTGGACAGCCTGTAAAATTATAAATAAAATACACAGTTGTGGTTTTACTCAATAATCACAATGCAGGTAGCTAAAATACATGATGAGTATATGTATTAAAACAAAAGAAAAGAAAATTTCTGAAACATCCTCTCTCGTTTTCTGAACGAGGTCTCAGGGAGCGCTTTGCTGAATGGAAGTGTGGGAATCACTTTCTGAAACAGACATGTTTTTGGTTTTTAATCCTATTTGTTCTATTAAAGGACAGAAAATATATAAGATCCATCCATCCTCTTCTGCTTATCTGGAGTCAGGTCGCAGAAGCAGCAGCCTAAGCAGAGAGGCCCAGACTTCCCTCTCCCCAGCCACTTGGGCCAGCTCTTCCGGGGAATCCCAAAATGTTCCCTGGCCAGACGAGAGACATAGTCCCTCCAGCGTGTCCTGGGTCTTCCTTTAGGTCTCCTCCCAGTTGGACATGCCTGGAAAACTTTACCAAGGAGGCGTCCAGGATGCATCCTAACTAGATGCCTGAGCCACCTCAACTGGCTCCTCTTGATGTGGATGAATAGCGGATCTAGTCTGAGTCCCTCCTGGATGACTGGGCTTCTCAGCCACCATGCAGAGAAAAGTCACTTTGGCCGCTTGTATCCGTGATCTCATTTTATCTGTCACTACCCAAAGTTCGTGACCATAGGTGAGGGTTGGAACGTAGATCAACCGGTAAATCATCTTTTTTCTCGGCTCTCTCTTCACCATGACAGACTGGTGCAACGAATAAGATCCATGCAGATGCAGCACCAATCTGCCTATCAATCTCGTGCTCCAGCGTTCCCTCACTCGTGAACAACATCCAGAGATACTGAAACTCCTCCACTTGAGGTAGGACCTCGTCCCTGACCTGGAGAAGACATTCTACCCTTTTCTGACTCAAGACCATGGCCTCGGATTTAGACCTGATTCTCACCCCAGCCGCTTCACACTTGTCTGCGAACCGCTTCAACGAAATGAAGCCAGCAGAACCACATCATCTGCAAAAAGCAGATACCTGATCCTCAGGCTACCAAAACAGATCCCCTCAACACCTTGGCTGCACCTAGAAATCCTGTCCATAAAAGTTATGAACAGGATCGTGACAAAGGGCAGCCTTGGCGGAGTCCAACTCTCACCGGAAACGAGCTGGCTTACTGCCGGCAATGGGGACCAAGCTCTGGCACCGGTCATACAGGGACCTAATAACCCATATCGGAGGGCCTGGTACCCCATACTCCACAAGTACCCCCCAAAGGGCCCCCCCATGGGACGCGGTCAAACACCTTCTCCAAATCCACAAAACACAAGTAGACTGGTTGGGCAAACTCCCACGCACCCTCCAGGACCCTCCTCAGGGTAAAGAGCTGGTCCAGTGTAGCACAGCCAGGACAAAAACCCCATTGCTCCTCCTGAATCCGAGGTTCGACAGTCCAACAGACCCTCCTTTCCAGAATCCCTGAATAGACTTTAGAGGCTCAGGAGTGTGAGCTCCCTGTAGATGGAACACACTCTGCTGTCCCTGCGGTTACTAAACAAGGGTTACAGGTTCAGTTAGACCAGAATAATCCTACAGATCAGTGCTGATGGTGTTGGATGAAGGAAAACCGAACAGATTTGTTATTACTGTCTCTTTTTAATATTAAATACATCACTTTTGTATAAACATAATACTTATGAAGAATCTTCTATTCACAGTCACATCCTGTGATCCAAACAAGCTAGCTACTCTCTTGGTTTTAACAGTGATTGTCACAGTTTCTCCTTTTTAAGATATTATAGGAATGTCACTACATGGGAAATAATTTAACTCACTATAATATTATAGTTATAATAATTATATAACTACAATAACTACTATAACTATAATTTATAATTTTAACTCACTACTAAGTTAGTAAGCAACTTCATACATGTTGATATTAATAATTAGCTTAAAAACTTGGTTTTGACATTAGACCAAACTTGCCTGACATTGACAGTTCTTTAGAAAATGGAGTAACACAAAGCTTTACCATCAGTCCTCATCACATGACTCTATGGTACATTAATACCTAAGTCTTGAACCGCGGCTGACATCTTTAACTACAATAACACTAGAAGACAAGAATAACAGATATGTAACCAATACATGAATTCATTCCTCCACTTTTGATTTCTTCTTAGAGACTCTTGGTTTGGAGACAGAGTCTTCGGGTTCTTGGGAGCCTGGGGGGTCTGTAGGGGGGCTAGGGGCGTTCTCCACATCAGCCTCTGGCTCAAGAGCCACAGAAGAGCCTTTGGAACCTCCTAAAAACACAATAACAGACATGACTTTGTTCCACTAAACCTGCCCAGACACATCTGAGTCGAGTGGGAATCTAACCATTACAAGATGTACCTTCTGTTATAACAAATGTATGAATAATGTTTCTACTCAAGCAGTTTCTAAAGATGTTACATGCATAAAAGAAAACAGTTCAAAAGTTGGGAAATGAAAGTGTCAGAGAGAAACAGCAACAAAAGCAAACTAAATAACTAATAGACATTAATCAGACACACGTGTAATTATAAAAGGTCAAAAACTCTTGATTGTTTTTCTATTGTTATTCTGTTTTCATCCCTCTATTAACAACTTAGTCAAAAATACTAAACACAAAGGTTAAGTGTGTGGTTTGTTTACTTTATAGCTTTGCAAACAACTATGCAACTACAGTGGTGCCCCCAAGGAGGGGCCATGGCCACCCCTAGAAAATTGCTGGCCCCCCAGAGAAGACACCCTCTTTTGATATATCATAAACATAAAACCCAATAAAGATATGTATAATGCATGTGTAAATCAATAAATTGTAACTTTAAAAGTCACTGCTACTCATTTTCAAAACAAAAGTATACATCTCCAGTTTTTGTGAAGACAGCAACATGCATTAAACGTTTCCAAAATAAAAAATATTTCAAATAACTGAAGTATATTTTTCTGAATGTGTGTTTCCCATATTTGAGGTAAATGTGTTGGATGCATATTGTTTTTAATGAAAATGAATGAAGGAACAATACAAGCCCCCCCCCCCAATCAGGACATTTTACTGGGAGCACCACTATGAAACTATAAGACAGATGAAACAAGACAAAGTGCAACCTTCCAGATTATTTACAAATCACTTAATGCTCCTGAAAAGAGCACATTCACATCATCAGATCACATCTCACTCAGAAGAAGAATGGTTTATTCTAACCAGAGCTGGTCGTGGGTACCTGTAGGAAGCTGGATGTTCTTGTTGTAGCTAGCAGCTGAAGACATAGCCTGACCCAGAGCCTGGTTAGTGCCGAGAGGAACACCGGGAGGTTTGCTTGCTGCAGCTGAGTGTGGTTTGGATTTGGAGTCTTTGGATGGTTTGGTCCACACCAGACTTTCTGTCACCTGCAGGGCAGCACCCATCTTCTGAGCCATGTCCATCAGCTGTTAGTGTTTAGAAGAAAAAGTTTCAGCAGCCTGAAACAGCAGCTGACTCTGGAGAGAGGATCTACAGCACCTCAGGATCAAACTCAAAGTTGTTACTGCTGTCCCGAAGAAGGTTCACTTTCCTTTCCATCTCCTCATACTGATCCAGAGCTCTCTTCTTGTCGCCATGGTTGTACACAAATATTGCAAAGTTTAGATTGACCAAGGGGTTGGATCTGGTAGAGATCAGCCACAGAAGAAGAGAAAAAAAACATCAACATTTTGAGTTGGGATGAATGGAATATTGAGGGCAGAATAAAGTCACTGACTCATCCATATTCACTGCTTGTTCGTATGCTCTGGTGGCGTTCTCCACGTCCTCCAAATTGGTCAAAGCCACTGTAATCACAGACATAACAACCGAATTACAGTCAAATCCTGGAGCTGCTGCACAAGGCCTTAAACAGAGACTGTACCAGCAAACATTCTCACATGCACTGGTTTAAAATAAAAAAAGACTTCCTGCAAGGACAGTGCTTAGTCACCTAAGCTCAAACTGTTATAGACTCAAAATGACAGAAACTTCCACAGCTTTGAGTCGTTACCTGCCAGCAACATGTAGAGTTCCCCCATCCGAGGGTTCAGGTTGATGGCTGCACTGAGGAAGTGGAAGGCTGAAGCGTACTGCTGCATGGTCAGGTGTACCAGCCCAAGGTTGTACAACACTTTCCAGTCAAAAGGAGACAAGTAGTGAGCGCGTTTCAGGCAGCTGATGGCCTGTGGGATCAGGGTGGGAGAGGTTGTACTGGATTCATAATACTTTCTTCAAATAACTCATCTTATTGTCACTCTTTAGTAATATTTACTAAAATTCCTACACAATGAGCTCCATTGAAGTAGAAGAAAAGGAAAGGTCAGAGCTAAAACAAGGCCACAAACCCTTTATCTTTCTTTAGCTTGCAGATGTTCTAAATAATTCATGAAATTCTCAGATTCAAATTTTAACTCATCATTCTGTGGGATTTATTTCACTATTGAAACTCAAGGATATCCATTTTTTGTTGACTTCTTCCAAACTGTTGTTGTTGGTATCCAGATAATAATTTCATCTTTTAGCAAAAACTCATACATGCGGCAGAACAGAACGGCTGGATGTGGCTCTTCCATACTAATGTCCAACACACTAGTGTGTGTGGAATTCCATAAGTAGGAAAATCTGTAGAGTGTAATAGAAAAAAAAAAACACTGGCAGAAATGTACCTCCAGATACAGAAAGACCCAGAAAGAGTTGTCTGTAGGGAAAATGTGAAATCAGGCAAAACAAAATCTTGACCTGTATTTTTGAGACTCAATCAGGAATTTCATCCCACATAAAGAAGAGTAACGACATGAAACAGATTGTTTAGTCCTTGTTGGTGTGAATGCATCCTCTGTTAAATGCTTACAGAAAGTCCAAAAGGCTGCTACAAGATTCCTAACCAATACAAGCAGACGATGCCATATCACTCCCATCTTGGCCGATCGACACTGGCTCCCTGTGTCCTAACAAGTGCTTACAAAGCTCTCAGTAATCAGACTTCAGACCTGTCTGAGCTGCTTACTCACTACGATGTACAGACCATCACTTGCTCTGCACTTCTAAAATGAAATACACATCCTGTGGTGAGCGGGCATTCACCTTCGTCGCTCCGGATGTTGTCTAGATGTGCACATTTCAAATTGGCTTTCGCCTGGTGAATGTTTATGTGATCCAAGATGGCTGCCGAGTAGGTGTGGTGAGATTGCTGAGCTCTACTAATATATGAATATCAGCAAAATAAGATAACATCCACCCTTTCTAAGCTTGCTTTTTTGTGGCTTAAATAATTAGAAACCTTTGGCTTAAACCATTTTTGAGCTAGATGAAGTATTGAACATTTTTTCAACACATGAAGTGTTGGACATATTTTTTCGGCACATGTTTCAACCAGCTGGGAATCTGACAACACCATAAAGTTATTAACCATCCAAGGAAACTGTTTGGAACAACAATGTCTATGGAGAATCTGGTCCAAGATATGGAGGAGATGAAAAAGTCCTTGAATTTCATGTCACATGAGATAACTAAAGTGGCAAAACACCAGAGCGGCCTACAGGAGGTATTGAAAGAAGTCTTCTTCGTCTTCGTCTTCGTCTTCCTCCGCTTATCCGGGTCCGGGTCGCGGGGGCAGCATCCCAATTAGGGAGCTCCAGGCCGTCTTCTCCCCGGCCTTGTCCACCAGCTCCTCCGGCAGGACCCCAAGGCGCTCCCGGACCAGATTGGAGATGTAACCTCTCCAACGTGTCCTGGGTCGACCCGGGGGCCTTCTGCCGGCAGGACATGCCCGAAACACCTCCCCGGGGAGGCGTCCAGGAGGCATCCTGACCAGATGCCCAAACCACCTCAACTGGCTCCTTTCGATCCGGAGGAGCAGCGGTTCTACTCCGAGTCCCTCCCGAATGTCCGAGCTCCTCACCCTATCTCTAAGGCTGAGCCCGGCCACCCTACGGAGGAAACTCATTTCGGCCGCTTGTATCCGCGATCTCGTTCTTTCGGTCATTACCCAAAGCTCATGACCATAGGTGAGGATTGGGACGTAGATCGACCGGTAAATCGAGAGCCTGGCTTTCTGGCTCAGCTCCCTCTTCCCCACGACAGATCGGCTCAGCGTCCGCATCACTGCAGACGCCGAACCAATCCGCCTGTCGATCTCCCGATCCCTCCTACCCTCACTCGTGAACAAGACCCCGAGATACTTAAACTCCTCCACTTGAGGTAGGACCTCTCCCCCGACCCGGAGGTGGCAAGCCACCCTTTTCCGGTCGAGAACCATGGTCTCAGATTTGGAGGTGCTGATCCTCATCCCAGCCGCTTCACATTCGGCCGCGAACCTACCCAGCAAGAGCTGAAGGTCAGAGCTGGATGAAGCTAGGAGGACCACATCATCCGCAAAAAGCAGAGACGAGATTCTCCTGCCACCAAACTCGACACACTCCACACCACGGCTGCGTCTAGAAATTCTGTCCATAAAAGTGATGAACAGAACCGGTGACAAAGGGCAGCCCTGGCGGAGTCCAACCCTCACTGGGAACAGGTCCGACTTACTACCGGCTATGCGGACCAAACTCACGCTCCTCTGGTAAAGGGACTGAATGGCCCTTAACAGAAAGCCACCCACCCCATACTCCTGGAGCGTCCCCCACAGGGTGCCCCTGGGGACACGGTCATAAGCCTTCTCCAAATCCACAAAGCACATGTGGATTGGTTGGGCAAACTCCCATGCCCCCTCCATCACCCTTGCAAGGGTATAGAGCTGGTCCACAGTTCCACGGCCAGGACGAAAACCACATTGCTCCTCCTCTATCTGAGATTCAACTATCGATCGGACCCTCCTCTCCAGTACCTTGGAGTACACCTTTCCAGGGAGGCTGAGGAGTGTGATCCCCCTATAGTTGGAACACACCCTCAGGTCACCCTTCTTAAAGATGGGGACCACCACCCCGGTCTGCCACTCCCTAGGAACTGCCCCCGATGACCACGCAATGTTGTAGAGACGTGTCAACCATGACAGCCCTACAACATCCATAGCCTTGAGATACCCAGGACGAACCTCATCCGCCCCCGGGGCTCCGCCGCTGTGTAGTTGTTTGACTACCTCAGCAACTTCACCCCCCGAGATCGGACAGTCCATCCCCAGGCCTCCCAGCTCTGGTTCCTCCTCGGAATGCGCATTGGTGGGATTGAGGAGCTCCTCAAAGTATTCCTTCCACCGTCCGACTATAGCCTCAGTTGACGTCAGCAGCTCCCCATCCCCACTGTAAATAGTGTGAGCGAGTTGCTGCCTTCCTCTCCTGAGGCGCCGGACAGTTTGCCAGAACCTCTTTGGAGCCGATCGATAGTCTTTCTCCATGGCCTCACCAAACTCCTCCCACGCCCGAGATTTTGCCTCGGCAACTGCCACTGCTGCACCCCGCTTGGCTATCCGGTACCTGTCTGCTGCCTCCGGAGACCCACAGACCAGCCACGCCCTGTAGGCCTCCTTCTTCAGCCTGACTGCTCCCCGAACCTCTGGTGTCCACCAGCGGGTACGGGGGTTGCCACCACGACTGGCACCGGCCACCTTACGACCACAGCTAGCAACAGCCGCCTCGACAATCGCAGAGTGGAACAAGGCCCACTCGGACTCAATGTCCCCCACTGCTCTCGGGACGTGGTCAAAGCTCTGCCGGAGGTGGGAGTTGAAGACCGTCTTGACAGGTTCTTCTGCCAGGCGTTCCCAGCAGACCCTCACTATGCGTTTGGGTCTGCCAGGTCTACGCGGCATGTTCCCTTGCCATCTGATCCAACTCACCACCAGGTGGTGATCAGTTGACAGCTCCGCCCCTCTCTTCACTCGGGTGTCCAAAACATACGGCCGCAGGTCAGATGATACGACTACAAAATCTATCATCGACCTGTGACCTAGGCTGCCCTGGTACCAAGTGTACCGGTGGGCATCCTTATGTTCGAACATGGTGTTCGTTATGGCCAAACTGCGGCTTGCACAGAAGTCCAATAACAAAACACCGCTCGAGTTCAGATTAGGTGGGCCGTTCCTCCCAATCACACCCCTCCAGGTCAAGCTGTCATTGCCCACGTGAGCATTGAAGTCCCCCAGCAGGACAATGGAGTCCCCTGATGGAGCACTATCTAGCACTCGTCCCAGGGACTCCAAAAAGGGTGGGTACTCTGAACTGATATTTGGCCCATAAGCACAAACAACAGTCAGGACCCGTTCCCCGACCCGAAGGCGCAAGGAAGCTACCCTCTTGTCCCCCGGGGTAAACCCCAACACACAGGCAGAGAGTCTCGGGGCTAACAAAAAGCCAACCCCAGCCCTCCGCCTCTCACCCGGAGCAACTCCAGCAAAGTAGAGTGTCCAACCCCTCTCCAGGTCTCGGGTTCCAGAGCCAATGCAATGTGTCGAGGTGAGTCCGACTATATCTAGCCGGTACCGCTCAACCTCTGCCACAAGCTCCGGCTCCTTCCCCGCCAGCGAGGTGACGTTCCATGTCCCAAAAACTAGTTTTCTTGTCCGGGGATTGGACCGCCAAGGCTCCCGCCTTGGTCTGCCACCCGATTCGCATTGCACCGGACCCTTCATGTTCCTCCTGCGGGTGGTGGGTCCACAGTTGGACGAGCCCATGTATCCGGTTCGGGCTGGGCCCGGCCGGGCCCCATGGGCGAGAGCCCGGCCACCAGGCGCTCGCTCACGGGCCCCAACCCCAGGCCTGGCTCCAGGGTGGGACCCCGGTAACCCTCCGGGCCGGGTACTCCGACTCTTCGTTTTAACCACCATGAAAGATCCTTCGAACCGTTCTTTGTCTCACCCTTCACCTAAGACCAATTTGTCATGGGAGACCCTACCAGGGGCACTAAGTGCCCCAGACAACATAGCTCCTAGGATCATTAGGGCACTCAAACTCCTCCACCACGATAAGGTGACGGTTCAAAAGAAAGAAGTCAAGCAACTTAAGGCTTTAATACAAGAAAATGACATTTAGATGACAATTAGATGCTGATGCTGTAAGTAAAATAACAAATTTAGATAAAACCATATTTATTCAAGGCACAAATGAAAATGAAGTTATAACAGTTGTTAATAAATTTAAAAGTAAAAAGTCAGCAGTTTTACATGGATTTGATATGTCTGTTGTAAAAGAAATCATTGAGATTATAGCCAAACCACTTACACATATTTGTAACCAGTCTCTCCAATCAGGAAAATTTCCTGAAAGGATGAAGGTTGCAAAAGTAATTCCTATCTATAAGGCTGGAGACAAACATGACTTTTCTAATTATAGACCAATTTCTATTTTATCTCAATTGTCCAAAATACTAGAAACAATATTTCATAAACGATTGTATGACTTTATTGAGCATCATGATATTCTTTCTGAACAGCAATATGGTTTTAGACGTGATCGGACAACTTCTCTGGCAATTGTTGATCTAGTGGAGAAAATATCTGATGCAACTGACAACAAACAATATGCTGTTGGGGTGTTCTTAGACCTAACCAAAGCTTTTGATACTGTTAATCATGACTTATTAGTAAAAAAAAAATTGTGTAGATATGGCATCAGGGGTGTGGCCTATGACTGGATTAAGAGTTATTTAGAGAACAGACTCCAATACGTCCACATTAACAACACTGATTCACAGCTACTGACAGTTACCACCGGTATCCCACAGGGGTCAGTGTTAGGTCCCTTGTTGTTTATTCTTTATATTAATGACATATGTTTAGTTTCTAAAACATTGCATTTCATACTATTTGCAGATGATACTAATGTTCTAAGTTTTGGGAAATATTTAATAACATTAATGGACAAAGTTGAGAAAGAATTAAATGCATTAAAGTGTTGGTTTAACTTAAATAAATTAACTTCAAATTTAAATAAAACAAAATTTATCATATTTACTAATAGATCAATTACAGTGGATACACATCTCAAAATAAATAATACAGAAATTGAAAGAGTGAATGAAATAAAATTTCTTGGCATAACCATAGAAAAAGTTAAGTTGGAAACCGCATATTGACTCAATTAAAGCTAAGTTATCTAAATCATTAGCAGTTCTCTATAAAGTTAAATAATTTTTTGATGAAATAGCTTTATATCTTTTGTATTGTTCCTTAATTCTGCCTTATTTCATGTATTGTGCTGAAATGTGGGGAAATACCTACGAAACCCACTTAAAGCCTTTGTTTATAATTCAGAAGAGAGCAATTCGACTTGTAGCAGCTTGTAGAGAGCATACACATTTACTTTTTACACGTTTAAAAGCATTAAAGTTAAGAGAATTAGTTACATTAAGAACTGCACAATTTATGTATAAAGTGATGTATAATTTGATGCCAAAACAAATTCAGGATCTGTTCCAGATCAGAGAGAGTGTTTATGATCTCAGAGGGTATAAAATGTTTAGAAAGCCTAAAGTAAGAACTAAAATGAAACAACTTTATAATTCTTGTGGTGGGGTTGATGTGTGGAATAAATTATACCAGGAGCAAAAAGATTGTTCAACAATGGTAAAGTTTAAGGGTATGCTTAAATCAAATGTGATTAAATATTATGAATCAAGTCAATGAAAAAATGCATAAAATATTAAAGGTCTTTTTTTTAATATAAAGCAAGAATGGGGATTTGAATATATTCCCATACATTTCAAATATGATGTAAAAATTATGGAATTGGTATGCTATTCTAAAATTTTGTTTAAGTTCAAAGGGTTTGGGGGGTTGGGCTTATAAGCTTATGCTTCTGCCTGCACCCATTCTTACCATAGTCTAAATTGTGCGTTTGCTTGTAAACCTGCAAATGTTTCTTTGTTATACTATTTTATTGTGCTATTGTTCTTAATTTCTCATTTAATTTCTCATTAAACTTCTCATAACTTCTCATATAAATTCTCCTATTCTCCTTCTTAGGGTCTCTAATGACCTTCTGACTCACAGTGATGCAGGGGACTGTTCTGTTCTGGTCCTGCTGGACCTGACTGCAGCCTTTGACACTGTTGACCATCACCTGCTACTGCAGAGGCTGAGAGACTGGGTAGGCCTATCAGGAACTGCTCTGGAGTGGTTCTCCCCTCATCTTTCTGAGCGTTCCTTTTCTGTGGCCGTCTCCAAGTTTAATTCCTCCAGCACCTCCCTTACCCATGGTGTCCCACAAGGTTCTGTGCTGGGGCCTCTGCTCTTCCTCCTCTATCTACTTCCTCTTCAGCACATCCTGAGCTCCTTCAAAGGAATCTCCTTACACAGATGGGCTGCAAAGTGGCGCAATTGTTAGCATTGTTGCCTCGCAGCACGAAGGTTGCAGGTTCGAAACTCAGCTGTGGCCTTTCTGCGTGGAGTTGCGTGTTCTCCCCATGCATGCGTGGGTTTCCTCCGGGTACTCCGGTTTCCCCCACAGATCACAACATGCCCTATAGGTTATAAATTGTAAGTCGCTTTGGATAAAAGCATCTGCCAAATAAATAAACATAAACATAGATGACATCCAACTGTACATCTCCTTTAAGCTCCATGAGATGTCTAAGCTGCAGAAGTTACACACCTGCTTAGACTCTATAAAACCTGGATGGCTGGGAGCTTTCTTCAGCTGAATGAAGATAAGACTGAGATCCTCATCTGTGCCCCAGACAAGCTGGTTCCCAAAGTCAGAGACTTTCTTGGTCAGCTTGCTACTCACACCAAACCCTCTGTCAGGAATCTTGGCGTGACCTTTGACCCAGCTCTCACCCTGGATTCTTATGTCACTTCTCTTGTTCGCTCTTCCTTCTTCCATCTCAGGAACGTTGCTAAGCTAAGTCCCATTCTGTCCATTATCCACACCTTCATCTCCTCACGCTTACACTACTGTAACTCTCTTTTCACGTGTCTGAGCAAAACCTCCCTGAACCGTCTACAGGTGGTTCAGAATGCCTGTGCTCGGCTTCTGACCAAAACCTCCAAACACACCCACATCACCCCGCTTCTCCTCCAGCTTCACTGGCTGCCAGTCAACTTCAGGGTTCATTTCAAGACCCTGGTTCTGGTCTACAGGGCCTTACATGGACAACCCCCCCCCCCCCCCCCCCCGAACCTGAGATCAGTGAATTCAGTGGTCTCCTTTCGAAAGCAGCTGAAAACTCACCTGTTCAGGCTGGTTTTGGTGTGACCTTCATCATCCTCTCCTTGTGCTGTCCCCCATCCTATTCCACCTTCCTCAGGATCCACTGATTTCTCTTTCCTATTCACTCTCTCTCTTTCTTTACATTTTTAATCACAACTGTCTATTTTTTGCTCATTTTAAATATATTTTAATTCATTTTCTAAATTATTTTTTATATTTTACATTTTTTGTTTTTGTGAAGTGCCTCGTGATTTTTATCTTGAGAGGCGCTATAGAAAAGATCTTCTTCTTCTATTGGGTGTCTCCTTTGCTTCCTTTTATTTTTATGGACTGTTTCTTTTATACTCTTTTTTATGCCTTACCCCAATTTTAATTGTTTAGTTTTTATTTTTATGTTATGTATCCACACTACGTACGACATGCCGCTTTTCTTAAAGTGATGGTGTGTATTTATCCTGGCGATAGGGGGCAGTACATACCTAAATCATTGCAAGCAAACAGTATTTTTATGTTTGAGTAAGACCTTACCAACGGATGACCATTAGTGTCAAAATTCCCCAAGAGCACTATTTTTGAACAAGTTCTTGGTCAGATCATTCAACCTCCAGCAAAATGACAAGTACAGCATACTCCCTTTCATCACTGACAACAAGCGAAGAGGTAAATGTATTTATTTATTTAACTTATGTTTTTAGAGGATAAAACCCTAAATGTGTAAAACAACAACAACATCTATGAATGGTAAAAGTTCTGTCACTGTTACAAGTCAGTAAATGCGTTTTGATCTCACGGGCTCCCGTAGAAGGAAACGTGGCATCTAATATGGTGTCACCCAGAGACTTAGACCCGCTGCCACGTATTTTAGACCTGATTTTTATGGTTATGTTACGAAGCCACCAATATTTTTCAACAACTAGGCATCATTTAATTTATCATCATTTAACAACATTTGGATTTTTTCCAGAGATTAGCAGTAAAAACTACACATTGTCTCTTTAATGCTCTGGTTTTAGTATTTTAATTTTATCAACATTTTTTTTACTCATTGTCCATGAGGGGCTTTTAAATGTAGTATATTGCCTGTTCTGCTGCCCTTTCCTTGTCAGGATCTTTAGTCAGCTGACATGCTGTGGTTAAATGTTAAAAGAATCAACACTCTTAAAATTTAGAGACATTGTAGAATTGCAGACAGCACAAATATTATTTCTTGCAAGAAACAAACTATTACTAGAAAACATCCAAAAATGATTCATTGAGAAGGAAGGGGGTTATAAATTACGGGAACTATTTCATTTCAGAATTCCTTTTGCACGTACAACAAGTAAAACCTTTTGTATTTCGGTATGTGAAGCAAGACTGTGGAAAAGGATGGAGGGGACACTAAGGAAATGTGTTACTTTGATTCGGTTTAAAAAAAAATACAAAAACAATATTTATTCCAGGTACAGAATTGAGGAGGGTATTTCAGTTTGACAGTCTGTGTTTAAATTATTTACTATTATTATATTAACAAGGACATTATTATAATATAATAAAAAGGACAGGCATAAATATAAGCGTTTTGCTTCTGCCTGAGCCTTTTCAGTCACTTTAAATGTAATGTTTTATGATTATATTATGTTTTGTTGTATTTCTGACTGAATAAATCGAAAGAAAAAAAGTGCTTTACAAAGAAATATGGGATGGTATGGTATCTTCTTGGTGAAGTAGGGTAATTTTTTAACTAGCTTGATTTAAATCTACCTCATATGGGTATTTTTTAAACCAATTTCGTAACGCTACATTCTACACTAAGCACATCATACTGAGGGGCCCTAATCTGTATGATGCATGTCATCAGTTTCTGTTTCTTCAACCTTGAAAAACACAAAAACAGAATTACTCACAGCTACATATTTCTTCTTTCCAAAGAAGCACATGCCAATGTTGTTCCAGAGCGGGGGGCTCTCAGGCACAGCACAAGCTGCCACTCGGTACTTGTTCATGGCCACATCAAAGTCACCGTGGGTTTGCATCATGCAGCCTGCAGCCAGGATGGCCTGGGAATAAAAACAGTGATTAGAGGAAGATGTAACCTTTGAAACAGCACATGATGAAAGTCAAGAAGACTAACATCTGATGGTGAAGGACCTTCTGCTTTGACTGAACAGCCTTCAAACCTTCAGGTGTTGAGTAGAGAACTAAGTTTATGCTGAAGTGTAATGTCATACCTTGTAATTGTTTGGGTCAAAAGTGAGGGCATTCCCGAGGTGCTCAAAGGCTTTTTGGTATTTACCAAGCTAAAAAAAATAACCATTTTTATTAATAGTATTATTTTACATGAGCATACATACATACATACATTAAGGCTACAAACAAATATACCAACCTGTAAATAAAGAAGGCCAAGTGTGGTCAGAAGTTCAGTGTTCTCTGGAGAATACCTGAACAGAGACAGAGAGAAGCTAAATGAAAAGGGTCACTTTTTCAATAACTGAAGCCAGCCACTATGGCTGACAGTCAGATTATTCCAACAGGCTTGTTTTCAGAATGATTACAGAGTATTAATCATGGCCTGTGAGCCCTAAAGGAAAACAGCAAAGAGGAGGCAGACTGACACTGAAATAAGACTCAGCAGTAAGTCTCATTAAAGCGACGCAGGTATTGGGGCGTTTGATTAATTCATTTGCCCCAATAGGAGGCAGCCATAATGAGCTCTGTTACAGACACTGATGTGGTTTACTTATTTACACCATGGCCTCATGTTTAAATATTCAGTAAAGTGGAAATGAGACAAAATTTAAAAGGACCTTGGGTAAAAACGAGGCAAGGGTGGAGCTTCGAGCTAAACCGAATGTTTGCTGGAGGGTGCTTCAGAGACTGAACATCATCAGACACATCAAGCTGGAACAACTTAAAAATACCAAACCGTCTCAGAATGAGTGTTTCAAAGCAGTCCTACTTAATGATTTGGCTCATGGCCATAAAAAACAGACACTTTCCTTGTACCAGTTTCAGTTCCTGAAACTAAATAACTGATTGGTTTAGAATATTTATGGAGCTAATCAGCGGTGGTCCAGAATGACAGTTTTTAAGGGACAGTTTAGATCTTGTCTGGTGGGGTTTTGAAACGTTGTAAACAAATAATCTCCTAATATGCTTTCTGCTTCAAACAGCCTCAGTTTGGAGAAACAGATCAGTTTTGATTGAACAGAGGAATTTGAGGCTACTTGTATGGTACGTGCACATCTGGGTCCAGCCCTGGTAATTTAATTGTGTTCACACCTGGGTAATCTGTGTGTTTCCTGTGCTCAGTTGGCCCTTTTTTTTTAACCTGCTCTCCGGCGGTCCGCCTTGTGTGCAGCCGACCCAGCACACCGACTGCAGACTGGTTGGTTGGCTGAAGTTCACGCCAAACTATAGAGGGAGCTTCTGATTGGCAGGTAGAGTGAGCCAGTGGAGGCTTCCAGCATACACGATGCATTATCAGTCTGCCCGCGGTGGAGTAAACATCTTCTCTGACTGCAGCTCAGACCTGCTGCTCCAGCTGCAGCAGCGCGAGGACGGACTGCTGTGAGGAGCAAACAGCGCCCAGTGAGAGAGTAGGAAACTGTGTGCTTCATATCATATGAAAGCAACACTGCTCATGGCTGCCTTTGTTTACCAACAAAGGAAAATACCATGGACTTCTCAATGCATCTTTTGCCCCGCCCAAGTGCTCTGAGACATCCACGTTTCTGAGAAGCATAAGTGAACAAAGCCTGGCCACGCGGGAGCGTGCCGATGTTACCAAGACCGGATGGGGGCAGGACGGGTGTGAAAACGCCAACAGAGTCTTAAACAATTCCAATCTCAAAGTCTTGTAGCACGTAGTAAAAAAAACTCTTTTATAACATTAAGATTAAAAACTTCAGCACTTCCTGATCATTCCATCAGAATTCTTGTTGAACTCCAGCCAGAAATGATTTTTTGCTGCAATTAAGTGCACAAATCAATGTCAATAACCATTTATTGTAAACTGTATGGGATGTAAAAGTCTATAAAAACAGCCAGTGGCTCATCTGTCTGGACAGAACTAATCACTGTTCTACAAACTGAGGTTGTTAAATGAGATAAATACAACAGCCATTTTCACCCACTGTAAAAACTATCTGGATTGTCCCTTTAATTGAAGAGAAGCCTCTCTGTTTGTCTGCTAAGTGCCTGTTAGCAGTGACAACGTTCATGCTTCACTTACTCCACAGCTCTCTTATACACATCAATGGCCTTGTCGGTTTCTCCAGCCAGCAAATGAACCTTCCCAAGCATCATGAAAGTCTTGTCGTGTTTATTTATCTGAAGTGCCGCATTCAGATGATCCTCAGCCTGACAGAAACAAAAAGTCTAAATGCTTAAAGCCCCAGTTGTTGACTTCTGTTTGTACAACTTCAACATACTCACACTTCTGAAGTCTTTGATGAAGTAAAAGCACACGCCCAGATTATGACTGATTTCCTAGGGTGAGAAAGTGTCAAATATCATTATTTTACATGGATTGTTGTTGCATGCTTGTTTGAAAATTTGTTTTCTCACACAACAGCTTTGCAGGGAGACACATGGTGCAGTTAGCTAAGAGTAGCAAGAGCAAGGATTATTTATGTTTTGAAAACATGGCGGTGAATAATGAGAGAGTTTCATATGCTCTTTAACAACGCGGGTGTCCCAAACGTAGCCCCAAAGTTGTTTTTCAGTAAATTGTTGTCAAGTGAAGGAGGTTCACTCAGAGTGTTTCCTGTTCTGGATGTGGCAGAGTTTTGTTGAGAGAACTTCAAGCTGTGTTTTTAAGGAGGAAGATGCCGGCAGTGCCTCTAAACACTTTCTCTTAGAACTTCAAGGCAAAGCAGAAACTCGGTACTGGTTTTTGTGTGTGTGTGTGTGTTGTGTGTGTGTGTGTGTGTGTGTGTGTGTTGTGTGTGTTGTGTGTGTTGTGTGTGTTTGTGTGTGGTGTGTGTGTGTGTGTGTTGTGTGTGTGTGTGTGTGTGTGTGTGTGTGTGTGTGTGTGTGTGTGTGTGTGTTTACCCAGTCTTTTTCATTGAGTTTTGCAGCTTCATGATAGAACTCAATAGCTGCTTTGTGCTTTCCCAGAAGGAATCTGTAGAGAGAATAAACAACGATCGATATCAGAAATTAAAGGTTCAATATGGAACATGGTCACCATAGCGACATCTAGAGTGTACAGGTTGTTGTTGCAACAGAAACATTTTCCAGCCATAGGGGTATTGGTTCACTGCACTGAAGTGACCAGCCAGCACCATGTCCAGTGATGAATCCCATTAGTCATCATCACACCCTGGTGAAATCACATCTCCGCATTTGACCCATCCCTGTGGAGAGCAGTGAGCTGCAGCAGTGGCTGCACTCAGGAACCATTTTGTGGTTTAACCTCCCAATCCAAACCCTTAAAGCTGAGTGTCAAGCAGGGAGGCATTGGGCCCCATGTTTTAAAGTCTATGGTATGATGATCTGACTGGGATTTGAACCCTGATCTCCCAGTCCCAGGCAGACACTCTTCCACTAGGCTGCTGAGAAGGTTCAGGGTAAGGACACTTACTTTTCAACAGTATTTAACATTAGGACATCTTCTGGGATCAGAAGCAGCTGCTTGACTTGTCGAGTCCGCCATTTTGCACATTCCCAGCCTCGCCTTGCTGACTTTTTACCACATTGGTGGCCCTCTATTGGCTGGTAGATGTAAACATGAACGCAATATTATACTTTTTTTTATATAGCTTTTAAATGAAAAACTGTACATTCATTCTGCACACCTCTAAATGCTCAATGGAGGTAATATTTAAAAAAAATATATAACTGTGTATCAAATTGTTCCATACTGAACCTATAACTAAAACTTCACCTACATGCTGAAAAACCATCACAGCGAGAGCCCTCTTTCCCATATTCTCCCACTGCTTTATTATGTATATTTGTCATTTGCCCGTTTTGTTAGCTAACAAGGAAGAGTTGGTGCACTGGTGCAAGCTGGAGAGCAGCAGACTCACAGTGATCTGGCCACTTGCTTGAGGTTGTCACTGCTGCTGGGATTAAGGATGGCACAACTCTGAAACAGCTCCAGGGACTGTTGGATCTTCCCCTCAAGACGTAAGATTAGTGCTGGGAAGAAAAAGACACAAAAAGAGGATTATCGTCTACTTGAAGGAGAAATAAAGTGACAAAAACATTAAGAGTCAAAGGCGCAGCATGATGTCTTAAGAGCAGATTTGTGGAAATTAAACGACAGATTTAGAAACTTGAGAGAGGAGCATCAATGGGGCTTTTATTAAACGTAGCTGTTAACTAACATCAAATGTGTGCATGAAGGAGAAATGCTAGCTAACCTTGAACATAAATAGCATATTCACACATTCCACTGGTCTCGTGCAGTTGTTCTTTAATGATCACCTAGAAAAACAAAAATGAGCGGATAATTCAGACAAAATTATAAAACTCACACATCATCTTTTAAGATTATTGTTCTTGAGATGATATAAATAGCATTGAAAAATTCTCAGTATCTTGCCCAGTCTGCCTTTGCATAATAAATCATTTTCACACTAGGATTAATACCTTCACAGCTGGAAAATGATTAAAAGTCTTGGTTAGCTTTTAGAGTTTTTGCAGATTACAAGAGACTAAGAGCAAGGTCTCTATCTTGTTATCACTTTGTTTAAAAATAGACCTTCTGAGCGTTGGTGAGAAGGGGGATCAAGCTGCACATTTTACAAGTTTAGCAGCTTATTCACAGAACACCTAACTGGTTTATGCAGAAATACCAGAAGTAATGCAGCAACAACATCCTCTGTGAAGACAGGCAGATGTGATTATTTGCCAGGAATTTCTTTTTCTTTATGACAACTGATCTGTAGGAAAAACCTGGAGGAAAAGCCTTTCTTTACCTTACAGGTCTCGTAGTCTTTGCGGAGGTAGTGCTGGTGGATGAGCCAGTTTCGCCTCTCCACAATAGGAAGCTCTGGAGCTGGGTGGATTCAAAATAACAGGTGAAGTAAGAGCAATGAGACTGAAAAAGATGTGTGAAAATGTTAGGCTGATTCCATTTAGCTGTTCATGTAACGTCTCTGTTTGTTGTCAGATGAATTATTCATCCTGTAAAGTGCCCTCCTTTTGCAGTCTTTTGTACGCCTCTGATCTGACAGCGAATGCAGATGTAACACACTGCAACCTAAATCCACAAGCTACATCTAATTCACCAGACACACTGGAAGTATTGGCTTACTAGTTGGGTTTAACGTTGGAAGAGACAGCTCAAACTAAACACATATCTATGCGAGTGTGGAGGCTTTTTCTATTCTGACAGACGGATAAATAAGCGGGAACGAGCCCTACCTCTGCAGTCACTAGCGAGTCTTTGATGTGACTGTTAACATAGATGTTAGGACTTGAATAAACCGCGGGCTAAACTGTAATCTGTTCACCAGCCAGGCTGTAAATGTCACCTTGTAGGCAAGTTTTGCGTTACAAACACATGCTTTGTTTCCCAACCTCCCCATCTTTCTTCAAACATCTCGGCCGGCTGAGATATCCTTCTTGTTGCCAGGGCAACAATGTCTCTTGGAAGCCAGGTGCTTGCGACAGAACTAGAGACTGAATGAGCAGCACAATGCAAGGCTTTAGAGAAAGGGTTAGGTAACCTCAAGAACTAAACTCCAATGCTCCGACTCCTCTTCCCAGAGGAGAGCAACATTTCATTTCACAAGGAAGCAAATGCAATTCCGTCTGAAGCAGGCTTGATTCTGGTAATCTTGTTATCTTGCACCTACTACCTTTTCCTCTGGGGCTAAAAACGGGATTCAGTACATTGCAAAATAAAGTGCAAGTATTGAGTGTGTCGGTGACATTGGTTAGGGAATGTTTTATGAGCAGCGTGTTAAGATTCAGCGTGAATCGCACCAAAACTCCCTTCTGTCTCTATCTGTCAGCACTTCAAGCAGGACTCTGATGATCTGCTGCAAACACCAGAGTCTGCTCCAAACACTTCACAGGAATCCTCGCCATCGTGAAACTGCATGGGTTTCACGCGTTTGCCTCATCAAGATTTGGAACGGTCCTATTTGTAGAGACCCAATCCGCTTTCTTCCAGCTGAGACAGCGATAATACTCTTGTGCCTGGAATTCTGTGATGCTCCCGTATCCTCGAACATAAAGCAGGAACAACAGAATAAATGTAACATGCAGCTTCTGCAGGAAAGAACAGAGGCAGCCGACAGGCAGCTCAGCAGGAGGTGTCCCATTTCTAGTTGTGTGGAAAAACTTCATCCCGGAGGAATTTCGTCATTGTTCTAGCTGATCTAGCTAATGCTAAGCCACTTCTGTCATCCTCGTGTTTCAGCCATGTGCTAAAGGAGGATAAGAGCAGAGGAAAGGCATGCTGAGATGAAAAGACACATGTGGAGATCCTAATGAAAAAAATTTGGCACGTTTTTTTTCCTGAACACTTTAGGGACTTTTCATCTAGTGGAGCGGTTTGGTCTCACGTTAGGCTGCAGACACCAAGTTTTCTCAGCAAAGAGCCAGAATATGATGTCCGTACAGCGGTCATTGGTGGTATTATCTAGTAAACAAACACGTTATCCACAACATCACTTTGTGTTTACATTAAATAAACATCACTGTGTTTCATGGATGTAAAAACTTTGTTCGTCTTTTTAACACCTTGATCTATCAGCTGAAACTTCTCCCAGCCTTTGTTAGTGTCTACACGAGTGATCATCACTAAGTTAAAGAAATCAGATGTGTTCATGATCTAAAACATGCAGGAAACGTGCTGGAGGCAGACTGCAGTGCCAGGTGTTTCAGCTGAGTTTTTTCTAAGTCCAACAGACCGGCCCGGTACTCTGAAGTTGCAAATGCAGTATTCTTGCCACAGAGGGACGTGGCAAGTGACATTTCATTAACCCTGTAAACTGTCATTTTAGCACATACCGACTCATGAACATAATTAATAAACATGAAACAGTTGTATAGTACCAATTTTATTTATTTTATTTTATTTAGGGCAAAATGTAAGACAATAATAATAATTTTAAAATGCTTGAAGTAACATTGTTATTCTTTTTTATTTAAACAATTCTAGTATTTTGGGCATATGCTTTTATTTTAGTAGTTTTAGTTCAGTAAAGTAGTTCAGTCTTTAGTTTAGGTTTGTAGCGGAGTGTGAAGCGGCTGGGATGAGAATCTGCTCCTCTAAATGGTCTTGAGTCAGAAAAGGGTAGAATGTCTTCTCCTGGTCAGGGACGAGGTCCTGCCCCAAGTAGAGAAGTTTCAGTATCTCTGGGTCTTGTTCACAAGTGAGGGAAAGCTGGAGCACGAGATTGATAGGCGGATTGGTGCTGCATCTGCATGGATCTTATATGTTGCACTAGTCTGTCATGGTGAAGAGAGAGCCGAGCCAAAAGATGATTTACCGGTCAATCTACGTTCCAACCCTCACCTGTGGTCACGCGTTTTGGGTAGTGACAGATAAAATGAGATCACGGATACAAGCGGCCAAAGTGACTTTTCTCTGCAGGGTGCCTGAGAAGCCCAGTCATCCAGGAGGGACTCAGACTAGATCCGCTACTCATCCACATCAAGAGGAGCCAGTTGAGGTGGCTCAGGCATCTAGTTAGGATGCATCCTGGACGCCTCCTTGGTAAAGTTTTCCAGGCATGTCCAACTGGGAGGAGACCTAAAGGAAGACCCAGGACACGCTGGAGGGACTATGTCTCTCGTCTGGCCAGGGAACATTTTGGGATTCCCCGGAAGAGCTGGCCCAAGTGACTGGGGAGAGGGAAGTCTGGGCCTCTCTGCTTAGGCTGCTGCTTCTGCGACCTGACTCTGGATAAGTGATGTGGGCGTTGTACCGATCTGTCGTGGTGAAGAGAGAGCTGAGCCTGAAGGCAAAGCTCTCAATTTACCGTTCGATCTACGTTCCTACTCTCACCTATGGTCATGAGCTTTGGGTAGTGACCGAATGAACAAGATTGTGGATACAAGCGGCCGAAATGAGTTTTCTCTCTGGGCTCACCCTTAGAGATAGGGTGAGAAGCTCGATCATTCGGGAGGGCTCGGAGTAGATCCACTGCTCCTCCACATCGAGAGGAGCCAGTTGAAGTGGCTCGGGCATCTGGTCAGGATGCCTTTTGGATGCCTCCCAGGTGAGGTTTTCCAGGCCCATCCAACTGGGAGAAGACCCAAGGGGAGAGGGGGAAGTCTGGGCCTCTCGGCTTAGGCTGCCGCACCCACGACCCGACCCCGGATAAGCAGCTGAAAATGGATGGATGGATGGATGGATAGCTCAGTAGATGCTATAAAGGGACTAGGTCAACTTGCATATCAACAAACTGGCATTAAATGACTTTTAAACAACAAGAGAGTTGTTGATTTCTTGTCAAATCTGGGGGAAGGGAGATTTCCCTTGCCGATGTTGGAATTCAGTTGCAGCTGTTATTTATATGTTCGAAACCTTTTTTTAGACAAAGTTTTCCAAAATTAGTATGTCTAGTTTTAGTTAAATGCTTTTGAAACAAATCAGTGCTTAACAAGGCAGGGGGCCTGAACTAACAATAGGCCATAATGTAAGACACATATTATACAACTGTCACCTACAGGCAGAAGAACTGGGTGACAAAAGGGTTTTCTGAAAGCAATTAGGACAGAAAAATGATCTCACATACAGAAACCTCTTGCAGGCTCAGAAAGTACTGAGTGCATCGTTTTCTTTTTAAAGAGAACAAACAGAAGAACAAGGGCGACCTCTGCAGGCACAGATCTGACACAACAGGAAAAGCTATTAGACTGAATGCAAAATTACAGTGAAAAATAATTTGTCCCGTTTTTGCTTTTGGTTCATCAAACACAAAGTTTGCAGAGCTCCAAGAAAATTTCAATATCAGGAAAAAAACATCAGAGTAAATATGAAATCCATTTGCCTGCTACGATTCATTTTATTATAAAAATACAGGATCCCAACCAACCTGTGACCAAAATATAAAACACACACCAGATGTGACGGGACACACACACCTTCCAAACACTTCCACTTTTGGAGATCATAAAGAAGTTTTTGGCAAATGTGGAATGAGTCTTTGAGGTCTTTTGGGTCAGCAGATGCTTTTGTGTCCAAACCCTAAGGTCTGTCTGTTGTCAGGCCTGGACATATGGCTGGTGAACTTCAACTCAGCTTTCTAATTAAAGGGATTCATCGCATTTAATTTGTGATTCAAAAAGTCCTGGTAGGTTTGGAATCATAATTTTAAAAGTGCTTTTTTATCATGTTTGGGTTACAAATACTTGGGTGTAGCAGGGTTCCTGACCCTACCTTTAGGTGCGCGACGTTTCTTGGCTTCAGTAGAAATGATGAGCTGAAAAGTATGAAGCAAAAAAATAAATAAACCAGCAGATAAACTGGAAATAGAGGAATGCATTCATAGAAAACACCAATTCTGTGTTCAAAAAGTGAATGCAGATGGCAGGTCCCACCCAAACGACTAGTGGACAAGTGTGGAAGAACTGGTTTGCAGAAACAGTTGACATGGTAAATGGCCTGTATTTGTGTAGCACAAAAAAAAGCGCTTCACAACACAATCAGTCATTCACCCATTCACACACACATTCACACGCTGGTGAAGATGGACTGTAGCTACAGCTGCCCTGAGGCGCGCTGCCACCATCAGTCCCTCCGACCACCACCAGCAGGCAAGGTGGGTTAAGTGTCTTGCCAACACAACAGCTGCATTCTCTGGTGGGGGCCGGGATGAAACCGGCAACCTCCTGATTCCTAGACAACCTGCTAGCTCCTGAGCTACTGCTGCATATGTTCATAAACTAAAAGAAGAAGTAAACAGTCTTCACTTAGAGTATTTGAAATACTCCAAATGTAAATTGTGCAGGTTGTTTTAACTCTGTGACGTGATGAACAAAGAATGAACTCAACTGCTTTGTATAAATATTCAAGCAGGTACTAAGTCTTAACTGCTTACATCTGTTTATTCACACGGTTTAGCTCAGCAGTACATTTTCATGTTGTTGCAGATGAATTCCTGCAGCTTAATATACCAAATGCAAGTGGACAGTTTACCATTCCAAAGTTTGGCTATTTTAGAGAAACCCAGAGCTGCAAATGTAGTAAATAAGAACCATTTAAGTTCTAAACGCACTGTTATCAATTTAGCTTAATACTTTATAACAATACATGAAAGCGTTAATATATGAATGCTTTGTTTTCTTATATTAAAGGTTTTCCCTACATTGTTGTCAGTGTTGTGGTTTTATTAATTAATCAATAATTGTTTCCTTGTATATTTCCTTGTCAGTGATGTTTTTCAGGGTTTTCCTTTGTCCCTTGTTTAGTTGTGCCTCTTAATCATGTTGTATTTGCTCATTATTAGCATATTTTGTGGTATTGATTTTGTTTTCTAATTACCAATCATAGTTCCCAGTCAGTGTCCCCACCAATGTCAAGAGCAAATCTACGAACGCATTCAGCACTTTTGCACACATTCATCCACTAAACATAAACATCCAATTGCTTCTTATTTCAGTAATCACTCCTCCTTGTATTACTCCTAAGTTTCTAAAGTTTGTCAGAAACTACAGATTGGCTCCTCGTTGTTGCATTTCCTGTGATTACAGTAATTTTTTTAGTTTTGTTTAGAGAACAGTCACTGGCGTTTTAGTAACGCGGTTTCCGAAAGGCTATTTGTCTGTTATTATAATCTGACCTGACACAAGAGGTGGGATTTGTTTTGAAGCCATTCGTTGTTAGAGACGAGTTAATAACGTTGCAGCTCCAGCAGACAGCAACGTTCGGCTCATGCCATTGTCCTGTTGTCATTTGACTGTAGCTAGAAGGTTCGTCTCGCTGTGGGTTAAAATGGAAAAAGCACGAAAGTTTTACTACTAGTTAGCTACAGCTCCATAAACTCCGACTTAATCGGTTAGCCAGGCAGCTGCTGACGCGCGCTCAAATGAGCAAAACACTACTATTCGGGTCTCAAGTCTAGCATTTTTGTAACGGACGAGGTGTTATGCTGTCACATATATTAATGACTATGTTCTGTTTGCTCCAGCAAAAGGGGCGACAAGGTGTTTATGCGTTAACTCACCGCAGTTTTTTCCTCGTCCGCCATCTTGAAATGATCAACAGTAGAAGCTGTTGTCATGGTTACAAGCCATGGATCTACGGAAGAGGATTAGGGCCATTGCAAAAAGCAAAAAGGTTTTAAAAAATTAAATATGTCTGATATTATTTTCAGAATTCTGACTTTTGACTTCTGATATTTAAGTTAAAATTCGGAGAAAAAACTCTGAACTCTGACATAAAAATTACTTCTGAGATTAAAATCAGATTTTTTTCCTGTTTCCCCTTATCAGCTTCCGTATTCAGTTTTTATTTTTATTTTTTTATGAAAGGGAAAAAAAGACATTTAATTACAGCATTTTCACAAATTTCTTACGAAATGTGTAGAGCAATTATCTAGTGCTATGCTGAAAACACCCCTTTTTCTTTTTGGTGACAAACTACAAAGTAACTTTAACTTTATAAATCCAGTTTCATCTTCTTTTTCCACTCATCCTTCTCGTCCTACTTATCAATATTCCCAATAGGAAAAAACGAAAGATTAAGATTTTTTTTAAAGCTTCATTGAATTCAGTTTATTTATACAGCGCCAAATCAAGACAAGAGTCGTATTAAGTAAATGTTCCAAAACACTTCAGTTCATTATGCCAATCAGTAAAAATGTTCATATATAAGTAATTAATAAAAAAAAAATAGCATCTTCTTATGGTTCTACAGTCCCCCACACATTCAGTCTACCCATTCACACACACACACACACACATTACAATGGTGGGGATATGATGTAGCAACAGCTGCCCTGGGGCACACTGACGGCAGTGAGGCCTACCGTACAACTGACGCCACCAGTCTCTCTGACCACCACCAGTAGGCAAGGCAGCAATCTCTGGAGGGAGCCGGGATTGAACCTGCAGCCCTCCAATGACTGGACGACCTGCTCTACCTCCTGAGCTACTGCTGTCCCCAGCTGTCTTTGGGCTTCATGTTCTTGCACCTTTCAGAAGAAGCTTACAGCCGTGCTTTGTCAGAAAGTAGTTTCAATCTATTATTATTTTCATTTGCAGTCAGTATGATAACTGAGGTAACCAAGCAGAATTAGCATCACTATTGCATAGTTTAAAAGGCATTTTCACACTCAAGGCTAGTTGGTACCATTCACTTAACATTGTTTTATGCTAAAAGATTACTGTCGAGTGGGTTACAAATACAGGTCCTTCTCAAAAAATTAGCATATTGTGATGAAGTTCATTTTCTGTAATGTACTGATAAACATACTTTCATATGTATTAGATTCATTACACACAACTGAAGTAGTTCAAGCTTTTTATTGTTTCTAATATTGATGATTTTGGCATACAGCTCATGAAAACCCAAAATTCCAATCTCAAAAATTAGCATATCATGAAAAGGTTCTCTAAACGAGCTACTAACCTAATCATCTGAGTCAACTAATTAACTCTAAACACCTGCAAAAGATTCCTGAGGCTTTTAAAAACTCCCAGCGTGGTTCATTACTCAAAACTGCAATCATGGGTAAGACTGCCGACCTGACTGCTGTCCAGAAGGCCATCACTGACACCCTCAAGCAAGAGGGTAAGACACAAAAAGAAATTTCAGAATGAATAGGCTGTTCCCAGAGTGCTGTATCAAGGCACCTCAGTGGGAAGTCTGTGGGAAGGAAAAAGTGTGGCAGGAAACGCTGCTCAACGAGAAGAGGTGACCGGACCCTGAGGAAGAATGTAGAGAAGGACAGATTCCAGACCTTGGGGGACCAGCAGAAGCAGTGGACTGAGTCTGGAGTACAAACATCCAGAGCCACCGTGTACAGGCGTGTGCAGGAAATAATCTACAGGTGCCGCATTCCCCAGGTCAAGCCACTTTTGAACCAGAAACAGCGGCAAAAGCGCCTGACCTGGGCTACAGAGAAGCAGCACTGGACTGTTGCTCAGTGGTCCAAAGTACTTTTTGGGATGAAAGCAAATTTTGCATGTCATTCGGAAATCAAGGTGCCAGAGTCTGGAGGAAGACTGGGCAGAGGGAAATGCCAAAATGCCTTAAGTCCAGTGTCAAGTACCCACAGTCAGTGATGGTCTGGGGTGGCATGTCAGCTGCTGGTGTTGGTCCACTGTGTTTTATCAAGGGCAGGGTCAATGCAGCTAGCTATCAGGAGATTTTGGAGCACTTCATGCTTCCATCTGCTGAAAAGCTTTATGGAGATGAAGATTTCATTATTCAGCATGACCTGGCACCTGCTCACAGTGCCAAAACCACTGGTAAATGGTATACTGACCATGGTATTACTGTGCTCAATTGGCCTACTTATCCAACTATGGGAAATATGGCAACACAATTTTATTTTGGGGTGAAATATCTTTAAGGATCAGATCCTATCAGACAACTGAGTATCAGAATGTGGTGGTAAAGGACCCAAGTACAGGTGATAACTCCAGGAGGGAGGGAGGGAGGTACAATTAAAGATTTTTAATAAAAATGCAAAAAACAATCCAAGCATGAAAAAGGTTAATACAGGCAAACCATGAAAACCAGGATAGACCATGGGCAACAGGATATAACAAGGAGATCTGACACAAATGGAATCAGGGTGCTTAAATACAGGAGGTGTTAGCTAAACAGAGACAGGTGAGTTGATGCTAAACAGGTGTTCATGAGTAGTGACTGGGTAGCTAAGGTAAATAAAAATGAGCAGAGGCACAAGGGAAACAATATTAATCTATCAAAAGGGCCAAAATCAGGGATTTAACCACAAATCAAAAGAATAAACATCACCAAACATTAAAGGCTAGCCATTTCTAAATACCCACGATTCGTGACAAATAGCCTTTGGAATAAGTGAATATTGTCTGAAATCTTTTACTTTATAAGTAATATTTAATAAATAAACTTTAATAAACTAAGTTAAATTTTAACTCTTATTAGGTTTTGTCTGTTGTCTGGCAGTGTAACGTACCCTGCTCTATCGTCTCATCTTCACACCGATCACATTTTCCATTGCAAGGTTTCCCTAAAATGAAGTATCCCACTTAGCCCAAATCTGAGACATGAAATGATTTACTTAAGCACAGGCCAGCCCACAGGCTTGCCAGGGCCTGGGATATAGCATTATTTGTAGAGATCACTAAACAGACAATCCCTCTTGGAAAAGTTAAGACAAGCTGCTCGTCATGTGTAGAAACGAACGAAGGACCTGCTTCATGATCTTTATTATTTACAGTTTGAGGTCCGAGTCTTCCATTCAAAGCCAGAATCATCTAGAGCCATGGAGCCTCTGATGGCCTTCATGCTGCAGTTGAATCAGAAATAATTCAGCAGACATTGTGCTGTAGCCGAAACAACAATGGGAATATATTTGTTCTGAAAGTATCAATGGCTGACTGTGATTCAGCACAAGGGTGTTAAGGGGATCTGAGATATCAGAGGTGTTAGTGTGAGACAGGAGTGTGAGACTCCAAAACTCAAATGCACTCACATTCAGCTCTGGAAACACGCTGAGCCAGGCCAGGAAGTGAAAGCAGCTAACAGTGTGTTAGCAGAATATGCAGATTAAGGAGGTGCATCTGAACTGCTTTTATTCAAAAGATCAGAGTTCAATGAGATTATGCAAGTAAGTTGTTTTCTACATAGTATGGCCTTGGAGAAGAGACAGTGCTGAAGTTATTTAGTGTCATTACAAATTTACAATCCCACCGAAGCTTGTGGGAAACCCAGAGAACCTTTAACCAGGTCTAAATGTTTTTCTACATTGAAAGCTGTAATTGTACTAAATTATACAGCAGCTTTTAAAACCATAAATACTGGTAAATATGAACTAAAATTAAACACCATAATTTGATCAAAGGGACAGATCGCAATAAAATAAGTGATAAGATCAAGTCCTGCTTTAGTCTTTATGCACATGACTCATGTAGAGCTATTCTTGTTGTTCAACATAATTGAGTCTAGAAACATGAACTCATATTTGAACTATTTATTGCAATCCAAGACTGAAGCTAATCAAACACCCATACAGTAATTAGTTTAAATTAGCTGCAGTACATTCTAATAAACCATTTGATCAAACCACCAAAACACATTTTCTGCATACAATAAAATATTTACATAAAGACTTCACAATCCCAGTAGCCATCAAGTAGTAAATTCCTGCAACAACATTTGTGTGCAATTTCATTGTTCTTCCAGCTCTATATTACACCTATGGATTCCTATTATCCAATCTATCTATTAGCATCAAGCCCGCATGTCTTCCATAGTAACAATAACAAGGTCACCGAAATGACAGAAAACAGGTCTTCGTCACAAACATGAACATGTAACCTCTTCCCCACATTGCATCTTCATTTACCCTTTTGAGTGGGTTCCATTAAAAGCTATGTAAGCTAACACAGAATAAAGACCGACCTTCATCCCATCACCTTCATCATTCAGCTCCTGTGCAGTCTGTACATGTTAAAACTGTATCTTTGGAAATCTTCAACACAAAACAGTAACAGCGGAAACATGCTTCTGATAAAATCCCAATTGGTATGTAGTAAGAGATAAAAATCAGGTAGAAAGGATTTTCTTGGTCCTGCAACATATTGTTACGAATGTCAAAATCTACATGTAGTGCTTATTCATAGGCGTGTGTTCTATATGACTACACAGCTGGGGTGTGATAAAAGCAACATTTAAAATAAAGCTCACTCAATTGCTTTAAGAATGATAGGATTTAAGTAAATCTTTCCTGGTTTAGACTCTTTTTCCCTTCAGTATTTTCCCTGAGAGCCACATGTGAACTCAGACAGGCTCAAGACATGAGATGTTTTAACAGTCTTGTTTTTGTTGTGCTGCAACAATCCCACACCATAATGATAATGTCTCATTAGACTGTTAAATGCAGCTTGGGGGTTTTGGGAAGGGGGTGAAAAAATTTCCCTGTGACCTAAAGACCTCTTCAGAATGCTGGGGTGCATTGATAAGGGTGATTGAGAGTATATTAGCCTTAGGTTTGGAGGATGTGGAGGTGGTTTAATTTTCCTGATTTCTCCCAAAAGCTCCCTGAGCAGCAGAGCTGGCAGCACTAGCTGCAGTGGTCTGGACGGTTCTGTTTGTCAGGACTCCTTTAGAAAACTCCTCCTGGGCCTTGGTGAAGCTTGCACCCGTCCTTCTGTACTTGGCGTGAACCTTGAATGAGAACAATAAAAGATAGCATTAACTGGCTAATTACTTTGACAGAATATTATAGCAAGGGTTTTATATTACAAGTAGAAATGCGCTTGTTTCAGGAACTAGCAGAATGACACATGAGAGCTTAACACTGTAATTACACATTTTTATCTTTACTGTAAATACACCTTTTTATACTTTTTGACATCTGGAACAGTTTGTAATGTAAGAATTTCATTGTGCGGGGAAGTTTGCTTCTTTACTGTGCATACGACAATAAAGCTTTGACTACATGGCAGGATTTGGAGTCTTATTTCCTAATATTTGGACATCTCGGCTCAGACCGGATAAAAGCAACACGACTACCATTGACTGTTTGCTCTGCAACATTGATGTTTTATCTCCACCAGTACCACAAGCCTGGAGGACCTACTGCCGTGTGGTGGAGTTGCTAATGCCAATGGTTAGCTTCTACTAGTAGAGACGTTCTATGAGGTTTCCTCGATGCCAAACCAACAACCTTCCCATCATGAGTCAAAACGGATGAGTCCATGAATGTTAAGTGACAGTGTGACGTAGGTTGGTCAGGATTATCAAAAGTTTCACCGTCTATTTTCTGTCACAAGCTAATGAAGGAGTGTATTTCATGTTCTACATGTATGTAAAACTCAGATTATAACCAGAAATAATTCAAATGATTTTTCAGTGTTTCACACCTTAAAAAGTGGAAAAAAAGTATTAATAAAAAAATAAAAAATAAAAAAACACATAATTCAAGGTAAAAATATTTGGAAATGATGGACGAACATCATAATGGTAACATGTTTATTTTGTTTTGGTCAAATTCAACTATTTAAAAGGCCCCGAGAGGGCCACTATAAATGTTTTACTAAATTAAAGGCCTTTGGTTATTTTACAGCTAGCAGTCAATAACAAGACAGTTTACTAAAAAACAGGGAGCAGAAAGACTGTATAAGTTATTACGGTTTGTGTATCAAACACAAGAGGCTGACAAACATCAGCCATCAGCAGGCATTATCTTACCATTTTCAGCAGGATGAGAGCCAGGACAGCATTAACAGTGAAGAACCCAGCCACCACCATCATGACCACAGCTACTGCCAAGTTTGTACCAATCACGGAGATCGATAAGATCCACCCACTGTTAAAACCAAAGATAAACAATAGAGTCATCTCACTTTTTCTGTCAAATGTGTATTACAGCACTGCATGGGACAAATTTTTACTTCTGCTAATGGGGTCTGCAACAATCCAATGATGTTTGCATCAGACCCCGCCTCCACCCACAAATCCAATAAAACAAAAGGACTAACTTTACAACCCAATACACTTCTATGCATGGGGTGTTTTATTTCAGAACCACAAGCTTCTCCATACACTGAATTTCTGTCCTTTTCTTCACTCGTAATCTTAATTTTCTTACAATTCTCCGTTCTCTACATCCTACCGATAATCCAGAGACTTGCTGTATATTTTTGGCTGCCTTCTTTTCCCCACAGAAATCTGTCAACTGCTGACATTTGCTAGATTTACGTTGGATCACATGGATTTTGCGAGACCCCAGTCCCAATCCAGAGCTATTACCAAACCAAGTTCCTCTCCATCAACAATCTCGGGACCAGCGGTAAGTTTTTAGCCGCCAGCAGAACCCTTACGACTAAGGATGTGTATTGGTGAAATTCTGGCGACACGATACGTATCCTGATACAGGGGAGACGATAAGATATATCACCATATGTTGCGATACATTCAACCAAACGCAATCAATTTTTTAGATGGAATTTATTGTAGGAAAATTCAATAAACGTTCCAAACTAATACGTAACATGTTTAACATGAGGTATCTGTACCATAATAGAGGGGTTTACATTTTAGTGGTGGAAACAAAACCCATCACACACTGCTGCCACCTAGCCGTCGGTAACTGAATTACACCAAAAGAAAAGAAATATGTTTGCATGTTAATTCTGCCCAAATAAATAAACCATACACAACTTTTGAATATCAACATACTATCACAGAAAAACATTTCATGATATATTGCTGTATAGATATTTTCTTACATTGCTACTTATGACTTTCCACCCATGCAAGATTTGTGCAGGGTCTTTCAAGTCACAATGCAGGGCTGTAATGTCTCTAATAACTGTATTTTCAGCAAGATGTAATGTGCTTCTAAAAGCCTTGATTAACAGGCATTTTTGCCTGCATTAAAACACAACAAAGAAATGAAAAAGTGAAGAAAGAAAAAGATTTTAAAAGGTAGAAATATTACCCAAATTAGATAGAAAATGTACCCAAAGAGAAAACTCCACACACTGACAAAGAAGCAACCCAAACAAAAAAGGTCAACTGGAATCTGTCAAAGAAACACAAGAGATTGGAAACAGAAGGGTGAACACAACAACACATGAATAATCCAGCTTATTCAGAGAGTCTTAAGAACCAAGAGAACAGAGCACATCACTCCTGTTCTTAAATCTCTACAATGGTTACCAGTAAACTACAGAATTGACTTCAAAGTGCTTCTACTAGTTTATAAACACTCAATGGCATGGGGCCAAAATACATGTTGGAACTACTTCGGGTATATTTGCCCAGCAAGGCTTGGAGCTCTTTAGGAAGTAGTCAGCTATTCTTTATAATGGAAAGCACATTGAATTGCCTTTGTGTATGAAATGTGCCATATAAATAAAGCTGCCTTGCTATACATAACGTAAGAATGTACCCAAAACAGAAGCACATTCATACAGATGAACACAAAAGGCTGCACCACACCCTGAGATTTTAAGTCACTGACCTGTTTCCCCAAGACGGGATCCCCACCGACTGGATGACGTACACCGCCACTTGCAGGAAAAAAACAAAGAAGAAGAAGAAGAAGCTGAAGGAGCTGTCAGACCTATAAAAAGAGAAGATAGAGAATAAACACATTCAAATTTTAGTATGGCTTTTTAACTGTTCATTCACACAATTTGCATTATTTTTACACTCCAACCACTAAGCACCTTGATTATGTTTATATATCATCTTAGAAAGGATTAACCTAACCAGAGCTGATCGATCTGACATAATTCTAACTTGTAAGGTTTCTTTGTGTCTTTTAGTTTCAAATCTAAGCAGCACTTGAAGCTGGAGAGCACAGAAAACCAGGGTTTCCCCCCAGAGCTTGATAAGCCAGGCGGCCCGCCAGGCTAAGCATCATGCCCCGCCCCCCTCCCCGACCCTACCGTGTCTGCTGGCACGAACGGCAGAATGAAACTAGAGCCCTCCATTAGCTGATACTGGTGAGAAACTGCAGCAGAACGTGTGCAACCCTCCCACTCCCACTCTCACTCTCACGGAGGAGTGCTGCCCGGAGGAGCGCTGTGGGACTGAGCACGCACGCGACATGAACGTGTGCAACCCCTCCAGCCCCGCTCTCACGGAGGAGCGCTGCGGGACGGAGCGCGCGACTCCCCCCCCAGACGGCTGAAGCCGCCAGGCTTAACTCATTTTCTGGGGGAAACCCTGGAAAACACAAGCCACATATTCTACATTTTATTCAAAGAAGATCAGAACTTCAACAGTAATAATCCAACAACAAACAAGGTGACCTCCTGGTGACCCAAGCCAAAGTTATCACTGGTGATCAGAGAAACGCAATTTCATTGGCCAAAAGCCACTTGACTCGATCGAGTGATGATTACTCTGGCTTGGGTTACAAGGAGGTCACCTCATTTGTTTCAGATTACTGTTGAATTTCTGATGTAGAACTTTTGCTGGTGTAGTTTAAGTAAAACAATTCTACTGCATAATTTTACAGAATAAAATTTCAATGTCTAAAAATGTCAGTCATCTCCTCACGCTTAGACTACTGTAACACTCTTTTCACGTGTCTGAGCAGAACCTCCCTGAACCGTCTACAGGTGGTTCAGAATGCCTGTGCTCGGCTTCTGACCAAGTCCTCCAAATACACCCACATCACCCCGCTTCTCCTCCAGCTTCACTGGCTGCCAGTCAACTTCAGGGTTCATTTCAAGATCTAGCACTCAGTGGTCTCCTTTAAAAAGCAGCTGAGGACTCACCTGTTCAAGCTGGCTGTTGCGTGAGCTCCTGTTCATCATTTTCATGCAGTTTCTATCAATTTTGTCTTTTTCAGCATCTCGTGACTACATTTCCCTTTTGAATTAACATTTTTAATCTCAAATGCTTTTCCTAATTTCTACCATTTCTTATAATGATGTTTTTTAATCATTTATTTTTTGTTCTTGTGAAGTGCCTCATGATTTTTATTTTGAGAGGCGCTATAAAAACAATCGTTTCTTCTCCGTTACATCCACTCCTGTCTGATGTAAAACAAACAAGTGCATGGCCAGTGGAACGGCATACCTGAAGGCTTTGTAAACAGGCCGGTACCAGCAGACGAAGGCCACAGGAGTGAAGAGGAGGAACCAAAGGATGGAAAGGCCAAAGTCAACACCTCTAGAGGGGTCTGCAGTGAAGTAAGCCAGACAAGCCAGCACATTGAGGAACAGAGTGGCACAGTGGACTGGAGGAAAGAAGGGGTTCAAAATGAGAGTTAATAAAACAAATTCATGCACTGCAGAATGATTTGGTTGCATACAAAACCAACAGGTGTCATGCATGAGCAGGGTTACATACACATCCAGAGGTAGTACATCCTCTTGCAGATTCGGCGGTAGTCATCTGGGATTTCCTCCTCAAAGTTCTGATAGAAGCAGGGCTTCAGAGGGCAGAACTTTGGAAGAGGAGGCCAGTTGTTCTCTTTAGCTGAGAAACGGATTTAAACAGTTTGTGTGTTAACACTCATTGGTCTTATACAGACCAGGAAAATCTACTAGCCCTTACCTCCTGGGCTTGACTCCCTGTTTGTGGTTCTGTTCTGTAGCTCCTGCTCTCGTCGCTCCAGATCAGCGGCTTTCCTCTCCAGCTCCTGCTGCTGTTTGATCAGATCAGCCGTGGCAGCTGCTGCAGTCGCCTGATATCAGGAGACCAATGTTACAATATCACAACTCCTGCAGAATTTTACCCACCAGGTGATGAAGCATTTAAAACCAGACAAATATAAATGCCCCCAAATCCATTAAAATTAGACTTTGGATGAGGTAAAAGAATCATCATTTTTTAACTATTATTTTAGATTTATGGCAATAATCCTATTTAGAAATCTTGTCTCGTGTCAGGAGGCTTGAAATTAAGTAACTTTTGTTAAATATTAAAAGCCCACCATCAGTACAGAAACACAAATAAGTACGTTGGACAAGAAGAACTGGGCTCTTTTTGCTGTGAGCCTTTTTAGCAAGAACAAATGATGCCAATTTTTCTTACATTATAATAGTCCTATGTCCAAGGGACTCCGTGGACACGCCCCTGAAGGGAGCTCAACAATGACCGTTTAAACTTGAATATTTCAGCCTGAAATCAAATTCCAAAATAATGACTACACATGTCTACAGCAGTGTTGGACACTCATTTGTACTGTTTTATCAGCAAAAAGCCGATCTGAAGGTGACTAGCTCTTTAACAAGCTGGAGGTGGCTATGCTCACCCCTCCCCCGCCGAGGTCCCTATGAGCTGGGAAGGATAAATGATGATAGATCCGCACTTGTAAAGCGTATTTCAGAGCCAGAATACTCCGAAGCATTTTACAGGGCTGCACGATATTAGAAAAACCTGCGATATGCGATAACAGTGATTAATATTCAGATGACGACATTACTTGCGATAAATAAAAACTTCACTCAGGAACGAAAATTATCAAAAACAAAGAAATCAATAAATCATAAAAATAAGAAAAGCAAAAGTTGTGAGGAAAGGGAAAAAGAAAATGAAAAAAAGGCAATCAGTGGATCCCGGGAAACGCAGAATCAGCAGAACAAAGCTAAATCAGGTGTTTGCTAACCATCAAAATCAAGTGTCAGGGGCGGGCATCTAACCTATGAGAAGCCATCCAATTGGCCAAATAGGTGAAGAGCTCTATTTGATTTGTTAAAAAAACATCATGCTTCCATTTGATTGACAGAATGCATTATGTGCAAACATTAGAGCTGACCATTCATTGCGATATTTATCTGTTCTTTACGATATGCATATTGTGCTTGCTGATATCGCGATAACGATATATTTACGATGTATTGAGCAGCCCAACTACAGTGTGCAAGAAAGCTCCAATATCTAGGAGGGGACCAGAGTAGACATGCTGAACCTCCAGCAGCAGCTTTCTCTTGCACGTCAGAGGAGGTTATTTGTTAATTTATGGCATCACAAAAACACAATTGTTCAAACTGCTTGTTTGAGGCACATGATTCCTAAAACCAAACACTGACAGAACATGGATGGATGGATTTTTATAGAGACAGTAGAGTTCCACATTGGAGCACAAAAGGATGTAAAGTAGGGCCGCACAATATATCGTAAATATATCGTTATCATGATATCCGCATGCAGAATCTGAGTTTCCTCTGAGGGTATATCTGTCTGGTTTATATAAGATTAGGATTATAAATAATCTTTATTGCTTCTATTTAAACCTAAAACTAGATCCATCTTCTTACAAACAGAGCAATGTAACTCACAAGACAGAGGAAAGGAACAAAATCATAAATTAAATATTACCTCTTTAAATTTAACCTTTCGAACATTATAAGCTATTTATATGATCATTCGTGATTCCAGATGAGTAGGTCCGTAATCCCAGACAACTTTCACGTGATTTTAACTTTTCATTTTTCCCAGGTGGTCAGTGGTCACCATCAGTGTGTGATCATGTGCGTGTGTGTGAATGGGTGAATGATACACTGTAGTGTAAAGCGCTTTGGAGTCCTCTGACTTTGAAAGGCGCTATTCAAGTGCGAGTCATTTATCATTATTCAAGAACAATTAAAAGCCCCCAAAGAACTGTCTATGGAGTTTAATCTATGAATTGATAACATCATAACAGACATGGAGGACTATTACAATTTCTAGGGATGCACCGATCAGGTTTTTTGCTGCCGATCACTGATACCGATATCAAAGAATGCTGATCACCGATACCGATCACAGATACCGATCACGTGGATTGGCCAGAAATTTTCTACAACATTATAATGAGTGCTACAAACTACATAATCTGGGAATAAAGGAAATGTAACCTAATCTAAAATAGTCTGTATTAGGGTTGTCATGGTGTGAAAATTTTACCTCACGGTTATTGTGACCAAAATTACCACGGTTTTCGGTACTATCGCAGTATTTTTTTTAAACGTGCTACATTTTCACACAATTAAATAAACCCTGTATGTCAGGAAACATTGTCCTCAGTTTGTGTCTAAATTTAGCCTAAAATGTGTTATTTTGTAATTATGTTTATTTGTTTACATTTTTTCCCTTTAGTCTTTAAAATACCAATATTTGCCCATAACTTCTTATTTTATGTCTGTTTGACGTCATCATTTTAAAAATATTAGTTCAGATGATACTCAGTACTCAAGCAGGCTTCTAATCAGGTACTTTTTTACCCTTACTTGAGTAATAAACCCTATATCAGGAAAATATTGTCCTCTGTTTGTGTTCCAGTGAGCTTTGCAGATGTGGGAAAATGTCATCAGGCAGTAATCATTGTTAAATTCATAATTATTCTCGGAGAGAGACCAAATCTTATCTGCCCCTGGGAGCCCCGTAATGCATAGCGTCATTTCAACATGGGGGTGTCCGCGACACGGCTTATATGCAGTTAGCGGTGCTGCGGCTGCTTCATGTAGCGACTCGTTGCATTCTCCCTCAACCCAAATCCTCGGATCACGCATTTTAGCCAAAACGTTAGCTTGCCTTGCGTTGACTGTAGAGTTGTGGGTGATGGTCACACAGATGTGTCATGAGATTTTAAGCGTTGCTGCCTTTCACAGACACTTTTTCTGCACGTGCTGCAAACAGGATAGCCATCCGTCTTCTATAAACTCCCTCGGCATTCTTCAAATATCCAAAAGATGCCCATACTTCCCACTTTGTCTTCTTTGAGGGATAAAAAATGTACTCCTGAGGAGTCGGACTGCCGTCTCCTCCTTTGGCCATTATTTCAGCTTTAGCTTCAAGAAAGTTTTGGTTGTAAACAACAAAGCGCGCATGTGCCGCCGGCAACTTCAGCAGATGATACGGTGGCTGGTAAGGGTCACCGCGCCTACACCGCAGCCACGGTAACCCATCAAGATAATATAGTTTTTTTTAAAAACAAGACGGTTATTATTATTGTCGACTTTTTTACCGGGGTTTACCGCTACACCGGTTACCGTGACAATCCTACCTGATCGGTCTGCTTTGATCTATTTTGAAAACTCCGATCAAAACCGATATGGGCGCTATCGGCCAATTGGGATCAAATGCCGATCCATCGGTGCATCCCTAACAATTTCCATCCATCCATTTTCATCCGCTTATCCATCGGGTCGCGGGGGGCAGCAGCCAAAAAGCGGGCGTACACTGTGTGACTTTTTCACTTTTTTGAGCCGATTTTCCACTCGTGCAAGAATCCACGAGATCAAGGCGAGTTTTGCGCAGAGCGTCGTGTAGTGTACAGGGGGTTACGAGAAGCGATTAACACCACGTGACCAGCTACCGATCAGCAGTCGTGAGGTCGCACGGACTTCTGGCGTGTTTGATATTTTGCTCATCCCTCGCGAGGGTATCGCACTGTTGAAGCAGCGCTGCGACCCAAAATGTATCAGAACCGCTCACGGCGCATGCGCAATCCTGCATCAACTCCGCTCGCCCGCTATTTCCCTAATAACACACATTGTTCTTTTTTATTTCTACATGTTTTTTTACTCACAAAGATTGTCAAGAAAACGTGTTTGTCGTGTTCATGTCAAATTAAACTGATCACAAAACACAGATTTACTTTCTTTATTTCATTTTCCTCATCCAACCCCCACAAATCCCTGTGTGTCCTCCTGCAGCACTCCCGAAGGACAACAGGCAAGACAAAAAAGTCTGACGTGTTGTGTAAAAACGGCTATTTTTAGCTTATTTTTTAGGGCCGACGTGTTGCTACCAGACGTACAGTGTGAGCAGTCAGGTCGCAACCGAGAACTGGGTCGTACAGTGTGAGCACATGACTCGTGAGATCTGCCCTGCGAGGAAGTCGTACAGTTTGAGCTGAAGCTGAGTACTATGAGTGAAAAAGTTGCACAGTGTCCGCCCAGCTTAAGGCGAGAGGCCCAGACTTCCCTCTCCCCAGCCACTTGGACCAGCTCCTCCGGGGAAATCACAAGGCGTTCCTTGGCCCGGGTCTTCTCATCCCTGGGTCTACCTTTACGCCTCCTCCCGGTTGGATGTGCCCGGAAAACCTCACCTGGGAGGCGTCCAGGTGGCATCCTGACCAGATGCCCGAGCCACCTCAACTGGCTCCTCTCGATGTGGAGGAGCAGCGGGTCTACTACAAGCCCCTACCTGATGACCGAGCTTCTCATCCCATCTCTAAGGGAGAGCCCAGCCACTCTTCGGAGAAAACTCATTTTGGCCGCTTGTATCCGCGATCTCGTTCTTTCGGTCACTACCCAAAGCTCATGACCATAGGTGACGGTAAGAATGTAGATCGACCGGTATATCAAAAGATTCGCCTTCTGACTCAGCTCTCTCTTCACCACGACAGACCGGTACAACACCGGCATCACTGCAGATGCAGCACCAATCCGCCTATTGATCTCACGCTCCAGTTTTCCCTCACTCGTGAACAAGACCTTGAGATGTTTAAACACCACTTGGGGCAGGACCTCATCCCTGACCGGGAGAAAGCATTCTATCCTTTTCCGAATCAAGACCATGATCTCAGATTTAGAGGAGCTGATTCTCATCCCAGCTGCTTCACACTCGGCTGCAAACTGCTCCAGCGAAAGCTGAAGATCACATTCTGATGAAGCCAACATGACCACATCATCTGCAAAAAGCAGAGACCTGATCCTCAGGCCACCAAAACGGATGCCCTCCACACCTTGGCTGCGCCTAGAAATCCTGTCCATTAAGATTATGAACACAATCGGTGACAACGGGCAGCCTTGGTGGAGTTCAACTCTCACTGGGAATGAGCCCGACTTACTGCCGGCAATGCGGACCAAGCCGGTCATACAGGGACCTAACAGCCCGTATCGGAGGGCCTGGTACCCCATACTCCTGGAGTACCCCCCACAGGACCCCCCGAGGGATGCGGTCAAACGCCTTCTCCAAATCCACAAAACACATGTAGACCGGTTGGGCAAATTCCCATGCACCCTCCAGGATCCCTCTAAGGGTATAGAGCTGGTCCAGTGTTCAACAGCCAGGATGAAAACCGCATTGCTCCTCCTGAATCTGAGGTTCAACAATCTGACAGACCCTCCTCTCCAGAACCCCTAAATAGACCTTACCAGAAAGGTAATTTTTATAATTATTATAATCTTATATGTTTCAGTTCCCACCTTTTACAGAGTTTTAGAGTTTGAAATACCAAAATTGTTTTCATAAATCAACAGATTTATTTTTCCAGAGACATTTTTATATTTAAAAAAATATAATAAACTAAATCTGTCGACGTCTACTTGAGAACACGGCCTCTAAAATGTACACATTTTGTTTTCTTGCTCCAAAAATAACCCTAGGATTAATGTATTTGTTCGTTTTCACCCACTTTTGCACTTTGCTCCACAGAGGGCTGTAGAACTGCGGGTTGGGAGGAGGCAGCAGAGGCTGGGATGGTTGTTCCAGTGTAGTCTCCCTGTGACAGGATGCGAAACAGGTTACTACATACTAAAATCTCAATCACACAAAGATTCATCAGCTTTATAAAATAAAAGATCACCATCTCAGTAGCGGAGAATGGGTTATACTCCCCAAGGTTTGTGGGGGCTCTGCTGGTGGCTTGCGTGATAGAGGCATCCTGGGAGTAAAGGAAAATGGTGTTATTTGTGTCACACAATGCCAATTTAGCTGAATTCAGTCAGTCAAAAATTAGCCATTCAACGTGGAATTGCCTCCCAAGTCTAAAATGTAAACGTACCATATTTGTGGATAAGTACAGCTACACTGGTGTTGAGTAAAAAGCTAACGGCCCGTTTATTTGAGTAAATACCACAAAAGGACAAGTCCAGAGAACTAGGATTTGTCAAAGATTGTGAAAACTGAAGAGAGAACCAGAGTTTAGCAGAACTGACTTGTGAACGAAGGCATCATGGCAGACTGACTGCACCTGTTAGGCCAACTCACCTGCTCAGGTGAGTTATGGTTCAAATATGAGGAAGAAAGCCCTTCTGCATTTATAAAGCAGCCTATATTTAACGTTAAATGTGCCACATCCTATAAGGGACAAATATTCCACGTCAGGGAATACTGCGGCCGAGCCCAACAACCAACCGAACAGGTTTGAGTAGCAGCGTATCCCTTTCCCTCAGTCTTCACTTGACACCAAACACGCTCAGAAAAGTCGAGCCCTAAACACAAAACAACACAACTGCGTCACCTGGAAGGGGTTCACGTCCACCGGGTCCGCGAACGGGTTGCTGTCTAACCCCGACATATTGGAAACAAGTTTTCTTCGTTAGGTACAGTCGACGGAAACCTTCTCCCAGCGGCGGGCGGCTCCTGTGTTGCTTGACACCTGGCCTCTGCGTGCGCATGCGCCTTGTCAAAGGAAGGCAGCGTCACCGGAGGGCGCCTCGAGTCATTTCTTATCAATTAGCCCACCTTTATTTTTAGAAATAACGCAAATTGGTTTCAAATGTGCGGATCTCGTGACAGCCTGCTGCCTCGTGCTCGACTTGGACTGCTGACGGCTCCACGACGGTTAAAAACACACGTAAATGTGATGCTTTCAGGTGCTCTTCGAAAAAATGAGAATTGAGCGTAACACAACGTAAAAGTATTTTTACGCTAGGCCAGATTTATGATAGACATTTGTTTTGGTGCGTTTTGAATATTTTTTTAACTAAATGGCATTTTGCGCACTGTGCGTGACTTTTAAGAGCGCCAGCGCTGTCATAATAAGTAGAACTTGATAAATTGCATTTCTGCAAGAAATGCTGTTTGAATGCTGAGAGCTTAAACTAAACTGAATCAGCTTAATGGCTGAACTGAAGCTGAAAGTAAGCAAAACCGTCTAAATGAGCTGAATGTTTTGAAAGATTTAGAAGCAAAAAGCACCAAAAAGTGAAGAACCGAGAAAATAATCCTAAACAGCAGAAAACTGAAATCTGTGAACATTATTTAAAATTCTGGACAGCAAAAATGTCTAAACACTTGAGTAGGACTAGTTTAACAGTTTAATTTTTACATTTAGCTGAACTGTGAAATGAGCAGCATATGCCAAATTAAGAAACTGACCGCTGAAGCTGCTAAATAGCAGAAGATGAAACTAAGCTAAACTGTCAAAATGAGCTGAATGTTTTTAAAGATGTTGAAGCAAAAATCCCCAAATAGTGCAATAAAGCTCAAAATGTAGGTGAAGAATGGGGAGAAAAATGCTAAACAGCAGAAAACTGAAATCTTTGAACATTGTTTAAAAACTAGACAGTTGAAAGGTTTAAACAGCTGGCATTTGAGTAGAATAGTTTAATTGTTAAATTTTCACAATTACCTGAATGGTGAATTTAGAAACAGTCAGATAAATGAGATTTTTCTCACACAGCTTTTTGATTCATACTCACATAAAACTATTCCTAACCTTCTCAAGTTTCTTCTTGTACCCACAAACTGAAATTTTCCTGGCTGTGAACACCTTATCAAAGTCAAAGAAATGAGTTGTATTCACAAGTTTTCACTCACAGCCTTTAGAGTCATACTCACATAAAAAAAATCGTAACATTCACTAATTTTCAGACTCACAAATATAATTTTACATATAACTTATTGAAAGACAAATATATGAATGCACATTTTAGAATCCCACACACACCTTTGACAGCTATCTTACATGATAGATAAGAGGGCTGCTGGGTAATAAATCAAATTTATCATTATTAAAATTTCCTACTCTTATCGAGATAATTTTTCCCATGTCAATGAATTTAACACATGAAAATAAGATGCTCCCCAAAAGGAAGAGCACCATCATTCCTTCAGTAATTAATTTGGCTGTGTAGAAAACGTCTCCACTGAATGTGTACTTAAATATGTATGGAATGTCATTTAGATTAAATAAACAATTTAACAACTCTCAGAGCAATTGTTTCTTACATTTACTTAAATACCATCATGACAAATCAGATGTAAATGTAAATAAACGAGGTGCAAAGGCAGCGATCAGTAATGTTTGTGACAAACTAATCTTCTGACATCATCGGTTTTAATTTACTGAGAAGAGCATCAAACTCTTTTGAAACTAAATTTGGTCAGACACTTCCCATGTATGAGAACTATTCTTTGACCTAGATGTCATAATAGTTAAGCATTGATTAATGATTCATTTAAACTAACAAAATACTGATTTTCGAGCCTGGGTATCCATCCCTTTGCTGTGTAGCAGTGAAGAGAATCAGTTTTAACATTAAAGCTTTTGCATTCCTTGAAATAATGCATTAGATGTGCAGTGTATATTTGAAACAGGCATTGTCAGCACAGTATCAAAGTGCAAAAGACTGGTGGTGCTGAAGGTAGCACTATTGCCTCCCAGCAAGAAGTTTGCATGTTTGCTGTAGTCTTTCTGCAATAGCTGACCTGTTCCCTTCATGCATGCATGGGTGTTCTCCGAGTAGGCTACTCCGATTTCCTCACAGACCAAACACCTACATGCCAGGCTGATTGACTGTTTAGTAAACTGCACCCTAAGTTGTAATTTGCTTTGAATAAACACATCTGCAAAATAAACAAGATTTTGTAAAGGATGGGAATGAATTAGAATAAAGTAGCATGGCAACATTTGCTAATCTGATGGATCAGGAATCATGAAGTATGTAAAACAATGATTCATGAATACTTAACACCTCAAGTAACCATAAAACTGGCTTTTCTTTAGCTGCGGTGGCCATCTTGTTTTGGTTTGTCCCATATGTTACTCCAACTTTGAATAACCAGTTGGAATGATTCGGGTTCAGAGCAGAAAAAACTTGCTTCTGTGATTTGAAGATTGGTTTGAATGTAGGAAACATGGCAGAAGTTCACTGAACAAAAACAAACACTCAAATAATGACAGAAGGCAAAGTGGTTTTATGCTCTTTCTTGATTGCTCTTAAGCAAACACTTCAGAGACAGGCTGGGGAGGGAGGCTTCAGGAGTTGGTGGATAACAATAGATTTCAAAAAAACAATGGCATTTGTTCACTATGCTGTACAAAGGAACTATACATTACAATTATTTTATGGCTGTCAAGCAGGAGAATGCAGATTTTTATTTTTATTTTGTACACATCTGAGATCCTTCCAGAGCTGGGATCTCCTTGGCTGGAATGGACACCAGCTGACTTGGTCCCTTTGATGGCGATACCTCCCTCTTATGGGGGAAAAAGCAGCAAACTTAAAACACATGAAGTGGTCTTTGTCTTTCTCACACACACACACGCACGCACGCACGCACGCACGCACGCACACACACACACACACACACACACACACACACACACACACACACACACACACACACACACACACACACACACACACACACACACACACACACACACACACACACACACACACACACACACACACACACACAGCGCGCAAATCTGAACATCCTAATCCAGGATACTCGAAAATATATATAAAGATTTAACTTCAACGACCCAGCATAGGCTGGTGTTCCAGCTTTGTACAGTATTTATACCTGTATATTATACGTTATAAAGCATTTCTGTGATATTAAAATTTATTAAATAAAGGAAAATCATCTTGTAATACCAGAACATCAACTGTTTACACTGATTGAACTGTAAACTCAAAGAAGCAGCTAATTATTCTGAGCTTAAGTCCACTGGAACTTCAGTGACGCCTGATGGTCTCTTCTCATTTACCCCTCTCCAGCTTTCCAAATCGGCTACGTTCCCTGATGCGAAGCGGCCTTCTCCATATTCCAACATTCCCTTTTCTCTGTCCTGCTGCTCAGTGTAGCTCCTCTCGGTGCTGAGAACAGAGCTGCCAAGGCACTGTGAAAGCATGAGTGGCAACAGAAGCTCTTTCCTGATTTCTGTCCCTTAGCAGGACACCACCCTCCATGCGGAGGGGGAAGCACCGTGCACGGCACGTTTTCCACAGGATTCAACAAGAAGGGGTAAAGCATGAGTGTTCTGAGGAGTGTAGATAAGGTGGCTTAATGTCACCTCCTGATGATTCTATTTGTTTGGGAGCTGAACTATGGCTTCCAGATGTCCTTCATACCATGAATTCATTATTACCGTATAAGACCAAGTGCTGTGGTAAGTCAGGGGGGTCCCCACTGAGGTCTCCGCTGTCTCTCGTGTGCCTACCTGTTGAGGGCTTAGCTCCTTTAAGTTTCTGTTTACCCTTCTCAGGATTGTATGTGCCGCGGCTGGTAAACTGAGGCCTCTCATCGAAGGGGCCTTGCTGCTCTCCTGTGGGGCTGCTGTCAAAGCTGTCGGACCGAGGGGACTGAGGTGCGTTCACGGACTGGGCTTGAGACTGGCCGTGAGTCTTGGACTGGAACCGAAGCCGTCTGGAGGCAGCAGAGGTGGAAGATGATGATGATGGGTGGAAGTGTGAAGATGAGGAGTAGGATGAAACAGTGGGGCAGGAGTCTACGGAGTCCACATTGTCAGGCTGAGGGTAGTGTGTGCGTCGGCGGTGACTCTTTCCATCTGATCTAAGGGGCCATTGGGAAGTCATTCCTGGTCCTCTTTCTGAAATGAGAGGCAGAATAACTTCAATTTTTTATTTTTGTTCAATTCATTAAAACAACAAAAAATCCAATATGAATCCATGCTGTTGAGGGACATACCAGAGAAATCTGAAATGGTTTCTTCAGAGTCCACGTTGAGGTTTTCAGAGCTGTCTGCTGTCCCGATAGAGGCCTCAGACTCCAGGGTCTCATCATCTGACGCCCGAGGCTCCAGAGCCAACATCTCAAAAGTCAGCTCCTCTCTGTCAGGGAGAAAGTTACCATACAATGAGCAGCTAACATTTTTCTCTCTCTCTCTCACACACACACACACACACACACACACACACACACACACACACACACACACACACACACACACACACACACACACACACACACACACACACACACACACACACACACACACACACACACACACACACGCACACACGCACGCACGCACACAGAATATGTGCCATGCTCCGGTATCCAGCTATTTTCACATTTCGTACTTCTCTTTCTGCAGGCTCTCAATTTGCTGAGTCAGCACTCTCTCTTCCTGCTGCATGGCTGCCTGCTGATGTTCAGAGATGTCAGTGAGAGACGCCGCCCCCTTCTCACCACCGTTCTCTTCTCTCACTTCGTCGACCATAGGTGGCAGCCGAGGACTGACGGGAGGTGAAGGAGTTTGGTAGTTCAACCGCCGCACCTGACCTTTGCCCTGAGGAGCAAATCAGCAGCTTAGAAACAACCGCTGGTCCTCATCAAATACAGCACACAACTTTTCTAAAAGGAGTCACTCGTTGTTGCATGCGGCCACATGAAATCACAGTGAAACAACCATACAGCACAACAGCACACACATTTACCTTTGTGGCTGAATTTGCCAGCTTTAAAGAAACAAGTATAAAAAGTAAAAGTACAAGAATGAGTATCAAATACTTATTTATACTAACAACAAAGAAGTACCTAATGTAGTTCTTAAAGCAGCAATCTGGAGGTTCCCCACTCTCAGGATATATGAGCCTGGCAAGCCATCCTTTATGTGAATATAGTCTAGCCACGCCCCATAGAGAGAGCTCAGTTGTTGAGCAGAATCTGTGATTGTCTTTCTAACCGCCTCCACACGCTATTGAAACCACAGGACATACTCACCACTATGGATGTCAGTCTACGGGCAGTCTGCCGTACAATGTCGAAGAAGACGCACATACATCTTTTTTCTAAATAAAGGACTTATAGGGGAACTAAGCAGTTTTGGCTTGTTTTTAGCACCCCCTACTGTCCGTTTTTATCTCCTCACTGTGCGTTGAATTTTTAAACACCTTGAAGGGATATTCCACCCAAAATTGAAATGTTGTCTGTTGATATATTTGCCAGAGTTAGATAAGTAAGAAATATCTATTTCAAACCAGCCCAGTCATTCTCCTCCTGACCTGGCTGTACTAACCTGGCATGCTCCATTGACGGCTCTCGGTTGTGGGGCGGGATCTACCGTTGTCTTTCAAATGATCTCCGCATTCCACTGGACAATGCATGTGACATACTCTTGTTTCACTCTGTTGCATCATCCCACCCACCAGGCATATAGAGTGCCCTGATTGGCCCACAAAGCGGATAAAGCTCTGTGATTTGTTCACTAAGCAGATAGAGCACTATGATTGGCCCACCATTATGGACCAATCACAGCTCTTTATGTGTTTGAAACCCCTCTAGAGAGCTGTGATTGGCTAGCCAGAGTCCTGGTAGGAGCTGCTGAGGTTCCAATGGAGCATGCCTAGACAATTCTTTGCAAAGCAAGAATTTTGTCTAGTTCACTAGGCTATGGCTGTACTCCTTTAGCTTTAGCTTAGCATAAATCACAGTAAGTGAATGGATGCAGCTAGCATTGTGAGTAAAAAAAAAGTCCTTAAAAATCATTCGGTAGTGATTCCAATACAGCTTGGTGACTTAAATAATCATAATAACTGCAAGTGAAAATAATTAACATAAAAATAATCACATGTCCATTTTAGACTTGGGACTACTTTATGAGGCTGTAAGCCTCTACTGAAAGGTGTGAGGCAGTCCCAATAACAACTCCTGAGTCTTGGCACAGGATGTGTGTGTTAGGCGACAACTTGTTTCTAACAGATTCAGTGGTGCAGTGTTAAGAGTGTCAGACTGGCATGTAGTTTTGCACAGGTTCAGCAGAAGTCTTTCCAAGACTTTTGAGAGTATGCTAGCCAGAGCGATGTGCCTATAGTTATCCATGCTATCATCGCCCACCCTTGTCTTTCATTACTGGGACCAATAGAACAGCTAGCACTGAATCAGGTATACATCAATGTTACCAGGTGACAGTAATTTTTTAGCTACACTTGCCAGTATTATGTTTTCAACCATTTATTGGTAAACGGTTTAAAACATAGGGAAAAATCTGTTTTTTACTTTCTTTGGTATGCTAGCGGTAGATTAGCACCACTCCTTGCTATATGCCTTTCATCTTTTCTGGAACATTGATGTATACCTGATTCAGTGCTAGCTGTTCTATTGGTCCCAGTAATGAAAGACAAGGGTGGGCGATGGTAGCATGCATAACTATAGGCACATTGCTCTGGCTAGCATACTCTCAAAAGTCTTGGAAAGACTTCTGCTGAACAGAATTGACACCTTAAAATCACAGATAATCCGTTTGGCTTGAAGTCTGAGCTTGGAACAGCCATGTGTACATATACTCTAAAAGAGATAGTGACCAAATACAGAAACCACAACTCCTCAGTCTCTATGTGCTTCATAGATGCATCCAAGGCATTTGATAGTTAACCATAGGAAACTATTCATAAAGCTGCTGCAAAGAGGTGTTCAAGATACATTGTATGCATCCTGGTTTATTGGTATGGTCAGCAAATGTTACAGGTAAAATGGGGTAACAGTATCTCAGAGCCATTTAAGGTCAGTAATGGGGTCAGACAAGGAGGCGTTCTATCTCCTCTTCTTTTTAATCTACATGGATGACTGAGAATTGCCTTTGTGTTTGAAATGTGCTCTACAAATAAAGCTGCCTTGCCTTGCCTCATCATTGAGGTTAAAGGCCTGCAGGACTGGCTGTGCAGCTGGTGGTGTCATAAACCATCTGATGTATGCAGATGACTTAGTGGTTCTAAGTCTGAGCACCGCTGGTCTACAGCAGCTACTAGATATCCGCTCGGACTACGGAGTAGAAGACAGCATTGTGTATAAAGCTGCTAAACACGTGGTTATGATTTGCCGGGCCAAGGAGGACAAGCAAATGAAGTTTCCAGATTTTTATCTGTCAGGCTCTGTCATTAGTGTCACAAAGAAAGTCAAATATCTTGGTCATATCATCACAGAGGACATGAGGGATGATGACGATGAATAATGATGACATGTATAGGCAGTGCTGAATGTTAAATGCTCAGGGAAATACACTCGCTTGTAAGTTTGGGTCTTGTTCTGATTACTGTACACGGCCCACCTATCGCTGCAGGTTGCCCAAAATGATGCTCTGCATTTGATACTGAGGAAGCCTAGATGGACGAGTGCAAGTGAGACTTTTGTAAATGCGAGGGTGAGCACCCTACAAGCTGTCTTAAGAAATGTTTAATAAATTTATTTGTACGCTTAACAATTCTAAAAATATGACTGTTTAAACCTTAATCAGTACCTGTGTCAGTGCAACACGTTACCAGTCAAAGATGTGGAAACACTGGTATAACAATCTTTTTTAGATTAGGGATTTACTATAATTTATATTTTATTTTCACACTACTGTTATCATCTCTTGTGCTCATTTCATTTGACCTCATCCATACAATGTTTTCTTTTTCTACTTCTGTGAACTGGACTAAGAGTCTGGAATAAAGAATACTTGACTTAAGTCAGTGTGAGGTGAGCAGAGTAACTAAAATGTTGCTTGGAAATGACCAAATTCAAAGATCTTTAGACACAAAATATTTTGCAGAAAATAATAAAATTGAAAATATTAAGGAATTAAATCTGCTTCAGCTGGCTAAACTAATTACTGCCGATGCCACCGGACGGTGAATCTGCACAAAACTACATGTCAGTCTTACTCTAACCACTGCACTGCTGAATCTGTTACAAAAAATTGTCACCCAACACACATTTCTCTGGGGCTGCATTGCACCTTTCAGCAGAGGCTTACAGCTGCGCTTTGTCAAAGTAGTCATAAAACGGCGCCTGTGAGTCCTTTATGTTACTACTTTCACATTCAGTCAGTATGATTATTTAGGTCACCAAGCAGAATTGAGATCACTATGGAGTGATTTTGAAGGACTTTATTTATTTATTTATTTTTACATACAGTGCTAGCTGGATCCATTGACTTACTGTGTTTTATGCTATGCTAAGCTAAAGCTAAAGGTGTACAGCAGAGTCCGGAGAAAGACTGGGCTGCTTAAAAATAGTTTTGTCCACTTAACTATAGGAAATATGTCGACAGACAAGATTTCAATTTTGGGTGGAAATTCCCTTTAATCCAACAGCTGAAACGTCTCCCAGCCTTCCTTAGTGTCTACAGGAGTGATTCATCACTAAATTAAACAAATCAGCTGTGTTCATGTTCTAAAACACGCAGGACACATGCTGGAAGCAGACTGCAGCACCAGGTATGTCAGCTCAATTATTTAGTCTCAACAGAGCGGCCCAACTGTCTGAAGTTGCAAGTGGAACATTCTGGCCACAGGGGCTGGGTGGCCTTTCATTAACCATGTAAAGGGTCACTTTAGCTCAAGAGAGTGAATTTTTAAATTATGAAAAAGTTGCAAAGTATCCCTTTAAGTATCTCTTTCTGCTCTTGACTCAAGGAAAAGCTCAAGTCTAAATAGACCAAGTTGATACCATGTTTGTTGTTTTGCTTCGTCGCAACTTCCCGCCCACCAAACCGATAAAAGCGCTGTAATTGGCAAGACATGAACTCTAGCTGCTCAGCTAGTTGACCTACTGAGGCTCCAATGATGCGTAGCTACATTTCTTGGCAGTTTATTTTTGGAAGAAATTCAAACATTGCTGCATGTTTGTTCTTGTAATCATGTTTTTTCTCTCCATAGACAGATGATGATAAATGTAGCTGCTACAAAGACCTCTATACCCGGATTACAGAGCAAAATCTTGATGCTCTGCTGGTCTGTCTAGATTTCTAGGCTAGAATTACGTATGATTGTTTTAGAAATCTGTAAATGATAGTCTTATGCTGTGATATAATTCAATTCAGTTCATTTATATAGCGCCAAATCACAACAAGTCGTCTAAAGTCACTTCACACAGTAAACATTCTAACACAGGTCAGTTTATTAATACAATCGGTAAAAAGCTTCCTGCATAAGGAACCCAGCAAATTGCAACGAGTCACTAACAGGCATCAGTGCCTTTACAGCTGTCCTGTGAATAATAATGTAGGCCATAAGTCTTATTTTTTGCTAAGCCTGCCCCCATCCTACAGAGACCCATGCAGTTTGAATGGAGCGCTGCTCAGCATTAGCTAATTCTTTTAGACATCCGTTTACGTACAGATGTCAACCACAGAGCAGGCATGCACATTTGTGGAAGTACCTGGATTAAATATAAATATAAACAGAATAGCATGAGAATAGTAATCGTAAAACAATGTGTTTTAGTTCTGGTGGCAAGCTAGAGGTGTGGGTTCATAAACAATCCAGCTGTAATCACAGAAGTAGGGAGAGGGGTTTAAGGCGCAGTATGTTTTTTCCAACTCTAGATGGTGGCCTCTGACGAAAACTCCAGAATTCTGCTTTAAGGGTTAATAAAAAGATACAGTGATCCCTCGCTACTTCGCGGTTCGTTTATCGCGGATTCACGACTTCGCGGATTTTTTCTTTGGAGCCTTATTCAAGGGAAATTCACCGATTCGCGGCATTTTTCTATGCGAAATATCAAGAAATTCCTGTTTTTTCCCATCAATTTCATCATAAAATGCACTTTTTGTAATAAAACTATAAAAAAACCAATTAAAAAATTTTTTTCTTGAGTTTTACCCACAAAAAGAGAATGTGATCATACAATAATTCAATATAGTACTGTACTGTAAATATGGTGTCCCTACTTCGCGGATTTTCACCTATCGCGGCCAGGTCTGGAACGCATCTACCGCGATAAACGAGGGATCACTGTAGTCTAAAAAGTCATGATGGAAACAAGATCTCATGTCTATTCCTGCAAAAATATTGTGTTTTATAATTAGCATCAATTTTAAGTTATTAAAGATGCCAAAACTATGTGTTTGACTTGTATGTTTGAAACATCACAAACCACTGAGTAAAATCTAATCGAGCGGCAGTCTGGCTGCATAACGACCTTAATACCATTCACTAGAGGCGGTTCCAAAAGTGTCTAAACAAATAAAACAGTGATTTGATAAGTCATGCTTCAGGAATGGAGAAGACAGATGTGAGTATTTGAGGAGATGGCTGATGATTGATCTTTACCACAACACAGGATGAGGGTTTGTTGGTGCGATCAGCGGTGAGCATACATACCATAATGTGTGCTATGCTCATAAACCTAACAGCTATTAGTACTGGTCTCTGGGTGAAGGAAAAGACATATTAGGGAGGAAACTAGGAAGAGGAAACAAGCTGCTAGGAAAGGAAGTGAGAAATTACAGTAAAGACACATTTCCACAGGGATTGACTGATCTTACCATTGATCGTCGAATGAGGGTCAGCTTGCTCTTGGCCTTGTTCTCAGCAAACTCCAGGGTGTTGATGTCCTTTAGTCGCACTTTATATTTACTCATCTGTTCACAAATGACAAGTTCTACACACCTACAGACGGACAGGAGAGAAAGCTACTTCAGAATGACTGGACGTGTTTGTTAGTAACAGAAGAAGTGTTGGAGCAGTCTCGTTTATTCACAATCCCCAAATTCTGTTGTCTACAGCATACATTCATGTGTTTTAGTCATTAGTTGGAGAAATCTGCAGCAAAGTCAGGCAAATTAAACAGGACTGAATTAAACCCCCCCTCTGTTCGCTCAGAAATCTGCTCAGATGTTCCTTCAGCTGCCTGAGGATCTCGATTCACCAGACTGGTGCTTTATTGTTCTCACATGAAACAGATCAGTTAAACTGAACTCCCTCTCTAATTGCTTCTTCCTCCCGGTCATGCATGTCCCCACTGAAATGCCCTTCTCCATAACTGTAGGCAAAGTAAAGAAAAAGAGGTGTTTTCTCACGCTGTTGTCTTGCTGATGTCCTGGACGCTCTGCAGAGGGTCGGTGGTGTCGGGGCAGCGAAGGATACAGGGAGCAAAGACTATAGCCAAGGCGTTCGCTGACATCCGGTTCGTTTCTTCTTGCAAGGAGATCCTAAATGAATCAGTTTATTGTTAGAATATACAATTTATAGATGATTTGACTTAGGATCAGTTTTACATTAGTGGTGTTCCAAGTCCTGTGTAACCGTTAGATTGAATAATGTCATAAACATGTCTGAGGGGGTAGCAACATTTATTTATTCACTTCTGCAAATCTGATTAGACACCTTAAGCTTTTATAAACACTTGGCTGAGGAGAAGTTCATTTAGCCAACTAAAGTAAGAGCTAATTTACAGTATGACGTAGAAGTTAGAATCCAGTTAGCTGTTAAAATACCTCAATAACACTTCGAATTATGAGGTTTGTTGTTGTTGAGCTCTCAAACATCTCAGCACGCTAACATGCTCCTGATCCGTTTTACCCAAGCTGCTATGAGGCTATGATGCTACTGCAATCGAATGATTACTTATTATTTCACAGAAAGCAGATTAGCCACGAAAAATATCTGAATTAGCTAACTTTTCAAGCACCATCTGAAACTTAAATAGGTGATAGTATCCATCCCTAAAGCCAGAATGTGTCCATGTCCAAGTAAACGTGGATCTTGGTGTCATTCTTTAGATCTCATGCAACAGAGCGCACAATGAAGGCTACTTAAGCAAGCTAAAGGCACGGAGAACAGACAAGCAGCCTGCACATGTCACTCTACATGATAAATCACAAAGGAGGTCTGAATACAGACTGTGTCGATCATTCTTGAGCTGCTGTTTTGCAAGTAAGTACATTTAATTTATATAACACTCATCACAGAAAGAGAATCACAAAGTGCTTCACAGAGAACAAAACAAAACAAAGACATGAAAACTAAATGATTTCAAAAACTAATTAGCAAACATCAGAAAATCAACTAAAAACAGCATAACAAAGTCGTGAAATTATAAAATGATAATAAATATCATAAAACAAATGGAAGATTATATATTTGAGTTTAAAAAGAAGAAAGATTTATGTAAAAGCAGCTTCAATAAAAGGGTCTTCAGCTGCTTTTAAAAGTGTCCAGACTGTCAAAGCTACGTTAGGATAAAGGAAGATCATTCCAGAGTCGGGGTGCAACAGTCTGGAAGGAGCGATCACCTCGACTTTTATATCTGGTCTTTGGAACTTCTAGAAGGTTCTGGTGTGTGGACCTGAGGGCTCGGGTTGGAGCATAAGGCTTTAACAGTTCAGTAATATAGGGAGGAGCTTGACCATGTAGAACATTGAACGTTATAATCAGGATAACAAAATAAACTCTAAAGTTAATGAGGAACCGGTGCAGAGACATCAGAACAGAGGTGATGTGAGCTCTTTGTGCACAATGAACCCCTGTTCCTGTGCAGTAACACCTAAACACAGTGGTGAACCACATCACTGACTTTAGATCCATATCACACTCATCTGTAGCTGCTGGCAAAAAGTTGGAAACACAAATTTGCAAAAAAAATATTGTGCAAAGTATCAGTTGGCCATGTCACCTGGGGCATCTGACATTAATGCTAACAAACTGCATCAGTTGTGCTAATTTTCTGTCACAATTTCATCATAAAATGTTTGAATAACTTCTTCATTTATTCAAAAATGTGGCTGCCAATTCCTCCCAAAGCTGCCTTGCACGATTTGCACTTTACGTCTTAAAGGAACTAAATCAGGAGAGAAGATCTTGAACATCTTAGGTGTGTTCTTGCTGTGTCGTGGTTCTAATTCCATGCTGTCGTTCTTTTTAAAACACAGAAACAGTTTTGTTTACCTGTTTTGTCGCTACGTTTCGCCGGCGGCTGCAGGCTTCTTCAGGCTGACACTGATGGTGGCGCGGATAAACGGAGAAGGAAGTGACGCGCCACCATCAGCGTCAGCCTCAAGAAGCCTGCAGCCGCCGGCGACACGTAGCGACAAAACAGGTAAACAAAACTGTTTCTGTGTTTTAAAAAGAACGACAGCATGGAGAAGATCTTGGTTTTAAACATGTTCAAAGTCAGGTGACAAAACAGCCAGATCCAAGCACTCCTGAGGAAATACTTTTGAGACATCCTGGTGCCCCCCTCCTACAGTATGTGAATGCCGTTAAGTCACAAATAATCCCAGCCCTACAAGATACCGGGTAAAGAACTTGTATCTGAATGGAAGTAAGTTTAGATTCCTGATCTAGAATTAAAACAAGGAAAACGTATTACCTGACAAGATGAAATATGAGGCGTTCCAAAGTGTTGAGGTGAGTTCTGCTGAGCTGGTCAATAACAGAATAAACCCCTCTAATCTTCTCTTTTTGGTCCTGCAAACCTAAAGTAGCCCACTTTAAATATATCGCCTGCAGAGGATAGAATTATTTTAAAATACCAGTGCAGTCCACTTACCCATGGCACGTATGAACTCCTCGTACAGCTCAAATGTCATGAGCGGACTAGGCAGGTCTCTCAACCACTGCTTGAAAACACTGGCAATGACGTGGATGTTGTAGTCGTCCAGATTCATGTTTTCCACATCTACACAGAGGGAGTTCCGTCCGCACAAAGTTTAGTAGTCAGGTTTAATCCTCCCCCTCATGCCTGTTGGCCTAAAATCCCAGTGGCAGAACCTACCCGTGTCCAGCGCCAGCTTCAGCTCTTTAATTTTGTTGGCGGCGCCAGGTTTTCTGTAAATTCCTTCAGTGTAGAGGCCATGCATCTCAATGTAGTTGATCAGCTTTTCCACCACCAGGGGAACCGTCCTCTCCTCTGTGGTGAGGCGAGAAACTTCCACTCCAAACTGTCTGGAAGAAAGTTCTGGATCGAACTGTTCCCAAACAAAGGCATTAAAACATGTGGTTTAGAAAAACGGGTTCACGGCTCAGGAACGTTTCAGCCAGAGAAAACACAAACTACTTTGGATAAATAACGCAATTAAGGTCATGAGATGTTAATGTGAGGCTATTCAACATGGCCAACTCACCTTCTTGCTGCATTTAGTGGTTGTCTTCTGGCAGCACTTCCTGTGGCAGGCGTACCGGCACACTGGGTGAACACAGCCGGAGAGATCAAACAGGTCATTCCCATTATCGACAGAAAGGCAGTGCCTCCTCATAATTCAGCAGCAGCTGAGACAAAAACACTAAAACTGGAACTGGTAGAGAGACCAGAGAGGATTCGACTGGCATGGAGGACACATCCTGGGTGAGTAAAGGACAATCTCTGGAGAGACTGAGCCACAGACCCCATGAGTCCAGTTGAAAACAATCTGATTAGAGTTGGGGAAGGAGGGACAAGGGGCAGGGCTTGATCTCTGAGGGTGGACAGTGACGCCAGTCACACACACATAGGAAATGTGTGTGTGCGCGCACGCAAGCTGACTAATGTAAAGTGTGTCAAATTTTGCCGAAGCAAATTTATTTCTCATTTGCGAACAGTTTTTCTTCTGTGTTATTTTATTCACAGTTGCTGCAACAGAACATCTGGATCAGCTTTTTCTTGCAACATCACTCATTCATTTGCTGTTAGTTAAAAATAAACAACAAACTCTAGTATTTTTATCCCTCTGTCAGCGAAAACACATTGTAGTTCCTTTCTTCTGTTAAAGCATGTAGGGAACTTAACTGGGAACCAATACTAAACAAAAATATTTTACAAAAATAAACAAAAAAACGTAACAAACGTGGAGATGTCTGAACAAAAAACAATAAATCATTGCCTGACATCAATATTCTCTTACAATACACCCTGCCAGCTCAAGAAAAGGTCACACACCAATATTTTGTTGGACCGTTTCTACAATCTCTTTAGAGGTTTTCTCTGCTTGATGCACGCCACTGATTTGACACTTCTCAAACAGACCAACATCTTTTCCACGACCACCAGATGTGTCTTTCATGTCTGTCCAGTCTCTCGTCGTTACATTGGAGAGACTTGCGTCTCCTCCTCCTGTATATAAAGACGCGGGAGTGATGATCACTACATCACTCCAGCCGTGATGCAGTGCGCTCCCGCTGACAACTGCTCTCCTCTCCTGGGCAGACATGCTCGTCCCAGCTCACCACCACAATGTTTTAAGGCTGTAAAATCCCTCGCTACACACCTTATACACTTTTCTCAGGCAGGTATTCACTTTTTCCACTTTTCTCTTGTATAAACACTCTCAAAGTTCAAACCTTTGTACGCAGAACACAATGCACTGTAAAAAACAAAAAAGAAAAACGCATGCTAATTTACTAACAAAACAATCCACAAAACTGCGAGGCTGCAAAAGGTCAAGCGCCGTTTAGCGAGGGACCACTGTGTAATAAAACCAGTTCGAACCAAATGTGGGAAAAAAAGACTAATAGAAAGATTTGAATTGTTTTGCCACTGGTGTGAAAGTTAAAGTGTGATTCAGATTTCAGGTGTGATTATTTTTAGTGCACACTCACATTTGCACACACAGGCCCGATCCATCATCCAGATCAGAGAGGAACAGTATTCACAATAAGTGGGGATGTTATATTGGGTGGATTTGAAGATGTGGCCGTTATGCTCCTCCACCTGTAAAAGGCAGGAGAGCACAGGATCAAAATACACACACATCCATTTTCTTCTTTCTTTTTTTTAAACTGTCATTTTAAAAAATCCAATTTTTCTAAGGTAAATTATAAGATAATTAAAAGACTTACGATGTCTGCGTCCTTATTCCTTCTTTTTTTGCGTTCAGGCTTAGGAACTTGCTGCAGTAGAAACAAAAGAGACCGGTCAGAATAATAAATATAACTAAAAAATTCCTGAAGAAATTTTGAAGGATCCTGTCAGCTGGGGGAGGAGATTGTAGAAGAGGTAGATTGATCATGCAGAACTATTTTGTACGTGGAATAAGCGTGTGACATGAATGAATGAATGATCAATTTATTCAGTCAGTCATCTTAAGATGATGTACAATAACATGTCATACAAATAGATACAAATACCATTCCTCACTAACATATGCTTTCATTTGTATATGGTGTCTATTTGGTATCTCATGACTGAATAGGTTTAGGCAGAAGCAATAGCTTATATAAATGCCTAACCTACTTACAAAACAATTTTTCAATTTCCCGCAATGAACCAACAACCCTAATAAAAGTAAAACACAAATCCATCCATCAACATCAAATTAATACTCTTCAAAAATATTTTTACTGATAAGTTTTTTAAGAACTGAAAGAGAAGTTGCTCATTTTAATTCTATTCTAGCCTCATTCCAAAATTTTACTCCCATTACAGAGATGCATCTCCTTTTCATGCCCTTTTTGGCTTTTTGTAGAACAAACATACATACACCTCTTAAATCATATTTACTTTCCCTCTTTGCAAAAAACATTAGTATATTTTTTGGCAGAGCTGTTAATTTTACTCTAAACATAAATTGCATTATTTTATAATAATATAGATCTTCTAATTTCATAATCTGTGATTTACGAATACGTTTAGTACTGATAACACCCCAGCAATGATGCACAATACCTTGCTGAGGTTGTCCAAGGACTTGTACTCAGTCCTGAACTCATCCAGAAAAACCTTAAAGGTGTTGACCCACACTGTGACGGGGGACTCCCTCCAGTCCCTCTGCTCCTGTCGCATGGTTTTCTCCAAGATCTGCTCAAACAGGGCGTAGAGGTCTTTGTAGCGGATACATTTTCCATCATCCATCTATGGAGAGAAACAACACTGTTACAAGAACAGATAATGCAGCAATATTTGCATTTCTACTCAAATTAAATGACCAAGAAGTCTAGCCATTCTCCCTCAGCAGAACTACTATTGGCCCAACAGCCTTAGGTCTGTCCAGTCACTGTGCTCTATGTCTGTAGAGAAATGTTGGGCGGGCTTTGCACCAGAGCTGCTACGGAGAAAAGCTATAAAGACGACGTCGACTCATTAACAGCATTCATTTGAAACGGCTTTGGCACTGACTTTAGACGACTTAGACTTGGGTTTTTCTTTGAGATATGAGCAGCTAGAGGTACTCGAGTTTTTATTTCATAAAGGACGTATTTGCTTCTTCTTCAGTGTGTATAGCAGACTGCCCTGTTGACGGATTGCGGTAGCGATGAATATGTTACATTGTTTGTTGCTCTTATTGGTCCTACCACTGTCCAATCGTGTGCAGAAACATTTATTAAAGACGACTGTCTTCTGCCCCACGCCTGAGCCCTGTCTATGGTCTGTGACTAGACTATTTATTTACATATACAGGATGGTTAGCCAGGTTAAGAAATCAAAGCTAAAAAGTAACATTTTCTTAACACTGCTTTGTCTACTGAAGCCCTTTTAATTCTTTGGAGTTTCTAATCATGTCTTTATTCTATGAATGATGCCTATCACTGGTTTAGGATTCCACTTACTGCCAGAGCGGTGGAGTAGAAGTTGAAGATGTTTAGACGAAATTCCTTAAGAGCCTTTTTAAACACTACATCCACCATGGTGTCCTTCTTACTGTCCTCTGTGTCCAAGTCATTAATCTAAATATGAAAACACATTAAATGTTCATCTTGAACAAACTGAATTTCTTCTATTCTCATGTTTCACGGGAATAAGGGACCGTTTGGGTTTACCTTCTTTATGAGGAAATCATTCATGCTCCTGTAGTCGCCGAGGGAGGTGAGGATCTGCAGCGAATCGTTCTGCCACTGAGTCGGCTCCAGGGTCACGCTGCTGATCTTAACGCTGCGCCTTCGCTTCACTTTGGGAGACAGCTCCTTGCTCTCCTTCGGGTCCCGGATCCCACGATCCGGGATGGAATCGGGACTGCAGGGTGGTGACATGTTTTCCTGGCCAGCTGGATAAAGGAGTTTGAAACAGGTTAGGCTCTAATAATAAATAATCATAATAAGAATGTTGTGACAATACCTTCCCCTAGAAGTGGACCAGTGTCTCCATAGTATCCATCGAGGGAATCACTTCCACAAATCAGCTTTTCTCTGGAGGATTTCTTATCCCCGTACTTGGATTTGCCCCAGAAACGCATCTTACCTCGAACCCTGCTTGATAAAAAGTTTAAATATTAAAAGACTTTAAGAATCCCGGGACAAATGTCTGCTTTTAAATTAGAAAAAAAATAGAACCCAGGACACAAGAACAAACCTTCCATCTTGTGAATTCTTGCGCATAGAGTCCACTTTACCCAGATCTCCTGACGACATGGCTTTGTGCAACTTCTTCTGTGCCTCAGAACTTGCAGGCTGAAACAAAATAAGGTCCGAAAACACCTTTAAAACACACAAATGGAATACCCTAAAACTTTTATTTCATTATGGTAAAGTATCCAGTAGGTGGCACCATTCTTTCACAAGTACATTTTACATTTACCAGAACCTGAAATGACCACTAGCTCCAAAAACAAACAAAAATAAATAAATAAAAACACAGAAGGTAGGAAACGCGTGACAAACATTTAGGGAAAAAAAGAAGAATTTAAAGCAGCAATCTGGAGTTTTTCCCCATTCAGGAATAGGATTTCATTAGAAATCCTTCAAAGAGATTGTCTTACCCTGTCGGGCTGGGCAATATGCCTAAAAATCAATATCATGATATATTGAGAATTTCACCTTGATAACAATAAATGGACGATAACAAGTATGCTCAAAAACAAAAGCTGTCCACTAGATGGAGCTGTCGTGTATTACATTTTGTCATGTTACTTTAGGTGGTACATCTTCTTAAAGGAACATAAACATCGCCAACCTACACACATCTTTTCTTTTTTTCATTATCAAATTTATTGACATGGGAAAAACAGTATCGGTTAGTCAAAATTTCGATAACGATAAATTTTCGATTTATTGCCCCGCCATACCCTGTCCTGGGATAAAATTTAGGAAATTTGTGCACACATTTGCGGAGGTACCTCACAAGAGTTCACAACAAATCTTCTGGACAAGTATGTCTTGGAAAAAAAATAAAATAATAATAATAATTTTATTTATATATATATATATATATATATATGCTCCCAGGCCTCTGGTGGAGGACCCGAGCTTGGAAGGATGAGACCACCAGAGGGTGAGATGCTAATTTTTTTATGCATGTATGTATGAATAGACAGCATGAAGTGAGAATATTATTATCTCTGTTCGCCGGCTAGAGGCACACATTCACGAATGAGAGGTGTTGCTTCCAGCAGCAATAACGGAAATAGGGGGAGGAGCTTGAAGTGCAGTACAGTTTGTCCACCTGTAGATGGTGACCTCTGACAAAAATGTCCGGATTTCTGCTTTAAGAAAAGACAAATTAAAATCCCTCTTGAAGGATTTCCAGAGTTTGATCAGCGACTAGGGAGAAGTGTGTCCAAGTCACATGCAAACGAAGCTAAATTCTGGGAAAGAATAAGAAATAAATCAGAGCTGTGAGAAAAAGAGCAATCGGACGATGTTAGAAAAGCAACTATGTTACATGTTTCTGATTTTCAGAAAGAAGTATTTCTAAATATGTCCTGCATTTGAAAAATTACACAGTGTTGGCTTGTAGAGAGGCTTTAAAATACATGAATCAGTGGATTTGTGTGTGAGCAATGAAACATTGGTTTATTTCTGTGTCTTTGAGATGTCTTCCACTGTGTGGAAAAGAAAAAATAATTTTTGCAGCTCAGTTTGAGTCAGAAGTGAGATGCAGACGTATGCCGTCTCTACAGAGCGGGTTAGAAGTGTCAGAGAAAAGACACGCTTTATTAAAGTGGAGACGGCTTCGGGCAGCGCCGGTTACCATGTCCGAGTCACTGAAACAGGACTCTCTCAAGCCCGCCTCCGTGGAGTTCTGTTTGGCGAGGGGTAGAGTGAAATGACGGGGGCTGGCGAGGCTGTCGCCATCGTAGTCATCCTCATCTGAATCGCCCCCAGCTGAGAGGCTGGGGGCGCGGGTGAGGAAGTCGGAACGGGTCCGTGCCATTCTGGCTTTCTTTTTTTGGCCCACTCTTCCAACCTGGAGTTTACCAGAGGTGATAACAGCATGTTGAGAAGGTTTCTCTAGCAGAGCTGTAGTGCAGCTTATTGGTCAGCTGGCCTGCTTTCAGTGCAACATCAGGAGCTTAAGATGTATTTATTCACATCACAGACACACAAACACCAAATGGAATAAAGGAATTTCATATGAAAGGAAGTGCTAACCTCTCTTGCTTTTGCTCCTTTGGAGGGTTTTTCAGCCGGAACAGGTCCTGCTCGGGGAGCAACTGCAGCTCTTTCTTTAATGGCTGCATCATTAAAACTGATGGAAATATTTAAGTTAACAGACGCAAACAAGAGTCAACCCACAAATTCCAGAAAAATTGCAACAAACTTGAACTTTGGTTCATTTTTACTGCATACTCACGATGTAAACATCTCTTTGTCATGTGGAGAGAAGAAGATGCTGCCTGGTTTATCTTTTGTACCGACGGAAGAACCTGGTTGACTTGCGGCCTTCTTGGAAGTGGTTTTCTCTCTGGTTCCTGCTCCAGCTCTCGACTCCAGGACGAGTTTGGGTGCCCAGCCCTCAGTAGCAGGTCTGTCTTTGCGCCTCTCTGTGGGGGCAGATGAAGGAGGAGGTGGTAGCTTGGGGAGGTGGCCACTACTGTCCTCAGCTGGTGGAGAGTGCAGCGGTGGGGGGGTGGAGTCTGACTGGGTTCTGCTGTGTGGGACTTGCTGTGTTCTCTCTATCAACAGGGAGCTGGGTCTGGGGGTTTTGACGGAGGATGCGGTTCTGGTGAGGTCCTGCCCACCCTGGCGGCTCTGCTGTATCCTTTCCAGAGCTTCTCCTCTTTGCTTCTCAAACATCTCTTTTTCGTACTGAACAAAGAAAAGCCGTTGCTGCTCCAGAGCTTCCTTCTGCTTTCGTATCTGCTCCATCATCTCCTTCTCATTCTGCTGATGCTGACTGCGTTGCCGCTCTTCTTTCTTTTCATTCAGGCGCACCAACTTCTCCAGGACCGCCTGGTCAGCCTGAGAAACGGGAACCTGATTCACAGGAACTGGCGCCGATTCCTGGGATGAAGGAACCAAATTCCCCGTGTGGGCTGCAGAATCCCGGACTTCTGCAGGAGGACGGATGTTGCTGCACAGCTCTTCACCTATGGGAGATTCTTTCTGCATGCTGATGACCACCACCACCGGTCGCCGTGCCGACTCCCGTCTTTCTTTGAAAGGCTTCAAAATGTCACTGGTGGTTGTAGAGACGGCTCCTGTTTTGTTTCTCTGAGGCTCTTCGGCTTGATGATGGGAGACCGCAGTGCTGTCTTCGTGAGCAGGGACGTAAAATGTGGGGAGGTAGTTATCCATTTTGGGCGGATGCTGGGGGGCGGAGAGATCCACTTTAGTCGGGCTCTGGCTTGTTCTTGGAACAGTATCAGAAGGCCTTGTTCTATCAGGTTCTGTGTTCTTTGGGCCTGATGGGACAACCTCTATATTAGAATCTGAAAATGAAGTAATGGGTGAGACAGGAGAGAGGAGATCATCGCTGTCCATCACCTCCTCCGGAGCTCTGGGAGGCTCCTCATCCATAGTGAGGAGCTCAAAACTGCCTTTGGAGCTCTGGCTGTCAGGTGTGCCTAGGGACGAATGGACTGGGGGACTCGTGGGTCCCACCAGCTCCAGAGACCAGCGCCGCTCCTCAGAGGGCGACGAAGCTCCACCACTGTTCGCTCTGACCTTGAGGAGCTCCAGACTGAACTGGGCCTGCTCCAGCTCCCTCAGCCTCCGGTTCTCCCTCTTAGCCCGAGTAGTTTTTTGACTCAGCTCATCAACAGTTCTCATCCTCTCCTGGACCACTGTGGTGGATGTTGGGACTGAGATGTTAAATTCAGTTTCTGCTCTGGAGCTGCTCTCTGTTGCTCTTGAGTGGTCATCATCTTCCTCTTTGTCCTCCTCCTTCTCATCAGGCCTGTGGCTGCTGAGGGTGTGGAGGCTCCTTTCTCGTTGCTGGTAGGACCGATCCTCCCAAGTGCTGAGGTCCAGCCCCATGATTTGGTCAGGCTCCTCCTCTTCCTCCTCCTCCTCTTCAGGTGAGACGCTCACCTGGCCATTCTGAAGCTGGAGGAGCTTCTCATGCCGCTGCGCCTCCTCCTCTCTCCGTCTCTGTTCTCTCAGTTTAGCGAAGCTACAAACCAAAAGGAAAAGTTAAAACAACCTGAAGGTAATTTACTTTTTGCTGTTTTAGAAAGCTGAAGGAACCGACGCTAAATCTCAGGAACTAATCACAGTTGGATGTAAAAGCTCTGCTCTCAACATCTCAGCTGATTGTAGAGCTGCTTTGGGTCGGGCTGATTGTGTAACATCGTGCTCTTACTGCTCTTATTTGCACACTGAACAAAGCCCAAACACACAACTGAACCTGCACCAAACAATCTGCTTTAGCAAAATTATGCACTCATTTATTCATTTATTTCCATAGAAAAGTTGTCTGTATTCATCTCTCTTAAACAACATGTTCTATAAAAATGGCTCATATCAGAGAGGCTTACCTCTGTCTGGCGAGGAACCCTCGACTAAAAGCCTGTAGCTGAATCACAGCACAACGCCGTCGTACGTAGGCTTCTCGAGCTCGATGGCAGCGCCACGCTGTCTGAACGACCAGAGCCGCTGAGCAGCGCCGACAGAACCAGGACCTCCATGCTCTCTGTAGAACCAAAGCAGCAAGCCTCTGCTGTTTGAGGCTCCGGCGCACTATGTAACCTCGCCAGTGTGTCTGCAGACACAGAGCTGCCTCCTCTTCGACCCGGGGGTCATAACACTCCTGCTCCTCGATGCGCTGGTTGGAACGCCACCATTTCTATAAGGAGGTGATGAGAGCAACGCATTCACATCAGCGTGATCTGGTCTCTACACTTTAATGCTAATGGAAACATGACTTCATATTTCTGCTGACTTTTTTATGATAATACAAATATTTCACAAGGAAAAACATTTATTTCTTAACAATTATTTCCAATGAGTTTGTATTTTTTATGGTTTTAATAAATAGTGTTCTGGAAAGTTTTATGTAAACCTCTGGCAGCTTTTTACTCGTATTCTGTCAGTTCTTTAACCCAATTGTGATACAAGCTGCAGTAGATTGAAGTTAGAAGAATAAAGAAAATCTAAGAAATTTCACAACTTTACTCCACAAACACAAATGAAAAACTAAACCTGATGATTAGTGACAGATATTCAGCTATTACTCCATACACCCAGTAAAGAGCTGGGGCCTCATTTATCAGGCTTGCTTCAGCACAAAACGGGGTCGGAAAACTGCGTAAGCAACTTTCCACGCTAACTTTGGGATTTATGAAAGAAAACTTAGTGGAAAAATGTGCGCAACTTTAAGTTGACTAAGGACCTGGCTTACGCACATTTTGGACATGGAGAGCACCTGCAGTGCTGCTGCTGAGGATAAAATTATGAAATCCTGCAGCATTATCACTTGTACTGCTTCATTTTCACACAGAACAAGACCCCCCACACGCACACGTGCGCACACACACACACATAGCCTGCAGTGCAGAATACGGAATGCAGAATATCAGCAGGGGGACAGATTGAGACAGAATGTCATGCGTCTGTGACAGTGTGTGTCCTGTCACTGTGACCCAATTGATCATGCGCCCTGGCTGCTTGTACAGGGGAGATCTCCGTTTGGCTGACTGGTTAGCGCACGTGAATCTCACCTGGGAGTCTGGGGATTGAATCCCGGTTGGACTATTTTTTTTAAAAATCCGCCACAGATCTCTCTGAAGAATTCACAACATTGACGGCTTCAGCAACGTTGTGCCACTTCGTGGATTTTCTCTTATTTGTTTTGCAAAAGCACTTCCTTTCATTTCTCCACCCCACCCACAGGTACCTCAATTTCTGCTTCTGTGAAATTGCGCTTCCTTGATCTGCAGTCGTGATCGAAATGCTGCAACAGCCGGCTTATGTATATGCATGAGATCCACAAGGCACTTTGCATTGACTATTTATGGCAGTAAGTGGGCGCGGTGAGGGCGGGATGTGATTAAAAAGCAGCTGAGAACCTTTCTAGATAGTTTCTGATTTATGAAGCAGAGATTGCGTGCAGCTGTGCGTACTCCATGTTTGATAGATCACAAACCTACTTGGCGTAAGCATTTTTTTTTTTTTGCTGGGCTTAAGTACGGTTTTAGTAAGGATTCTACGCAATGTTTGATAAATGAGACCCCTGAAGAACAATTATGAGACTTTTAGGAATAAATTGGTCTTGTGTATTTTGTAGGAAATTGACTTCTGATCGTTTATATCCATAAATAGATTATTTTTAAACAAAAACCTATAAAGAGTCTTAAGGATCTTTTGACAAAACCTCACAAATCCATTTGACTCCTACAGAGAGCAGTGTTGGGAGTAACGTGGTACAAAAGTAATTAACTACTAATGCATTGCTTTTTGCTGTAATGTGGTACTGTAAGGCATTACAGGGAAAGAAAATGGTAATATTTACTCTGTACAATTGTCAGTAACGCGGTAATTACAACGCATTTTTAAACCCAGAATCCAGATGCGAGTTTCCTAAAAATACAAATTGCCGGAAGCCTGAAAAAAGATCCAGTATCCACATATATGACGTCATTTATGGACTCAGCTTTGCGAGCATTCTATGAGCAGAGAGGACGCAGCGGTAACGGCTCAAATACTCCAGCTGCGTCCTGCACGCGGCCACTGTTATATTCACAAAATCGCTCCACCAAAACAAAGTAATTCGTTTGTGATCATTTATATCAGCCCATATTCTCTGGTACTTCATGTACTTTTCAGCTGAGTTCATAATCTGTGCCCCGGCGATTTCAACTCATTGCTGCTGGAGCGCAGCGCATATGAAGCTTTTTTATTTATTTATTTTTGCATTGGTAGATCCCTTTGGCTGATTAGTTAGAAAGTAGGAAATCTAGGAAACAGTTTTTCTGGAAGACGGAGAAAACATGCAGCATGCAGGAAGGTTAGAGAGAGAAAGGGCAGGAAATTATTCAAATAAAATCAAGAAAACAAAACAAAGTGCTTGAAAAGAAAAAAGGTAGGTAGATTTATCCCCAATACACATTTTTACCAGTGAAAAGCAATAATATATAAGCATTTTAATATTTATACATGTGATAGAATCAGATCACCCCAGAAGTCAGTCCCACATCCAGGGCCGTATCAAGGCATTTGGGGACCAAGGCAAATATAGGCTTGGAGCCCCCACCACCTCACTCCCTGCTCAGTTAATATAAGATGGCAGCGTGCTGAGAGTACAGATTGTTGTTGCTTTTATTTAATAAACAATCATTTTAAAGCACTGTTATTATATCTGACCGTTTTTAACAGCAATCCTAGCTCAGACACCACATCACTTTCCACATATATGTCATGAGCTCACTGAGCGTCAGATTACCAGATTCATATTGAAGTTGTTTTGGTGAAAGTAACTTAGAGTAATGCAAAAGTAGTGTAATGCCTCACATTTTAAAATCAGTAATATTGTAATGTAATTAATTACTTTAAAATGAGGGTAACAAGTAATAAATAATGCATTATAGTTTTGAAGTAACTTGCCCAACACTGACAGAGTAATATCCACATGCTTTTCATGTTAGATCTGAATGCATCTGGGAGCTTGGTACATTTAAATCAAACATCTGCTGCATTATTATTTTACTAGTTTAACAGTGCACATACCATGTGTGTGAAAAATGTTAATATTGTCAAAACATCTTTAAATTATTTTTATTTTTAACACCACAAACACATTGGTCTATTTTGAGATTGAATTATTATCATCAGGTCACATAATGACAATAAAAGCTGTGCTGTAAAAAGTGACAAATAATTCTTGGTTTTGACAAAAACTCCAAAAGAATTAATTCGGAAAAAAAGCAGGAGTCATTATCACTGCAGCTACGATGAAAATCACTGTACACACCTGGATGCTGATGGCCGCCTCCCTCATCCTCACGAACTGCTTCCTCTCCAGCCGCGCTCTGAACTCTCTCTGCAGCAGGACAATGAGTCGGAGAACTTCTCGGTGGAGCGAGGCCTGCAGCTGCTGACGCTCAGCCTCCTGCAGAAATACCTGAAGGGGAAAGATCGCGATGGAGTCAGATCAGGGAAGACCACAGCATGAATAAGTGCGTAAGGTTGCTCGCAAACGGATATACACACACTCCTTAAAAAAATAAGAGCACACAAACACAAGCCGAGAAATCTCAGACCAGATAGACAAGAATGTTGGGCCGAGTTCTCTAATTATATAGACAGCTTCCCTGAAGCTTGGACCCCTCCATCAGAGGGGACCGTCTACATCCTTCTGTATAAAGAGATGATTCTCTCAGGTGATATGAGGTCATCCCAAACTTCACCCAGTTATTCACAGACTATTTATAGTCTAGATTAAAGCAGCTTGAGTTCTCTCAGATTTATGTTGCCACCAAACAATAAAGAAAAGCCTTAAACGACATTTTCGGACCCATTTCTTCAGACTACACCTGCTTTACTAAGTCTTGGTCATCAATGAGCTCTTGGTATTTCTGTCCAATTAGCACAATACATGTAAACAAACATTCGTCAACACTAAATTCAGATGAAATGTAGTAATAAAAGACTGGGTACCTTTGTCTTTCCCACTTGAAAACCCTCTGACTGCAGGTCTAAGTGATCCAGACATTCCTGGATGCTCTCTCTGGTAGCTTTGGTGCCCTCTGGCAGCAGAACACTGAAGTGGTGGACGAAGTCCTGCAGGAAATAGTAAGAAAGGAAAAAAATGGGAGCTAGAGTTGTTACACTGAAACTCTGCTGTGGATTTCTGCTAAAGCCATAAGTTGGATTTACACCGGGGTTGAGTTTCATCTGTGGCTCTTAGCCATCTGCAGCATCTCTTTTGGGTTAAGTGAAAAAGCTGTCCAGCAACAAGACGTTTCAGGTTAAAGTCCATCTCTGCAGGAGATCAAACATCACAGCACGAGTACGCTCAACTCCCACTCCTCAAACTATGCTTCATTGTCTGAATTCAGTGCGATCTGAACTTTGTGAAGCACGGGGGTGGACAGGCCAACAGATGCTGTGTTTATACAATTACAAGCATGAGGAGTGTTTCAGAGGCTGCAGGACAATGAGGAGCCTCTGTTCCTACTGAAACACCAAAGTGATACCATCCTTGAGATATTTCTCATTAGTGCTGATCACAACTCTAAATATGTTGTGAGGAATTTCTGGTGTATCACAACATCTGGTGCTAAAATGGTCTGAGTGAGATCATCAGAACGCCTGGTTTTATGAATCATCCTCTTAAATGAAAAGCTGATTCCACAAACACAAATAAATGTAAATTAACATTTGGCTAAACACTTTTTCTGAAAAACAAATAAAAATACTGACATGTCAACATTTAAGGGACACGGCAGAGAAGACTTGTGAGGAAATTAAGAATCCTTGAGAACATTTCAAGATATTTCATGAACTCCTTCAGGGTTTTTCCTGGCTCAAATTGAGGCAGAGGGGGTACCATCCTGATAATGCGCCAGCACATGCATACTCTGTGCATTCAACTGCCTCATTTTTTTAAGGCAAAATATTATAAAAGGCTCAATAATATCCATTAGATTGGTGTTTAGTTCCCTTTTTCCCATCTGATATTTATAGTTAAAAATATTTTTACATTTCAGTAACATTTTAGGTTTGTATTAATAACACTCATCTTAGTCAAAATAACACATAAATATATCCAGTAAAATACAATGAATTTCATTAACATGCATTTGTATTAGAAATGGTAATAACATTTAATTTCTGCTGCTTACAATGTAATGGTGGCATGTCTATTATGTACGGGTTGGCAATAATCCAGTTCAAATTATGTTCAAAGATAGAAGCGTTTGCGAATTATACACTACAACGGCTTGCCCTACTTCTGGCGCCAGCATATCTGCAGCAGCTCTGATCCGTAGCGCTGCAGGATGCAGAATAAACAGGATGGCGGGGACTTTTCATCTGCTTGTAGAGTTTAGTCTTTCTTAGTTTTACCATCATCATATATTTTTCTGTGCGCAACTTGACCGTGAGACTGCTACCCGTTAGCTTTAGCATTAGCCAATCTGCGTGTAGCTCCACTTTTGTTTCCAAACCTTGGACCGGTTCTGCCTTTGTTGGTTCCTTTATTTTCCTCCACTACATCCAGATTACCACACTGTGCGCCAGTAAAAAGCATTTTTCTTACACGTAACTTACTTTTGTTCAATAAAGTTCTGGGGAAAATAGTAATTCAAAGTTGTTGCACCAGTGCTACGTTTAAAAATAGACGGACAAGCACAGTTTTTTTTTCGTCGCACTGTACAGCCCTGCTCTGGTATGGAAGAGCCTGGGGGAAAATCAGGACCTCAATAGCACCAACCATAGATATGTAACTAGTGAGAAAAGCAATTTTTGATCTTTGTCTGCAGCGGTTTTAGAGCTTGTCGGTGCACCGCTGCTGATACAGCACCCCTGTAGTGGCGCAACGCTGCAACTGCAGTTAAAATAACATCCATATAGCTGGAGGCAGAGTGAAATCAGGCTGGGGCGGCACAAAATTAGCTGGAGGCGGCCGCCACGCAAATTTGAATGCAGGAAAAACCAGAGGTGGAAAGAGTACTAAAATTTCCCACTTAAGTACAAGTAAAAGTACTTGCCTAATTTTTACTCAAGTACAAGTAAAAGGTATCGTGAATAAAATATACTCAAAGTAAAAGATACTTAGTTACATTTTTGTCAGCGTAAAGATGGTTACATCAGTGCAAAACCACAACACCAGTTCACAACACGCTCGTGTGTGCACACACACACACGGACACACACACAGTTTGATGGAAGGATTTCTATCCAATCAGTGAGAACAGGACGTGCACATTGATTGGACGAGGTTTTTCAAGGATTGTACGTTTCAATTGGGATTAAAATTATTCTTTATTTTGGAAAAAAAATGTAAATTTTTAGATGCCATCAGTACGTGGGGTAACTCAATGTTCTCATGACAAAACTCTAACATGAGACTGTGCTCTAACCTGTCACAAAACAAGCTAAATGAAAGTCAAGCATTTCAGATGGACTGTATGACAGTTGTTAACGTTGGTCCTGCCCTACTTTACCTCTACATTACAGTTCCTTTATCCATGTCCATCCTAGAGCTCCTCTCTGACCTTCATGCTTATTTAGAGCAGCTGATTTTTAAAGTTAGCAGAGTTCAGCCTTGGTAGTGGGTTCACTCACTCATTTAAAGATATCGTCCAGAAGCAAAATTCGTTTGAACAGCATGTCTAAGTGTGTATTAAAGCCTCAGATGAAAAAGCTTTTTGGATTTTGACGGCTGGAATTGTAAGAAAATCTGATGTTTGTGACTGGCGTGGGAAAAACAAACTAACTTCCGGTCAAAGCCCTGGGCAGCTGGTGACCTTTCACATGGAACTCTGCTGAAACAGCTGTAGTAAACAACGCCTGACTCCGCTGTTTCTGCGTTAGTGTTATAGCAGAGAACAATGTGTCATCAGTCAGATGTAGCTTCTGAAGCCTCTACTAGTCGATCAGATTTGTTTTTTCTCTGGGATACGGCGACAAGGACGGATATTGGATTACCGGACAAGTTCAACCGAACTCCGACCCCGCCAGCTACTAGAGATGCAGACATGTTTTAGACCGTTTGACTCAGAAGACCTGTGACCTGATTTGGACATAGAGGAGGATTCTGTTTATCTTCAGAACCAAAATCGGTACAGTTTGTTTACTTTTCTTAAATATTTCATTTCTGTGCTCCACTGGGAGCTCTAAGCTGACAAGTTTTCAGCTGGTCTTAGCTCCATCATATGTCCCAATATAGTTCAGTAATCTACAGTTTTACTGCTGTGTGTATTTATTGATAAAACTCGGGGGTGGGGTGGGGGGTTGGGGGGGGGGGGGGGGGGGGGACTACTGGCGGTTGTGAGTGGGGCCCCTTGGAGGTCTTGGCGGTGGCCATGGGTTACTGCCCGGCGGCTGCATTGCCCCTGGGCGGGTCTGGGTGGGGGCCTGGGGGCTCGGGGTGTGAGGGTGGCCGGCCCCGTGGGGGGATCTGGGCAGGGCCTTGGGGGTCGGGTCCTAACATGTATGCTGCCGGGGAGAAGGCAGGAACATGCAGCAGTGCCTGACTAGGGTTCAGGGGCCTCAGGTAGACCTTGGCTCCTCTGCTGTCCCATCACAGGGGAGAGGGAAGTCCAGGAGGGGGAGGACCCAACCTTACCTGGATGTCCTATGTCTTTTATAGTCCAGAAGTTGTGCAAATGCAGGGATGGGCGTAGATATTCTGCAGGGGTGGGGCTGGGTTGGTGCCCTCGGACTCCGTGAGGCTCTATGATGCTGCTTTGGGCCCTGGCACGATGGACTGGGGTCTCCATGCTCTGGGTGGCATTTTGACAACAGAGGTGCCTATTGGGGCCAGTGGGGGAGCTGGCTCCCTGGAGGACTAAGCCCAGCCAGCTATTCCTCCCCATCCCCATCCCCACACATTTCTCTCCTCCAGCTCCCTCACATAATCACACAAACATACACATAGGACCTTGGGGGGTGGACAAGTCAGGGAGTGCGGGTATGGACCCCATTTCCGCATTCCTGTGGCAACCTGCCCCCCAATTCTATCTGCACCTTAAACACTTCCACCAACGACATTCCATGCAAACACACACTTAAGGCCTTGGGAGTGAGCACATGCAATGGCATTTGGCAGGGGGATTTCTCAGCCTCATCCCAAGTGCCGGTGCCCACTTCCAATTTTAAACTGCACTTAGACACTGATGGCTGTGGGTGCAAGTGGGGTGGTGCGGTGGCATCAGCTGGCATAGGCCAGACGATGCCCACACTGCCCGCTCACCACAGCCATGGAATACACCTCATCAACACTCACTAACACCATATTGGAGCAGGCGGAGGGAGACTAGGGGTCTTAGCACACCTCTGTTGTCGCTTGGCTTCCTGGGGCTGGAGGCTAGGAGGGAGATCCGGCCGTCCGGTTGGGGTCTGGGGTGGTGGATTGCTGTGCTCAGCATTGGTTGGGGGAGCCTGCTCATCAGCACCCCAGCAGAAAGGGTCAAACTCTTGGAACCGATAATGGTTGTCCCCATGTGCAGCAGTACTGGGACCAGAGTGAATAGGGTGTGTATGGGGAGCATGAGTGGGTGTCCGGCGTGCATTTTTGTAGTCTTCGGTTGTATGTGCATGAGTGAGCATGAGGGAGGGAGTGTGTGACTGTGTTTGTGTATGACTGTGTATGTCAGGTGGGGCCTTTGACTCCTCCCTTCTCCTGGGACTTCATTTGGAGATATAGATCTTCGTCTCCCCTCTCCCTGCCACACCTGGTGTGGAGTGCGGTGCCTTGGTCTGCCTGGGTCGTGGCTCCCAGGTCAGGGAGTTTAAGATTTTTGGCATCTGCCTGACCAATCCCGGTGGCTGCCTGGTGGGGTCTGGGTCCCTGGGCTCTGCTGGGTCCCCAGTGGGGGTGGTCGCCCCTGGGTCCCAGTAGGGTTGTCACGGTAACCGGTATAGCGGTAAAACCCGGTAAAAAAGTTGACAATAAAAATAACCGTCCAGTTTTTAAAAAACTAAATTATCTCGGTGGGTTTACCGTGGCCGCGGTTTCAGCGCGGTGACCCTTACCAGCCACAGCCGCTTCAGCTGAAGTTCCCGCGGCGCGCACACGCACTTTTTAGTTTGCAACAGCACCAAAACTTTGAAGCTGAAATAATGGCCGAAGGAGGAGACGGCAGCGCCCAGGACATCCATCAGCCCTCAAAGAAGACTAAATCGGAAGTATGGGCATATTTTGGATTTCTGAAAAACGCTGAGGGACAGTTAATAGAAGACGGCTATCCCGTTTGCAGAACGTGCAGGAAACAAGTGTCTGCAAAAGGCAGCAACATTTCGAATCGAATGGCACATCTGCGTGATCATCACCCACATCTCTACAGCCAGTGCAAGGTAAGTTAACATTAGCATTTTAGCTTAAATGCATGACGCGAGGACTTTTGGCTGTGGGAGAATGCAACCAGTCACTATATGCTGCAGCCGCAGCGCCCTCTGCCAGCATTTAAACCGTGTCACGGACACCCTGTTGCTGGATGAAGCATCTTATTTGTTGATGATGAAGAGAAATATACAATTAGTTCCTTGTCATTGATTTGTTTACTTATTCAATGCCATTTATACTTGAACATTTGGATTTGATTACATAGTGTAGTAGTTATTTTAGTAATTTGTTTAAAGTGGCTATTTATTTTAAATACATATATTTTTTAAGGTTGACTTGTACAGTGCTCAAGTCAAGTGTGGACTGGACTTTTAGATTTTCATTTTGATAATGAAGAAAACAAGTATATGAGAAAACAAGTGGTGTTTCTTTGAATTGTTTACATATTGTTTATGTTTTGAATGTTTGGATTTGTATAATTTAAACCTGCACTGACTACTGTAACATGTTCCAGAAAAAGAAGCTATTTGTTCCTTTACTTGTGAAAAGTTGCACTTTTGCTAAGGCTTTGTGTTATTTTAGGTTTGATAAACACTGTTAAACCTTTTCAAAACTATTTCAGTTTGTGTAGAACAGGACTATCAATGCTTTCTGAACATATGCAACACCGTTTAAAAAATACAGCGATAATACCGAAAACCGTGATAATTTTGGTCACAATAACCGTGAGGTTACATTTTCATACCGTGACAACCCTAGTATAGACTTGGGCACGTTCAACACAGGTCTTAAGGCTATGGTGGGCACTTAATGCACTGTGATTTATTATCGTGTGATTGTTCAGTTAAACAAGGTTGATAATATATTTCTTCATCAAGTTGACGCAGTGATAGCTTGATCTTGTTGCATTGTTGTTGTGTCCCATGTTTTTTTCTTCTTCTCTCTTTCTGCAGGTCTAGAAGCAGATTCTTGTTCATTATTGTTATAAAGGCAGCAAGCATTTTGTAGAAAGGAGATTACTTGTTTTTGGTTCATGTGATGCGGTTCTTCGATAAAACGGTCTCAACTTTATTTGATTATTTCCTCTCTGACACTGAGCCTCCATTGGTCAAAGTCTGACAATTAGAATTAAAAGATTGACATGTAAATGCATTTCTCATTTTACCGAGATAAAGGTAAAGTTAAAATCCCATTAGTCAGTACACACTGGTGAAATTCATCTCAGCATTTGACCCATCCCAGTGGGGAGAGGTGAGCTGCAGGTGTGGCTGACACACAGACGTTTTTGCTCTCAGACTTCACCGTCAGCTGGAGATTGTTGCAAAACAATTCCCCGCCAGAGGGCGTAGAGCTATTCTGAGGTTTCCTACATATCCGGTTCACGATAGTGTATCTACTATCGTGTTTAGATTGTTTTAATGTATTTCAGAGAATTTTCAACACAGCCAACATTTCCCCCATCCACCTTTTCATGCGATCGGCACCTCTAAACTCACTTTCTTGTTTTTTCCATCCACAAATAAAGCGCTGCATATCTTTGTACTCCTTCGGTCACGGGTGAATAAACATTCCTATTTTCAGACTTTTCCCACGAAGTGTTCTTCAATCTGTTCCGTGTCTGCCGCTAAATAGCTTTTTTTTTTTTTGAAGCGGCAAAGATGGTGCTGTTGACGAATTTACAGGAAGTGGCGTCCTGACCAATCACAAGCTTGCGGTCCAGTTAAACATCAGGGCATTTCTCTCTGTGAGCCAGTCGGAGAGCTCTTGCGCCGACAAATAATGGCGTTGCGTGTTTCCGTCCCAATGCAGACGGTGAAGTATAAACTTGGCTTACTCCCCCAATCCAACCCATTCAAACTGAGTGTCAAGCAGGGAGGCAATGGGTCCCATTGTTTAAGTCTTTGGTATGACCCGACCAGGATTTGAACCGAGATTTCCCACTCTACCAATAAGCCACTGAGAAGTTTTAATGTCACATTTTACCATTTGATTGTCATTTCACTATAGTTTCAACAAACTGTTTCATTGGTTTCCATCCAGGTTCCAAAATGTTAGTCTTTCTGTAGAAATACCAAAAAATTGAACAAAAATGTAAATGTGTTTCTGCAGAAAAACTACTTCATGGTGCACAAAGTAAGAATGACAGCCTGTGGTAAAATGTGGGTACTGCAGTCCATGTTTGAAAACAAAGAAGTCCAATTTGAAAAACTGTTGTCAGTTACGGATTGGCACAGAACATTCTAGATGATAAGCAAAGACAATTCATATACAGTAAGTCTGATAAGTAGATAAATGCATTTCACTGTAATATAGACTTACTGGTATCTGAAAAAATAGGTTGAGATTTTGGGTGTGCAGGCCATCTTTTTTCTAATTCAATGTTAGCTCAACGTTAGCCTCTAGCCTTCTCTACTCAATATCAGCAGAGGTGGAAAGAGTACTAAAATTTCCTACTTAAGTATGAGAATACTTTGATAATTTTTTACTCAAGTACAAGTAAAAGTACTTGCCTAAATTTTAACTCAAGTTAAAGTAAAAATGTACTCAAAGTAAAAGTTCCTTAGTTACACTTTTGTCAGCGTAAGGATGGCTACATCTAAGTAGAGCAAAATCACAACGCCAGTTCGCAATTTGCTCGTGCGCACACACACACACACACGCACACACACACAGTTTGATGGAGGGATTTCTATCCAATCAATGACAATAGGACGTGCACATTGATTGGACGAGGTTTTTCTAGGATGGTACGTTTCAATTGTGATTTAAATTATTCTTTATTTTGAGGAAAAATACATATATTTTTAGATGCCATCAGCATGTGAGGTATCTCAATGTTTTCATGACAAAACTAACATGAGACTGTGCTCTAACCTGTCACATAACAAGCCAAATAAAATTCAAACATTTCAAACGGACCATATGACAGTTGCTAACATTGGCCCTGCCCTACTTTACCTCTACATTACAGTTCCTTTATTCATGTCCATCCTAGAGCTCCTCTCTGACTTTGAAAGCTAGCAGAGTTCATCCTTGGTAGTGGGTTCACTCACTCATTTAACCGTTCACCACTGAAATCAGTGTGTTCATTTCAATCCTCCTAAATAAACCTCAAATCATCCAACTGGAATCCTTAAGGGTCCCGTAACGTCCATCCTGTCAGAACAGGCCTTGGTAGCCCAGGTGTTACTAGAACTAATTGTGTCTCCTCACCAGCGTGAGCCTCCAAACTGTGAAGGTTGGTCTCCAAACATGAACTTTAAATCCATGCATTCATCTCCTCTTAACACATTTTAAAAGACTTGTATCATGATACGTTACACCTCCCAGACCAAAGATAGGTCCAATATAATATAAAACATTATCGTAGACACTATTGAGACGTCATTTATGAAATAGAAGTTATTTTTGTTCACCATTACTTCAACCAAGAAATAAGATGCATGGATTTGATGAAACCAGCGTCTCATGCAGTCCTATATGTGTAACACACGCACACACACACATGCACGCACGCACACACACACACACACACGCACACACACACACGCACACACGCACACGCACACACGCACACACACACACACACACACGCGTCATGACTAATTGAACTATATTGAACTGCTTTAGTAATAATTTAATCTCTTATTCTGGAGTAAAATAAAGAAACAAGCTAAATCATCTGTGGCATCAAGAAGCAACTTCTGAGTTCAAACACAGGGATGGAGCACAATGTTTACACCTGAACAGTATCAGGATGTTTTAACTCACAGAGGCCTGCAGGTCTTCTGTTTTATGAGCAGAGTGCTGATAATCCGCTTGTTATGAACGCTAAACGTTGTTTTGCCGCTTCCGTGCGGAGCGGTAGGGAACCGAGTCTGGCTACCGAACCGAGCGGAATTCTGATGACATAACACCGGTGCGCGAAGGTGCGGGTTCCAACCCACAGGAGAGGAGGTAAACAGCAAGTGGATCACAGTGACAGAACTGATGTTTTTGAGCAAAACTGTGGTAAAAATTCCAAAACACCAGACTTGTAGTGGACATCATTTTAATTACCATGGGGGAAAACAAGTTTTCATCTGATAGTGACTTATACTACATCTAAAAGATGTTTCTGGAGAGTGCCCAAACACAGGAAATGGAAACTACTGTAAAATGAAACTGGAGTGGGAGTGAGCCGCTCCCAGACGGGTTTGCTCCAACAGCTAACACCCCATCTGCCTTGGCCCTGATCCACTTTATTAGCAGCACAATGTTTCTCACTAAGCTGACATCATTCCTGTGAGAGCCAGAGTGGTTAAAGATGGCTGCCGTCTCCTACCCTCAGAAACTCCCTCCTGACAAAACACACAATGAATCAGTGACACGTTTCCTGGAGATGAATTCATCACTGGCACCTAAACTCTTGGGAACATGAGAGGAGTTTGAGTTGAGCGTTAATTCGATCTGCTGCTCTGCTCTCATTATTGCTTTATGGAAAACCTTCCTCGTGGCATTTTAGGACAAAGCTGGAAAGCACAGTGGGTTAAGTGATCTTTTTGGAAAGGAAAACTGACTAGTGGTGATTGTTAAAGCTCCAAAGGGCTTGTGCTATGTTTACCAGCTTTGTAGCCAGTTGGAGTTTAAAACAAAACATTTTAGAAGAGAAAAAAAGCTAATTTTAATCGCAAATTACAATCAACTGTATGCGTTACCTTGAAGTTGTACTTGACATTGTATCCCGACTGCCGGATGCGCACGGTCTCCAGCATACCTGTGTAACGCAGCTGTCTCAGCACCAGGTCATCGTCGAACCGTAAGGGCAGCTTACAAACATTAAAACAGGAAGTTATTTAAGTAAAGAGGAGATTTTAAGCAGAGGTCACAGAAAAGAGGAAATGGATTTAAAAAAAAACAACAAACATTTTTAGAAAACTAAACAAAACATGTCTGTGGCCCAGAGAGAGCAAACTGTACCTTATCAGCGTTGGAACGGATGCATTTGACAAAATAAGGCTCAGACTGACCCAGAGTCTCCATCAGCTTATTGAGAGAAGCCTGCAGGATGCAAAAAAGGCATCAAACTTTACAGCCCACATCAGGCTGGAACACATTTCAGCATAAAAGTCCTGCCACGCATCAGCAAAGCAACACAGATGTTTGTGTCAGAATGAAGCTGTGTGTGTGTGTGTGTGTGTGTGTGTGTGTACTTTTCTTTGTATGCTTAAGTGGACAAATTTTTACTTTTAACCTGTAGTGTGTGAACATTTCCACATTGTGGGGGCATTTAGCTGGTCTACACAGTAAGAAAATACCCTTAAATGTGGTTTCAGAGGTAAGGTTTAGGTTAGGGTTAGACATAGTGGAGTCCCTAAAACAAATGGAAGTCAATGGAGGGTCCACACAAGGACACAAAGACATGTATGTATGTGTGTGTGTGTGTGTTGTCGTGTGAGGAAACACATGAACATGTGTGTCCGCATGTGTGCGTGATCATGTCGAGGCGGGAGGAACTCGGTCATCCTCCCCATTCACTGGAGATTAAAGCAATCAGAGCAACACAGGATGTGGAAGGTGAAGTCACACACACGCACGCACGCACGCACACACACACACACACACACACACACACACCCTTCCAGAGGGGCCTCGGGACTAGACTTATCTGATTTAGAGCAAATTTACATGCTTCTCTCTTCCATTTAAAGAGTTAAAACATTAGCTTTGTTTTTATTCTGACTGACTTTAAATTCCTCTAAAATGTTTTTTTTTCTAATCTCATAATGGAGTCAACAGCAGAGTGACATTTCTAAAGGGAGTGACCATAAATGAGCATTGTCCTCTTTTTTGTTTTTTGCTTTTCTACTGAATGAAATTACTTATTTCTTTAATTACCAAACATGATGTCATAAATGGAGGTTTAAGATGCTTGACTGAAAATAAAAGCTGCAGAGAAACTCAGAAAAGTCCCCCATCCCTGTGGTAACCTATATGTAACAGAGAAGCTATCTGTTTTAATTCTATGCACAACCTGAGGGGGATTTCTCAGTCCAAGCCATGCTTTAAGTGGTGATTTGGCTTTAAGGGCCTTGACTTGTAAATCAAGGTGTAGTCTTGTGCATGCTGACCTGAAACTGTGCGCTGATACTGGGGGGTTTCTTCTTCTTGTGGAGGTGAAGCAGTGACTTGGTGATGCGGTCGTGAAGCGTCAGGTTGCTGAGGTACTTCAGTGACTTGACGTTCAGTAAATGCTGCTCGGTGGGGGGAAAAAAGTACAGCTAAGACTGTGGATCTAAAACCTGGTTTGAAGTTTAAAATGTACACAAACCCATGCTCTACCTTTGGAAGGACTGGTTTGGATTTGTAGTTCTTGTTCCTCCTGTTGAGTAGAAAAACAAAACAATGGAAGAAACGTTAAGTTTTCCAAATCAACAGGTGAAAGACTACTTCTTAAACGTCAAGTAGCATTTAATCATCTCCAAAAACTCCCCCTGAGAGGCTCATATCCCTGACAGTGAAGTGAAACTTTACTCGTCCCTGTAGGGAGGAAATTCTCCGTGTGTGGAGAGGTCAGAGGTCAGGGCCGGGTACAGAACAGTGCTGACTGAGCTGGTAGGAATGTTGTGATCACTGCAGGACCCTTCAGCAGTGCAGATGTTTGAACTCAGGTCTGTCAGGGTTCCAGATGTCTCGGAGCCCTTTGGCCACATAACTGAACAAATTATTTTTATTCCTTTAACCAAGTAGAGCCTAAATGAGCCTCTGTCACAAAGCATTATGGGTAAAGAAGTAGCAGCGAGTAGTTGTGGGATCTGGTCAACAGTAACAGCCAGAAGGAAAAAAACTTTTATTATATATTTGTGAGTTTAGTTACTGACATCAGGATGTCGTGAGCCTTCTCCAGGAGTTTGCTGCTGGCCGAGTTCACAAAGATACCGTCATCTTCTGCGGTGGAGCTGCTGGAGGAGCTGCAGCTCCGCCGACCCACACGGCCGTTCCAGCCAAGCCCCGGAGAGTTCCTGCAGACACAACACACACCAGGACCGACAGAAAGGTTAGAAGGTTTTAAAATACTCATCCACAAGTTTGTGTAAATACAGGAAAAAAAATATCATTTCAAATTAAACATAACATTTTACTTTCTAACCTCTACTTCACACTGGAAGCGTCAGCGGGAACGTCGCTGCTTCAAACAGAATTCATTATAGTCTATGGAGCCACGATGCACACATTTTCAGGAGCGTCCTAGAAGCATCACGCCACGCCGCAGCACTAAAGATAGGATTGGGTTCTATTGTTGCTGCAAGTCGCTTCAGAGACAAAAATATTTCCACAATTAACATAGAGCTAGACAAGAAAGTACTGGCAGCAGCGATGCAATTTCATATCTATGTAGATCACATCAAAACATGTGACCTAACGGCTTATTTCCTCCGTGCATCGTTGCAGAAGTGCAGTGGTGTGTTTTTTATGTCGTTATCCTAGAGGTGATTTTGTGATCTCGCAAGTCCAACGAAGAGCATGGTGAGAAGCCGCTCCGCAGCGGAGATTCTTCCAGTGTGTACTCACTAAAGGTGCCTGAAAAAAAATCGATTCACATCAGACTAGCAACTCCTACTTAAAAAGATTCAGAATCGATTCATAAAACTCAAGAATCGACCTTGTTGGAATGCCTTCATGTAAGCGGTCATACAGGTCCTTCTCAAAAAATTAGCATATTGTGATGAAGTTCATTATTATCTGTAATGTACTGATAAACATTAGACTTTCATTAATATTAGATTCATTACACACAACTCAAGTAAATAAAACACTCCTGACAAAGCACACAATGAATCAGTGACTTGAACTACTTCAGTTGTGTGTAATGAATCTAATATATATGAAAGTCTAATGCTAGTGTCCACCCTGGGACTGGGAGATGGGGGTTTAAAACCTGGTCGGGCCATACCAAAGACTTTAAAAACAGGTCCCTGCTTGATCCGCAGCGTTAAATTGAGTATCAAGTGGTTTAACCCCCAATCAGTTCGACTGGTTAAACCACTTGGTTCCCGAGCGCAGCCACGGCTGCAGCTCCCCACGGAGATGCGTCAAATGTGGGGATGTAATGTCACCAGTGTGTGATGATGACTAATGGGACTGAGTTTTCTCAAAATTTCAGACTTTCTAACTCTCAGACACCAGAGAAGTGCTGAAGAGGAGTTCAGCCAGCTGGGGTGACTGGGACTTTTTGAGAGCCTTTCTCTAGCAAATACTTTGGGAATTCCAGGAACATGAAAAGCAAAAGCTTTTGACCCACGCAAGGACATTGAGAATCATTCCGGGACATTCTGGAGACTCCCTTAAGAATGCCGTCTGTCGTTTTTTTTTTTACCAACAGTCATGATCCAGTGAGATAGTGGCTCCAGTTTATCCACAATCCGATAATAACAGAGCTTGTTTGCTTGGAACAGTAAACGTCCTAGCACTGTGTTCACATATATCACATCAAATATTCCACATATTGAGAAAAGTATCTTGTATAAATCAGGCATAACTGCTGGTTGATTAACTTGAGCAAACCTTTGATGAGTTGCTGTTCACGTCTTTCCTGCTCAACCAACAAATCTGGACTTTACATGGTTAAAGGCTTTAATTAGCTGTGATTTCATTCATCCCCACTGTTATAATACAAACGCGTTACACACTGCAACCACTCTGGTCATGTCAAGGTTAATGGTCTCTGGCAGCTCATATAAAAACACTAATATTATTAGTGTTGCTTGTGCCTCTTCTGCATCGGTCTGGGTTTTGTTTCTTTACAGAATATGATTTAATAAACTCTCTAATCTGCACTGCAGAGCCAAGAATTCGTAAAGCAAATAGTGTCAGAAGCTGCAGTGTTCTGGACAGAATTCATATACGGACGTGTTTAAACCCACGGGCCTGAAGGTGAAAGCAAACCACATGCCCACAACACAAACAAAAGCACAAGTGGTCTGGACGTGGTTTAAACCAGACTTGCAGCCCGATGGCATGACACAAGAGAGAAAAAAACAACTAAAAGGCAAGAAATAAAAGACTGCTCCTACTTTATTGCTCAAAATACAGAGAAAAGAGCATTACTTTGAAAGGAGCACTTTATCATCATTTCTGACGCGCTGAAGCAGTTTATCTTGTTTCCACCGGCGACCTTTGTAGATTTACAAGAGTTCCTTTAGAGGAGTTACAGGCCACACACTCTCTCTCTCTCTCTCTCTCTCACACTCACACACACACACACACACACACACACACACACACACACACACACACACACACACACACACACACACACACACACACACACACACACACACACACACACACACACACACACACACACACACACACACACACACACACACACACACACACACAGCACCAGCGACGTGCGTTCAGTAACTCATTCTGCTTTATTAGCAGGTGGTGGGATTATTTCTAAAGGGAAAACGAGGTGGGACAGCAGCAGAGGGGAGGTTTTAAGAGCTGATTAAATAAATGTCAGTTCAAACAGGAGGCAGCAGGGCAAAACTCACCAAGTCACAGCAAATGAAAGCTTTTGGATTCATAAGTTTACACTGGTTGTTATAATGGAAGGCGTGTTTAAAAGCCGTTTTTATCTATGATCGAATCAGACCGTGAATCTTTGGGTGTAAATACCCACTAACCCAACAAATCTCCTGTTTGCATCTGGCCTTCCATACATGGGAGAATTTCTCCCCAGTTGATCATCGATCTCAGTAAATGGCGACGGTACAATATGCCTTTTGTACCGACTGTTTATCTCCATAGTCTCTGAGAGTCCCATAAAGTAGTGCACTGTCTGCGGCTCTGTCCAGCTGACAGACACCCTGCAGGGACAGAATATTTATCCCTCCCCGGACGATCCTCTGCTATGCATAGCTCTGACTTTACATCATGGAGGAAGCAGCTGGACAGGGTTGAGTGCTCTCAGAGTAGGCAGACGATGAGTGTGTGGAGAAGGAGGCTAGAGGTCATGTATTACATTAGGAGGAATCTGAACAACTCTGCAGTGGGCTCCTGTGTAATCCAAGCTGTTTTCTGTGACCTCACAGCTCTGCACATCACGGCTGCTGCTGCTGCAAACCTTGCGGTCCAAAGATATTTAAAGGAAGTGGTGCATGAGAGCATCACCCAGTCCCAGCACTGTCATCATGGGGTATTTTAATAGACAGATGGGTCAGGCAGGACTTTCCAAAAGGTCAAGATCATGTAGGATCCTGCGTTCTTTAAAATGGTAACAATTATTAGCTCTTAGAAAACAGATAAGCTACAGCTTGCTACAGTTTATAAGCTTTATGAGTTATAAGCGCTAAAGAGCCTTGGATGAGAAACGAAACGTCTTCAAGAAACTGAGAAAGTCCGACAGGATTACCATGACCTGGACGGTCGGCAAGCTTCACGTGCATAAATGTAAAAGTAAAAGTACCGAAGACGTAAAAAAACAGAAGGAAAATAGAGTACAGAAAATAAATAGATGGATTCTGAATAGGTGTGACACACCACTTCCTGGAGGATCTTATATGTAGGGTAGTTATTTGATGTTCTAATAAATAAATAAAAACCAAGAGCCCTATGTCTCAAGTAATAACAGGGCCTGTAAACAAGTTATTACAGGTTCACTTCTGGAGAGATGTTTTGATTTAAATTTAAGTCGATGGGTTGACCTTCTTGCTGGTGTGCAGGAACACCTGTATTACAGGAAGGGATTTGGTATTAATGTTCTACTTAATAAACACAGGCACACACTGTGTCAACCCAGATTAGTAAATGGTAAATGGCCTGTATTTGTATAGCCTCTTCTAGGATTGTACAACTACCCAAGGCACTTCACAACAGTCATTCACCCGCACGCGCGTGCGTGCACACGCACACACACACACACACACAGGTGGCAGTGGGCTACATCATAGCCACAGCTGCCCTGACTGGGGTGAGGCTGCCAAACACTGGCGCATCCGGTCCGTCCGACCACCACCAGCAGGCAAGGTGTGTTAAGTGTCTTGCCCAAGGACACAACTGCAACCGACTGAGTGGGACTTAATCCCACAACCCTTCAGTTATGAGACGGGCACTTAACTCCTCTGCCACCCCCGTCCTGTGTAATTCTCACATTAGTATAATATTACATTTGACTTTTCAAATCTTGCACAACAAGGCAAATGTCAGCACATCACTGAAAGGAAGCAACTCTACAAGCATTTGTGCTCAATTTTTAGGTAACATAGTAAAAATTAGATAATTTCACAGACTACGTGTCTTTTGAAGCAATGACTCATGGGAGTTTTATTATGCCTCTAACTACTTTTAGCAGCTAGCTGTAATGTAATGCTGATGTTAGCTGCTTGTTCGCAAATTGGTTATTTGGTATTTTTATTCTCCTGAACAGCTTCATCCAGAGTCAGGTCGGGAGGCAGTAACCTAAGCATCCTAAGGCGCTCCCTGGCCAGCCGGGAGACATAGTCCCTCCAGCATGTCCTGGGTCCTCATTTAGGTCTCCTGCCTGAAACCTCACCAGGGAGGCGTCCAGGAGGCATCCTAATCAGATGCCCGAGCCACCTCAACTGGCTCCTCTCAATGTGGAGGAGCAGCGGATCTACTCCGAGCACTTCCTGGATGACCTACCTACTCATTTCGGCCGCTTGTACCTACAATTTCATTCTTTCGGTCACTACCCACAACTCGTGACCATAGATGAGGGTACGTAGATCGACCGGTAAATCGAGAGCTCTGCCTTCTGGCTCAGCTCTCTCTTCACCACAACAGATTGGTACAACGCCCACATCACTGCAGACACAGCACCAATCCAACTATCAATCTCACGCTCCATCTTTTACTCACTCATGAACAAGAACCCGAGATACTTAAACTTAGGGCAGGATCCCGTCCCGGACCTTGAGAAGGCATTCTACCCTTTTCTGATTCAAGACTGTGGTCATGGACTCAGTCCTTAGGCCACCAAAACGGATCCCCTCAATTACTATGTAAACAAAGCTTTAACCCCCCACCCACACATGCACACAAACAAACACACACGCACACACACAAACAAACACACACACATGCATGCACACACACACACTTACCATGGTGATTTATCTATCATGGTGTTGCTTCCTTGAATGTCTGACAGTGGAGCTCGGGGACTCTTCCTGGTCATACCTGATCACGAACAGACAGGTTGGAATCATATCAAAGGAGGCAAAAACAGACTTTTACATGAAAACACACACAGAACAAGACTCTTACACACAAAGGCTAAAGCATACTAACACTTCTGACACCATCTGCCACTCCAGAGTGTTTTGTGCCTTTTTATTAGAATTGGAACCCAACTAGATGATCTCACACTGAAATAGATGGATGAAGTTAACAGGGGTGTGCTCTGGTTAGTGCTGAAATGTGGAAGATGATCCTGATGAGTTGTTTTAATAGTTGATTAGTTATTTCAAATGTAACAGTCACCCACTTTGTTCCGCATTCTAAGAACAGTTAATCTAAAGTAGGGTGGGCGTAATTAGAGTTGTGACAACTCATTCATGTGCATTCCCATGAACTTGCAGAGATCTATAGGTTAGCCTACTCAGAAAGCAAACTGTGGCTAAACGGTGTACCATGTTCAGTTTCATCACCACTTTGTACAACATTTTCACTCTCATCTGGAGCTGCAAGGTAGCACAAAACAAAAAGACACACACATTTGAGTGCATTGAAATATTTGTGATCTTTGTGAGTGTGTGCACGCGCCTGTGTGTGTGTGTGTGTGTGTGTGTGTGTGTGTGTGTGTGTGTGTGTGTGTGTGTGTGTGTGTGTGTGTGTGTGAGAGAGAGAGAGAGAGAGAGAGAGAGAGTGTGTGTCCCCTGCCACCACGCAAAAGCTGCCTGTGAGCGAGTTAGTGACAATCCTGCAAACATCTGCATCCCAGCTTTGTCAAACGCTTCCCCCAGTCCTCAATCACCATCACCAGTTTGAGTTTTAGTAGTTTCAAGGAAAGACAGCAAATTTTAGCCGAGTGTTGTTGAACCGGCCGCCAAACAGACGGTGGCAAAATAAAACAAGAAGAAGAAAACAGACACCTACAAGTGATGCTTCCCTGAACCAAAGTTGGCAGACACAGCACTACACCCATGCCTCTTTTCCCCCATTTTTCTTCTGCAAACATGCAAGTGACAGAATGACTGAAGCACGCTGGTGGAAAACATGCAAGAGAAGGTGAAGAGGGAGACGGAGGGAGCAGAGACCAACAAGCATCTATTCTACAATAAATCCGATCATGAATCAGGACACTTTAGTATAAATCTGAACAAGATTGACTGTATACTAGACTTTGTTAAGTTGCTGATGTTGGTCGGTCTCATCCCTACGGTTTCCCACATCAAATCCAACATAAAAAGAGGAGGAATTGATATTTTCTTGGCAGCCTTACTGTACTTCTCCTCTTTGCATCTTTGCAGGATCTCTAAGCTTCTCTGATGTACAGGGTGTTGCAGAAAGCTAAAACTATCCACTTTTTTCAATACTGCACAGGGAGCAGCGTCATCATGCCCTTGGAAAAGCAAAACACAAAGAAAGAAAACAGAAAAAAACAGAAGGGGGAAAAGGGAGAGAGAGAGAGAGAAAGATGAGATTAGACAGTGGAGGAGTAAAAGAGATACAGCAGTCTACTAAAGAGATACCTGTACAAGAATTATGGAGAAAAGATGATTAACATTCAAAACAGCTCTAGGAAGCCTGTGTCGGTCTGTGTGCTCACACCAGCAGGCTCTTCCATTTATTGTCTTCTAGACGTTTTTCTGCTTCTCTGCAACTCTTGCCTTTCACAGACAAGAAGTATATAAATGATGCAGCTCGTAATTATCTATCACAATCCAAGCATGTTGGAAACGCAGCAGTGCTTTTGCAGAAAGTTTTTAGAAGACACTGAACAGATGCCCTTGAGCGACACATCTTTGGAGTTTAGTTCAAAGGAATTCTACAAGAGATCTAAGAAACAGCAAAGAGCACAAGACTTCTAGGGAAAAGTCTATGTCGCACATCTAAAAACAAAAGGGTAGAAAAGCTGAGAGCGGAGCTGATTCACACACTGGCAAAAATGTAGGAACATCCGATGTTGATGTCTAAATTCATCTAAAAGCAAATCCTAAAGAGAAAAAGTGCATTCACAGAAAGCCATGGCGCTACAGCTGTGAACACACTACAGAAGTCTAGATACAAAAACCCAAACCAGAACTTCAGATCATTTACTGCAGCATGCCAGGAAAACTAGACCCTGTAGTTTTGTTCATTTCTGTGAGACTTTCACCTAAACTAAAATTAAAAGCATCCAAAAGCTAGTTTAAAGTGCATTTTCCCTCCAAATTTAATCCATCATAAAAAAAACATAACTTCTCTTATTACAAAAAAGGTGTATTTTTAATATTATTGGTTTATGCTTTATACTTCTAAGTGGATATGGTTTCTGTGGGTGTGTTTTCTCACCGATCTTCTTGTGTGTGTGTCTCTTTCCAGCCTCTCTAAAAGCCACCAGGGCCCTGAAGTAGGCTCGGAGAACCGCCCAGCGGAACGTGGCCGACGGGTCGATGCCGATAAGCCCGCAGATGAACGCGTTCTTGCTGCTCTTCAGCAGAGCTACGATGTCCGGACGCATGTGATCCGTGTTCTTTTCCCTAAAATCCTGATAGGAAAAACGGACACAAATCACATTTTTTTCATTGCTGCTTCTTAAAGGTCATTTCAAAATGAGTCAAGATTTTCAGAGTTTTTACAAAACAATTATACTAACTGTAATATTACAATATAAAAACCCCATATTTCCTAAAAGAAAAATTAGAAGACCACTTTGATGTGGTAGGTGAAAGTTGAACTATTTTTCAATACTTGTCTAAAAAATAATATTAAACCCCCAACATTCCTTGATTTGATTGTTTAATATAGGAAATGAGATTAAAAGTCCTCCCCGATTCCAGTAAGACCTTAAATCCCTATTTCCTCTGCAAAATAGGGGCAGAAATGTGTGTGCGTGTCCGATGCCTTACAACAGAAATGGCTGACTATCAAATAGAAACACACACACACACACACACACACAGTGGAGGCATGATTTCCCCCCCCCCCCCCCCCCCCATCTCACTCATATCTACTTCTACTATCAACTTTAAAGGTGCAGTATGTAAGAATATAGTGAGAATTTCAGAGAGAAAATCCCAAAAGAGTCTAATGTCAGGCATTATGGAAGGACGGCTATACTGAAACATATTACATATCCTGCTGTCTGCATGGATTGTCAGTTTTTCTCCTTTCAAAACAAAGTAAGGAGGGACGTAACTACTGTTTACCATCAGTGTGGTGTTGCCGTGTTTTCTGCTGCAGCGCCAACAATTGTAATTTGACAACGGCCGGCCAAAAGCTCCAGAGTTGTTTAAAGTGGTTGCAGTAGGGCTGAGCGATGTATCGATATTTTTAAAATATCTGTATAATTTTTAAACAAGATACAAGATGACTTCATATCTTTATATCAATATAACTGGTCAAACTGCTATGCTAGTGATTAGCTGCTATGCTAGCGACATGTTGCTCAGTCTCTAAGTGGTTATTACATGTATTCTCACAAGTATGCTCAATCTGAGAGCCTCTGGGTTAATGTGCTGCTCTAAACTTTGCATTTGGCATCCTGGTTTTTAATTATTTGGGGACGTTCAATGCCAATGGAGTTCTGTTTTTCCATCCTGCTTATGCGGAGCCGGAGAGATGAGCCAAACCCCTCTCTCCCCTGTGTAATTGAGATAGAAGAAGATGATGAAGATAGAAGAAGAAGAAGAAGAAGATAGAAGAAGAAGATGAAGAAGAAGATAGAAGAAGAAGAAAGAAGATAGAAGATAGAAGAAGAAAGAAGATAGAAGAAGATAGAAGAAGAAAGAAGATAGAAGATAGAAGAAGAAAGAAGAAGAAGATAGAAGAAGAAGAAAGAAGATAGAAGAAGAAAGAAGATAGAAGAAGCATTTCTATAGCGCCTCTCAAGATAAAAATCACAAGGCGCTTAACAAAAACAAAAAATGTAAAAATATAAAAAGGCATTTAGAAAATGTTTAAAAATATTTAAAATGAGCAAAAATAGACAATTGTGATTAAAAAATGTTAAGAAAGAGAGAGAGAGTGAATAGGAAAGAGGGAAATCAGTGGATCCTGAGGAAGGTGGAATAGGTGGGGAGAGCAGAATAAAGAGAGAGTGGTGAAGAAGGTCATACAAAAGCCAGCTTGATCAAGTGAGTCTTCAGCTGTTTTTTAAAGGAGACCATTGAGTCCACTGATCTCAGGCTCAGGGGGAGAGAGGTCCAGAGTCTGGGGGCCACAGCAGCAAATGATCTGTCACCTTTGGTCTTTAGCCTGGTGCGCTGCACAACCAGTAGGCTTTGATAACTGGACCTCAGGGACCTGCTGGGGGTGTAGGGACTAAGAAGATCACCAATGTATGACGGTGCTTGTCCATGTAAGGCCCTGTAGACCAGAACCAGGATCTTGAAATGAACCCTGAAGTTGACTGGCAGCCAGTGAAGCTGGAGGAGAAGCGGGGTGATGTGGGTGTGTTTGGATAGCCGGAGCAGCCAAATTATCTCAAATGTATTGTAAGGGCTTGAATAGTAACGGTTAACGTTTTATGTTTAAGGTGAGCTCAGCGGGTCAGAAATGTTGTTTGGTTCTGTTTTTTTCCGGTGTTGCTATGCTAGTAAATACTCCGTTACGAGCGATTCTGTTGAAAAAGTTGAGTTTGTAAGGCGTGGGTTAAGGCGACAGTAGCCCAAAAATAATACTGATAAAAGAGCAACCAGAGACTCAGAGTTTTTACAGTATAATCGCTGATATAAGTCAATACAGTTAGATTCGAGCCATGTTTGCCCTAATAACTAATAACTCCACAGTGCATGACCCGTGTGATCTTCAGTAGATGCAATTATATCATAAATTTAGTTTAACGTGATAGATGTTTTTTCTCTGGACAAGAAATATACGATATGGGCCACCAGTAGATGAAATTTTAATTTTACATTAATTATAAACATATAATTTAAAAGTGCCTGTGGGAAATTTTATACACCTCTAGCTCTCAACTATGTGTGTGTGTGTGTGTGTGTTAGCAGACATCTGCACCAGTGTTTCTAAAGCTCAAACTGGTAGAGAATAGGCACTAAGGTTAAAGTTTGACAAGAATAGATACATTTTTCTGCATTTAATCTACTGATTTACCGTAAATCCTCTAATACAGGCCGGTATTCAATTAAAGGCCGGGTCTCCAATTTTGGCCGGTGTCGGAGTCAGCGGAGGCAAATAATGGCCGGTCTCTTATTGTGGCCGGGCGGAATGTGGTAACAAGCAAGTACGAGCGTCCCAGCGGCAAGGTTATAGTCCACAAATCAAACAGCAGGAGGCAGTAGGGGTTCACGCAGACCTTTATTAGGCTTTTTCTTCAACGCTTTGTTACGCTACAGACACGATCCTCTATCACGCTCCTACCACACAGAGTCACGGTGTCAGTTAACCATGCTAATTCAACCTGCTCCACAGAACACACATCACCTTCCCTGTGGCTTACATAACACTCACACAACACGCAAATCAGCACATAGGAACTAGCAGAACGATAGGAAACACATATAACACAATACCCAGAATGCACCTGGCTTACAACCCCAGCCAGGTCATTACACTATCAAGTTCAAAGAGAACGTGCTGATTATGCTGCAGAACACTCTGGAGAGCAGCAGTAGGGGGTGTATGAACTACAGTAATCCCTCGTTTATCGCGGTAGATGCGTTCCAGACCTGGCCGCGATAGGTGAAAATCCGCTAAGTAGGGACTCCCAGCATGCCCCTCGCGGGGATTCCCTTCACGTCGCACCTACGTCACAAACCGTGGCTATAAACGGAAGTCGCCTTTCCAGCTCACCACTCAATCATCGTTTCTTCAGATTCATGATCAGAGTTTCCAACCTACCAATCAATCCAACGAACTATCAGCTCATAGTAAGTTATCTTACTTACTTCTGGAAAGCCCGGCATTTCCGTGTCACTTCGTTGACGCTCGAACGCTCGGGGGTTTCCTAGAGCAGCCGGCGTTTCACCGACGCTATCACTTCCGCGTCTGTGAAACCACGCTCCCTATTGAATTATCGTATGATCACATTCTCTGTGATCAGCAACGCGCTGTGCCAGACCGTAGGTACTGACACGCGATCGTTCATGTCAGTTCATTTCCTTTAATGTTTTCTGTCTTTTATTTGTGCCTGATGTGTTTCGCTGCATGCTGTGGAGCGGGGCGCTGCGGGCATCACCTTGTCCTCCGACGCACTGATCACTGATACGGCCGCCAAACAGCGAGCGCTCCGCTGTTTTTGCGGTCGGTAGATCTTTTAGAGCTGCAGTTCAAAGGTAACTCATGAGGTGAATATATATGAACCCAGGCAGCAGTTTTTCTTTAGGATTGAGAGGAGATGCAGGAAGATAATAAACAGGCAGGACAGAAAAATAGTCAAATAAAAACAAGTTAGTTTTTGTACCTGCTGGTTGCAACAAACAGACACCATTGAAGGTCATCAGAAGTGAGGAACAGAAAATGAAATAATTATTTTAATGTTTAGAGCAGCAGGAACTCCGAGAGGCTGCAGGCGCATCAGTGAGTTTGCGGCTGCTGCGCAGGGGGAGGGGGGAGAGGGCTGAAGCAGGAACTACCGTTGTTAAAAGAAATGCGTTTAACTTTGAAAATGTGGGTGCAATTTTAATTGTCAAAAACTCCAGCGAACCATTAGTTCATTTTGCTCAAATAGAAATATAGGCCTGCCTCTAATACTGGCCCTCCTTCCAATAAAGGCCTGGAGCTTGATGAGCTTGAGTCAAATACAGGCCCGGGCCTGTATTAGAGGATTTACGGTATGTATATAATTTCTCAAGACAGCTTGAAGTGAGTTTACTTGTTAATATTTTAGAGGAGGAAAAATATCAAGATATATATCGTATATCGGAATTCAGCAAAAAGATATCGAGATATAACTTTTGGTCCATATCGCCCAGCCCTAGGTTGCAGTAACCAAATTTCACTACAGGATGTAATTTTTCCTTTATTTTTTTTTTCAAAATGCACCTTCAATGCAACCTGAATGGAAGCCTTGGCTCATGCAAATCACACACCGATCAGTCTACTCTGCAGTTGGATGATCTGGCGCTTCCCATTTAAAAAAGACAGGAAGCTCCAAATATAACAATGAAAGGGTAAACGAAAATAAAACTTCAGCTTTTAATTAGCAATCACAACTAAGGTTTTAACACCAATGATACAAGTGTGGCTGGATATCATTCACCATGTGGCTGGTACCTTAAACCTGGAAACCATCACAAACTGTTCCCACTATTAGTAAAAACAAGATTATGAGAGAAATATGTGCAAATTTGTCTTTCAAATTAACAGCAAAAGCAGCATCAGTCCAATCATCAGACCATCACTGACCTTGACACCGTACTTGACTTTGCCAGCATAGTGTCGGATGATGAAGGCGGGCTCCATGACAGCGGGGAACTCGATGTAGCTGTTCCGTTCGTGCTGCCTCTTGAATTTATCCAACAAAGTCTGATTGGTGGCTTGGGGAAAACTGGAATTAGAAACAGTGAAAAATAATCCAGATTATATCTGTTTTTAATGAATAAGAATAAAATAAATAAATAAAACTGTCAGATTTGAAGCATGTCAAAGCTGCATCATTAACTTGATTTAAATTTATAAACATGAGGAGTTAATTACTTTAGTCCATCTTGACCGGATCTGAAACCATTTGTGACTTTTTATACCAAGGGTGCTTTTAATAATTGGGCAGCAGTAGCTCAGGAGGTAGAATGGGTTGTCCAGTAATCGGAAGGTTGCTGATTTAATCCCAGCTACCACCTGAGAATTCTGTTGTGTCCTTGGTCAAAGCATTTAACCCGCCTTGCATGTGAGTGGTGGTCAGAGGGACTGGTGGCACAGTTGAACATCGATATGCATTTGTAAGTTTTTCTTGGCATTGAGCAAAAATAATGTTTAAACATATCTTTACTTCATAAGACTTTCTAACAGAGTCCCATTTGAGCTGGTAAAACCTTTCTTAAACTTTTGTTTGACGTAGCGTCTTTTCATCCCTTCTTTTATCCACTTGTTTTGTGGATTTTATCTTTAGACGCACTTTATAAATTAACTTTTGCTGAGAGATAAATCTTTCACAGTATCTGTGCCTTAAAACAAAATTTTATTCAAATTCGTAGTAGTCCATTAAAGCTGCAATGGCAAATCTGCAAAACAAGCTAGCTTTTAAACACAAACACAGAACTCTCACCCCTCCTGTTAGTTATCATCTCGAGGCCACGCCCCCCTGAATATGGGACATTGCCAGGGGGAAACAAGATAGCGCTAAACACCAGTCACCGTTTTCTAGGTACAAATGTCTCTTGTTCTCCGTGACCTCAAATGGTGTTTTTGTGTTTTGGACTCTGGTAGTTTGTTCTACAGTTGAAGTGGTAGCAGCCGGCTGTTTCTCCTTCTCTGATATTATTGGGCAGAGAACCTCTCACGCCAGAGGTGTTCTGTTATATGCGTGAGTACGCAATGAGTAGAGAACTCAGGGAAGTGCAACGGTTTGGTGAGAACGACAACCAAGTGGTCTGACCGAGCCGTGTTATTGCCGGAGGTTTTAGGACAAATGCAAGAAACCCACTTTATTAATTATTTTGTTGTTGTTGTTTTTTTATCTCCTCAATGTATACGATGTTGTTAAAAGGCATGAAAAAATGTTTTAAGCTAGCTTGTTTTGCAGATTTCTAGTTGTAGCTTTAATAGCAACAAAAAACGCCAAATAGTAACAGGAAAAAAGAAACTGCACATAGAAAGAGGAACAAGAAGGGATAAAACTACATAAGAAAATGCTGTTACTAAGAAAAAGCATCATGGAGACATAAACTTCGATGTTCTCAAACTCATAATGAACTGAGAACAAAAAAAGCAGATTTCAGACTTAAAAATACGAAATGAGTGAAACTCGATGCCAAACTCAGGAACTATTTGATTGAAATCATTTTATAGAATTAATATGAAACTGAAGCTAAAGAGAAAACGTTGG